AAAAGCGATTGCCGACTTGAAGGATGCACTTACGATGGCACTTGTGCTGTCACCTCCTGATTTTTCGATTCGATTTCACTTGGCTACTGATGCTAGTTTAACTGCTCTTGGCGCGGTTTTATATCAAGTGGTCAACGATGAAATTCGATATGTAGGTCTCGTATCTCGTAAATTGTCTGTTTCTGAGCGTAACTACAGTACTACGAAAAGGGAATTGCTAGGGATTTGCTATGCCTTGGTTAAGTTTCATCGTTTTCTGTATATGCGAGAGTTTACCTTACATACGGACCATAAGAGTCTGATCTACTTGAATACACAGGAAGTCCCCAATGCACTCATGCTTGGATGGTGGGAGACCATTTTTTCTTATACTTTCGATATTGTGCATTTGCCCGGTGTCCTTAACGTAATTCCTGATGCTTTATCTCGACTTTACGAAGATTCGGATGCTGATGCTTCAGCACGACATCTTCTGGGGGGCAGGTACTATGCTGATGGTGGTGAAAGTGTAAAAAGAAAGAAAAAGGGTTCCAAAAACAAACTCAAGGTTGTCACACCTTCGCCTCCAATGAAACGTACTTTGGTCAAGACAACTAAGGCGTTACGATCTAATTCTTTTAGCAACCATGCACGCACTGCGGTAAACGCTACTCTTATCAAAGATGGCACCACCACAGCTGTCTCGCAAAAGCAAAAGGAATTCATATTGCGTACGCTTAGGTTTGCTGACTATATCACTCCTCCTGCTAATGAAAGAGACAATATGATCATTGCTCAGCATCTGGTTGGACATTTTGGGATCAAACATGTTGAAACTGCAATTCATCATGAAGGGTTTCACTGGGTGAACATTCGGAAAGACATAGAAAGAATATTAGCTGATTGTGACGAGTGTAACAGGTACAATATCGCTAGAGAGGGATATCATCCTTTCCGTAGTGTCAATGCAGCCCAACCTTTGGATCATTGGTGCATGGATCTCGGTGATATGGGTGTTACTAGCTCTTTCGGCAGCAACTTTCTATTTGTCCTTACTGATTACTTTACGAGATTTACTGTGATAAGATGCATTCCAGACAAGAAGGCTACGACAATTGCCAGGGAAATGCTTCAAGTTTTCTCACTTTTTGGATGGCCAATCAAGTTGACTTCAGACAGAGGCCTGGAATGGATAAATGAGGTGGTCCGTGCTATGATGGACATCAGTGGGATAGACCATCGCCTGTCATTAGGGTACAATCCATTGGGTAACTCGGTTTCTGAGTCATTTATCAAAATATGTAAGTTAACGACTATCAAGTTGCTAAAAGGTAAGAGGGATCAATGGGAGCACTTCATTCCGTGGGTGAATTACTGCATCAATGTCAAGTATGCTCGGCTACATAAATCTCGTCCGTATACGCTTTTGTTTAATCGTCAACCAAATGGTCTGGCTGATTACTCAAAGGTGGACTATTCCAAACGTTTGGAGAAAGCTGATAACAGACTCATTGACAAACGATACCGTTTTGTACAAGATGTTCTTATCCCGGCTATTTCTAAGCGTATTGTGGATACACAAAATGCTGATCATGCTAACTTTGCGAAGAAACATAAGGTCATTGCCGAACCCTATCCTATTGGTAGTAAAGTTATGATTAAAAATGTTCATCGTCAAAATAAGTTAGATGAACGGTATGAAGGACCTTATTTGATTCATAGTATAACCGATAAAGGTTCCTATGTGCTGGCTGACAAGACGGGTGCACTCCTTAGTCGAGATGTGCCTACCCATCATATCAAGTACCAAGTCGCTGCGAATCCTCAGCCAATCACAATTGATGAATTCTCTGCAGAGCATTACGAAATTCAAGCTGTGATTGATCATAGAGGATCTCCTGGTAACTATGAGTATAAGGTAAAATGGAAAGGGTTCGATGATCCTAGTGAAGATACTTGGGAGCCTGTGAAAAACTTTGATTCGGCCAAACACATTGAGCTGTATTGGGCTCGAAGAGAAGGTGCAAAGGCTGCTGGTAAACGTAGGTTAGCTCCTCAAACAGTTAACTGGCGAACTACTACTACTCGCGAAATTGGTCAGAGCGGTAGATCAAACAGGTCTTAAATGGCTACTAGCATGATGGGATCAAGTCTTTTCCTTACATTTTTGTCCTATGAAAGGTTTTTACACAAGGTTTTTACTGACTGATCTCGGATGCAGTGTCATTTGGTAATTATTTATTGGAAAGTGCTTTATGTGCTATATTGTCATGATGTTTTGTAATCTGGGATTACGAAATGTCCACAAGAAGTACCTGAATCTGGGGGGGCAATGTTGTGCCAGAAGGGCTACAACTGTCTATAAAGATTAAGGTATTCTTGATGGGTAGATATGTCTGTGTTGTGCAACAACATGGACAAGCTATGATAAGTGAAGTGCATCTCAGCTATCTAAATACTGAGGTTCACCAGATGTGATAAGCGTTGTACAAGATAAATTGCTACTTTGGCATTCAGAACTTAGTATAAATAGAATAACTCTTGTCTTCATCAATAAATCATTAGTTTTTGTGTCTGATCTTATTCAAATAAGTCTTTTCTTGTTTTTATAATATTGAACATTTTTTATAAGCTACAAATAATAATCCTTTTATTCTTTGTGCTTAACAACAAGTCTGTAGTACATAAAGTATCTGTAGCTAGTATCACGGATATAAGCATGTGTCTTATAGCGTGGATCATGAAGTGCACATCTGAAGCAACAAGCTCATATTGCATTAATCTTGGTGTCTATCCAGATATGGTAAACATCCGTAGTCAATGTCGGAATATAAGTATAAGTCTATAGCGCCATCCATGTCCGTGGTGCCATCTATAGCCTATATCTTATATAGTATGAATCTTATAGTACTAGCGTATCTGAAGTCCATATCTTCTTATAGTATAAATCGATATCGTACATCATCTAATCCAGTGTACATACAGTTTATATCTAAATCTGGTAACTGGATGAACTGTCGGAATGCAGATCATAGTGGATGTATTCCACAAGGGGTACCTTATGCTTTTTGGTCGAATTTTGTTAATGTTTTTTCGATCCCAAAAAAGCTGAGCAATAGTGGCAATAAGTAGTCGCCAGATGAGAGCAATTCTTTGGTGCTATTCTAACCATCTAAACGGCCTTGAACGCAAGAAAACACAACTCAAATGCACTTATATGTTGCTGTATTAGGCGCACTCTTGACTAAAAAGGGATAATATCTGTATGACACTTGCCCGTATATGAAATTGCTATGTGTATATGGATGCAGAGCATTATACAAAAATCAAATCCACAGATAATATAAAGGGTTTCCATGTGCAAGTAGAGGGCCAACATGAAAGTATCAGTATTGTATTTTGAAAAGATGTGTGGAATACATCCACTATGATCTGCATTCCGACAGTTCATCCAGTTACCAGATTTAGATATAAACTGTATGTACACTGGATTAGATGTACGATATCGATTTATACTATGATCATGAGAAGATATGGACTTCAGATACGCTAGTACTATAAGATTCATACTATATAAGATATAGGCTATAGATGGCACCACGGACATGGATGGCACTATAGACTTATACTTGTATTCCGACATTGACTACGGATGTTTACCATATCTGGATAGGCACCAAGATCAATGCAATATGAGCTTGTTGCTTCAGATGTGCACTTTATGATTCACGCTATAAGACACATGCTTATATCCGTGATACTAGCTACAGATACTTTATGTACTACAGACTTGTACTATATATGAGACATGCTATAGACATGCATACGATATGCTATAGACATGCCATATATCCAGATACATGCTAAAGATGTATGCTTAGCGATATACACTCAGATATGTACTATTAATATAGACTAAGAAGACTGTACCTATCGGATACATGCTACTAGATCGATATTAATTATCCTTATGGAAAGGATAGATCAGGGTACTTCGGATGAGAGTCTAATTATTCATCCAGACAGAGCTAAATCATGATTAGCTTGCTGGAGTTGTCTTTTAGCATGATTAGACATTAGTTGATCTGAGTTGACTTATTTGTCAATCTAATTAATAGAACTTTTATCCATTGTTATAGTATATAAGAAGGATCATCTACCTGGCCAGTAGAGAGACTTCAGTTTACTTTACACCTGTCAGTTTGATAATAAAATATACCTTTATCAAGTTGACATTACTGTTTTTTTTATTCTTTGTTTTCCGTGAATTTTAGTCTATCAAGCCTCAAATTCCACAAGATGCATAAGGGCAATCGGTAGCCCGAACTGCCGCTACGCAGATTGGTTCTCACCAAAGCAAACAAAGTTAGGGAGCCATCCACACCATAAACACTCGTATATTTGCACTAAATTCTTGTTACGTATCTACAAGAGTACTACTATTACTGATAAAGGCTGCCAAAATCAGGAGACACCCAAGGTTTGCGATTTCCAAGCAGAGTGTCTGTAGTGCTGAGCCGGCCAATCATCCGGTTTCTCTTGCAGCCAAGTTATCAAATCAACATCCATTGCATAAATCCACCAAGATGGCGTTTGACACACATGCATTTGTAACAAAATATGATCTCTGTAAATTGACTGTTTCATCATTACCGCATTTTTCCATCATTGAAATGAATTTTTTTCTTTCAGATTTGACAAAATAATAAAGTACAACAACAACAACTACTACCAGCTACTATACAACCAATTAAATGCGAGTCTGCAACCAAAGAAGAGAGCAAAAGGCACTCAAGTAGTTGCAAGGTATATTTACTGAAAGACTGCAATTCTTGACTCATAAACGCCAATTCTGATGTGGTAGCAGTGATGAGAGCCAGCAGCTGGTATTTTAGTGTTGTCTGCTTTGTACAAGTCACCCAATGTGGGGAGTAAGGTAAGCGTGTCAAGCAAAAAAAAAAAAAAAAAAGGGCCACTCATTCCTTCTTTGAAACAATCAATTGTAAATAAAAGTGCACGCCATGAACAACGAATACAAATGGGACCCATCATTCAGTGAAGGTATAATCACAGCTGCATTTTATATACAAGCATATGCTGATCTATGCAACTAGAAATGGAGGATGAGGATCTAATTATGGAGGAAGACGACGACGAGGAAGAGGAGGAGGGAGATGAAGGAAGCAACGCTGTGTACCCAGAAGATTATTCAAAAGCCAGTGGTAGCAGCAACAGTAGTAGCAATGTCGCCTCACCACGATTCAACATGTCTGGTCCATCCGATTTTTCGCGCTTTGATTTGGGTGCAGCAGGGGCCTCTCCCTCGCATGGTTGGAACGATGGCATTGACGAAAAGGGCGAATCCGTAGCACTTTTAATGCATTTGGAAAAGACGGTTGTTCACCAGGATTTCTTCAACAGTAAGTGAGAAAATACATGGGAGGGGAGGGGTTTGCATCGTATTGATCTCTCTAAATCAACAACAGACTTTAGCGATGATTTCGACCAAGATGATTTAGCATAAATGACATGTATTGAAAGAATAAATCAAGCAGTTGTTTTTATTTACACAAGTTGGCTCTTAGTCCAGCAGATCATCAGCTTCACCCTCCATCAACCTATCACCAATGACTTGATGCACCTTTTTCCAATGCACTCTTTCTTGATTTCCAGTATCACGATCACGAATTGTCACGGTATCATCTTCCAGACTCTGATAATCAACAGTGATACACCAAGGAGTGCCAATCTCATCATGACGGTAATATCGTTTGCCAATCTTGAGCTTTTGTGATTCTACCACTGTGAACAATCCCTTGCGTCTCAGCGATTTTGCGACCTTTTGGGTGAGTGAGTTGAATTCGGGTTTACCAGTCAACGGCATGATGGCACACTTGATGGGTGCTAATCGAGGATCGAGTTTGAGCACGTTGCGAGGAGGTTTTCCTTTACCGTCTTCTACTTGATGGAATGCATCGCACAGATAGGCCAACATGGCTCGATTCAGGCCACAAGAGCTTTCCACCACATGAGGGACGTATCGAGCTGGTATTTCAGTGGGCATTAGATCCGCTTCTCCTTCACCTGACTCCTTGACAGCATCCGAGAAAACAGGCTGTGTTTCTTCCACAATCTCAAAGTTGGCGCCCGTGTTTTTGATGTGTTGTGTTAAATCGTAGTTGCCTCTATGTGCTACACCTTCTACTTCTCCCCAGCCCCAAGGGTAGAGATATTCGACGTCCGTACATCCGGTGGCATAATGAGCCATTTCATCCGATGCATGATCTCTCTGTCTAAAGTTTTCGGGATGGCACGCATGCTCCAACCACCAATTGTATCTCTCCTTGCGCCAATACTTGAAATAGTGCCTTGACTCCCAAGGAGCAACAAAGTACTCTAGCTCCAATTGCTCGAACTCAGGTGTTCTAAAGATGCCGTGTTCCAAACGAATCTCATTTCTAAACGATTTGCCGACCTGAGCAATACCAAAAGGTGGCTTTGTCTTCATGGTGCGAACGACTTGCTCAAAATTCACAAACACGCCTTGGGCAGTTTCAGGTCGAAGATAGACAGTGCTTGGTTTCAGTACCTCGTCCACAGCTTCTCTGATGACAGGCTTGGCATCATCGGGATGATCCATGGTGGTTTGAATGACACGGTCAATGGGATCAATGGGATCCAAGAAGGTCTTGAACATCAAATTGAAAGGTCTGCTGTCTGTCAAGAAGGGAGAATTGGTGTTGGGTTCGACATAGCCGTGGTAAGGTAACTCCAGTGGTGTGTGATCTGGGTCCACCATGTCAAACACAATCTTGCCATGTTGGCCTCTGGCATCTGGCTGAGAGATGCTGGTGGTGTGCAGCAAAATGCGCTTTCCTTCCACTGTGATTTTGACATGGGGTGCAAATTGCTCTTGAATTGCCTTTTTCCAAGCAAAAGCAGTGTCCTTGTCGGGTGCTGTAATGGGTATATGTCCATTTTTATCGGTTGTTAATGCAGGTGCTTTATCGGGTCTAAATCTCTCCTTTGTCAATGTACAGTCGACCAACAGATCAGTGAATTCGTCAACGTGACCAGATGCTTTGAGCACAGGATGCGGTGTCAAAATGCTGGTGTCCAAGCCAACCACATCATCACGGTAATAGACATGTCGACGCCACCATGAATTCAAAATGTTCTTTTTCAATTCAACGCCCAATGGCCCGTAATCATAGGCACCTCTTAATCCACCATAGATCTCTGCTGATTGATACAGAAACCCTCTTCGTCTACACAGATCAAGTAAAGTGCGAAACTTTTGTGCCATAATGATGAAAGAATGAAGAAAAAAAAAAAAAGAAAGGTCATCTAAACCCCCCCGGGACCAAAAAAAAAGAGAGGTTGAATATTAAGGGGTGTCAAAATGGATGGTTCCTTCCAGTCACATCAAATAGGGTCTCTTTCGCTCGCTTTCATCCTTTCATCATTCTTTCCCAGTACATAAATATAGACATTATAATCATCATGACAGACACTACTGTTGATAAGTCTCAAATCCCAAAAAACTGCAAATTGTTCGAGATGGTACAATATCAGTGTGAGGCTACGAGACATAATATTGAATGTAGTCCATTTGTGCGGCTATTCCTAAGGTAACATCTGTATGTGCCATTGACATGTCTGTACATGTATTGACCCCCCCCCCCAAACCCAATGCTTAGATGTGCTGGTTTACCTACGGTTGAAGTAACACCTGAATACGATCAATACGGTGATCCCATATCAAGGTTTGAGCACATTCCGTCATTGCATTGATCATGTCACTAAATATAACCTACACCGATAGATCCTCGCCATCAGTCAATGCCTCGCCCATAAAAGGAGATCCCATCAACTGATATCCAAGCATTTATTCATACATATACCTCTCGCACCTTACTCCTTTTTTAATTGTACAGCTTTACCATGATATATTAAAATAAAAATATCCTCTTGTTTTAATTAATCATTCATCTGTGTGCGAGATGAGCGTATATATAAAGAAGCCATTTGCAATGCTCAAAGGACTCTCTCTCTCTCTCTCTCCTTCTTCTTCAGCTCTAGATTTCTTTAAAACATGATTCGTAAAGTATCCGCTACTTCTATTCTTTTGGCATGTGCTTTGATGACAGCTCAAGCTCAAGACCCTATGGCTGTACCCACCACCAACATGGCATCCATCTTTCAAAACATGGTCAACTATTTCAACGAACATCCATTTACAGATTCAGCTGGCAGACCCTCTCAAGCTTTCCAGAGCATGCTTCGTCAAATGCAATCTACCGAGGCCGCCAATGCCAATCCTGCTACTGATTCAGCTGCTAATGTTGCTTTGCCCGTCGCTCCTCCCACTGTCGCTGATATCGGATTGCCTGCCGTCGCTGCACCAATGGCCAACAATGTCAATGCTGCGATCAAAAGCGCTCCTGCTGATATCCCTATCGCTTTAGCTGCTGGTGTACCTGCCTCGGTTGCTGCTGCTGCTGCTATTCCTGCTAATCAAAAACCTGCTCAACCAGTTGTTCCGGCAACCCCTGCTCCTCCAATGCAACCACTGGCTGCTCCTGCTACTCAAGAAAATGCTGTAGTCGTTTCTGCCGAACCTGCTCCCAATGCTGCTGAACAACCCGCTGTTGCTCCTGCCACTCCTCAAGGCCCATCTGCTGTTGCCGAGCCTGTAGTATCCACTAATCCTGTCGCCTCCAATGTAGCAGTAGCTGAACCTATTGTGCCTGTCACTACTGTAACTCCTTCTCAAACCTCTGCTGTGCCTCCAGTAGTTGTGCCCACTACTTCTGCTTCTCTTTCTGGTTCAGTTACGACAGGTACTTCCATGATGACCAGAACCAATGCCATGAGCACAGCTTCTTTGTCTGTCACTCGTTCGCTCACGAGCAGTGCCTCTGCTTCCAGATCTGCTTCCCCCACAATGACAATTCCTCCTATTTCTGCATCCAACAGCTTACAACAAGGTCATCATGTCTTGCTCTCCATGACATTGGGTTTGGTGGCTGTCATTGTTACCATGATCTCGTCATATTAATCAGGATGTTGGATTTTTGGCTCATTTTATCACTTTATTGCACTATTTACCACGTTTTAATCGTACAATCATTGTCCTTATCTTTTTTTTTTTTTTTTTTTCTAAAAATGTAGTAGTTTCTTCATATCTTTCGCATACATCAATCTTAATAAAATTTGCATTTTCATTATTCCAAGTTTAGTTCAAGACATCTGTATATGGGGGAAGATTTAATATAGCTTGTATACTGTGCAAGGAGACATAGATTGAATCAGGACACGCTCTTGGCCCACGGCAAAACGCAGAACTGGCAAATATCAATGCATTCATGCTGATGGACTTGTTGATGTGCGAAAATGCAGTCCCTTGAGATTTAAAGTATATATACTGACAATACCTCAAGTGCACGCTAAACCACCTTTTTCTTGCTTCCGTGTTTTTTTTTTTTTTTTTTTTTTTACATATTTGAATGGATGATATCAGAAAACTATTGGATAGAACAGGCCTTTTATCGCTGAAAGATACGGGACTCACCATTATATCTCTGTATGGCGTATCAGAAGCCAAACAATCATCATCCGTTGCCAATTTAGCAAACTCAATCGTAGGAGCAAATGTATTTGCAGCCAGATGCAAGGTGATATGATCTTTTTGAGAACACACATACACACGGATAAGCTAAATTTCTTTGCTCTGTAGCCCGTAGAAGAGCCTGCTATTGAGGTTTGTAATCATGCTACGCACAACGTTCTTCACCACGTTATTGATTTTGTGTTGTGGTAGTTGGCAGACGGCATCCAATTTTACCTGGATAAACACTTGAAAACAATATACCTATTTGCAGATGCCAACATGAACACGACGAGTCTATCAGCCGAGAAATCAGTGTCAACCAGCATGATGAATCATCAGGCAGCAACCACCAAAGCATTGCTCTTTATGTTGATCGTATCTCACCTTGTCATTGTAAGACCTCTCTCTCTCTCTCTCTCTCTCTCTCTAGCACCTGCCTAAAAGATATTAACATGCTATACCCATTTTTGTAGCCCATCCTGCCACCATCATTCTTACCTGCCGATTTCTTGTCAACATTGGTAGCACTAGGTCAGATAAAATCCAACATGCATACACATTTAGCACAGTATCAAGCATCCTGCTGGAAATATTGGGACATTGCAGTGCCGAATTCACTCTTTGAAAAAAAGGACAATGAAAGGATGAACCCTGCTTTGATGGGATGGTGGGGCCCAGCCAAGGGAGTGCCTATTGTGGTGTTTGTGATGGCAGATGTCAGCCTATCCAGCACGGCTCCTGCAGCAATTAAAAAGATGCAAGAGTCTCTTCAATCCAGGATGAAGAACATATTCAGAGCACTCCATTTGATACCATTGAAACCAGAAGGAAACTCATCTCATCCGCCTGTCGAAGTACGATCCCTGTTTATACTGCCATCCACCGCACAGCCTGTCATTCACATCATACCTGCTGCTGCATCACCAGCCGACAGCAAGGCAGAATTTTCATTCGATGAGCCACTCTCCTTAACATCCTACTTGTCGTCAAAAGAGGCTTCCTCAACTCATCTCGATTACAGCGATCGCCTGCTCAAGCATTTTGTCAACATGTGGATCAAAACTGCCGTCAGCAGACATCCACTGCACAACAACTTCAACAATCGAAAAACGGACACTCCCAAAGTAGCACCCTTGCCGACAGGTCTGCAGTGTATCTCTGCTATGGTACCCTTGATGTCGTTCATTTTCAATCAGCAGATAACACAAGAGGGTGTCGAGTTCAAAAAGGTGATATCAGCTCAGTTCCCCAGCACCAAGGGTATGATACAGCAGATTGAAGTGATTCTAAGGAAAAAGATCAGAGACAATATCGAGATTGAACGGGTGTTTTCAAAGAGGTTTGTGGAGAGAGGGATATGCATCCACAGCCTATGCCGTCGAGACTAAATTTTCTCTAGTCATTCTATGGATGTCATGCAAAAGTGTAACGAGGCCTATTTGCAAGACTCGCCGCCATTTTACACGGAAAAGTATCATACATGGAAGGTGAGGATACAGTGCTCACATGTAAACATCCACTGGATCTAAATTGCTGTGGTAGAAAACTACTGTGATGAGAATGTACCGTTCTCTTGCTCGTGGTCCCTGTAGGGAAGAGTACGCTGCTCGTTTAGAGCGTGAATGCGACACTATTTGGAAGGGTGGAAGACAGAGTTGTGAGCACATGAGTCTTACTGGAAGAGCGTGTCGATTAAAGATGGGCCATGAAAAGGAGGTGATGACAGCCAAGCAACTGCGAGACGAACGCGCTGTGATTGTGGATCCAGCAAAGCACAACAGCGGATACAGCTTTTTCCATGCGTGTGATTGTGGAAAGACACAGCGTGTGCGTGAAGATCCGTTTGATGTCGAGGATGCCAATATCAAGTTTTACAACAAATTCAGCTGCTGTCTGGGCGTTGCAAGAGCTGCTTTGGATATCAAGAAATCGACATTTGGAGATAAACAGGACCTTGTGCTGGATTACGACGAGATACCCACATCCTGCGATGCTGCTTTGCTTTACTTGGGGCCATCCAGCATGTACAAGAACAATGTGGGATTGGATAAAGTGGAAGGCTTTATGAACAACACCAACTTCCTTATACCTTGGTCCATGACAACCATGAATGAGCTGAAATTGCGACAACAAGATGCTGCCAATGCTGCGACAGAGAGTAACAACAATGGCCCAGCACCGTCAGCAAAAGCCATCAATGACGCCTTTTTGCGATCCAATGCGACGGCTCGAGAAACAGAATGGCCCGTGCTCGGTAAAGCAACTAGCATGCAAAAGACAAGCACGCATATCACTGCTGCTGCACCCGTTGTCGTTGCGTCGTTGGAAGCATTCCCTGCTTTGGGATCCAATCCTACGCCATCAACTACATCCACTCATATAGCAACGCCATCAAACACACCCACAGCCACAGCACCACACACACCACCTACGCGACAACTCTTTGATACCAGACGTAGAAAACATCATCGATCTCGGGATAGAATCCAAGGCTTGGTTCGTGGTTATGTCGGTGCAGAGTATGAATGTCCCCATGGACACCGATTCCTGAGTTGTGGTGAAGGCCGTGTCTGTAAGTTGGGTCATGCTGGACATCCAAAGGAGCATGGCAATTATTTCGTCCATCAGGATCTGCCACTCCATGTGGTATGTCCATGCACCTATGCCAACAATGCCAGCAGCAGCAGCACCAGTGGCGGTGGTGGTGGTGGTACTGGAAATACCAACGTCAATGGAAGCAATAGCGCTTCACATGTGAATCACAACATGGAGATCACTGCTCAATTGCAACGATTGTATATTGTCACTCCTGAAGAAGCCATCACTATCACTATTGAGCCAAAGATTAAGGTAACCTTATAAAAAAGGGCTAATCAGACGTAAACTAATATCCTGCTCTGGAAAGATTCAAATTCCAGGAACAGACAAACATGTCATTGTGAACTTGGGTATCGAGTGTCTCTCATTTGGTCCTGGCGGTCTTTACGTGTTGAGATTGCCCTTCATCTACAGTGATGCAAATGGATCACCTATACCTATGGAAACCGATGTCCAAAAGAGATTGAAGAGTGCTATTCTACAACGGGATTGTATCAAATTTCACTACAAGGAAACAGAGAAATGGATTGTGCCTTAAATCCAGAAGGATGCAGAGATGTATACAAGTAACAAACAAGGTGAAGGCATGATTACCTCAAAATGAATAAGTGGAGAGTGAGAGAGAGAGAGAGAGTGAGATAAAGCTTCATTTGTTTACGAAAGCAGCTGCTTAGATGGTATAGATGCTTAGTTGGATCACAAAAAAAATAAAAGCCTGTGTATGGAGATATCATGCGTAATGACGGTTCACATAGTACACTATTGCGGAGAAATTTATATTTATAAAACGCTTTTTCCCCCCCTCCTCAATAGACTCTTTTATCCTTTTTCCAGATATAAAAACCTACTTTCTTTGATGCCATTTCATATAGATCAGATACTCCAAGTGTTGGGAAATGCAAATCACACCGAGCCAGCAAAGGAGTGCGTGCCACTCAATGATAAATCCACCTTGATGATTAGTATATTTTTGTGTGTTGGTCTTGTTATTTCATATCTTCCTCAGGTAGTCATGATTTTTTTTTTTTTTTTTTTTGTTTGTAAATGAGCGATAGTATCATATTGAACTTGATAATAGCATTATAGAATCATTGCCAACAAGACAAGTGAAGGATTCAGTGCTTGGTTCTTGTTGCTGGGTGTTGTTTCATCTACCTCTAGCTTCCTCAACATTATTCTCTTGCAATGGGACTCGATCGTATGCTGTAAATCACTGGTAAAAGAAAAAGGGCACCAAAACCCAACACACAGCCAAATTCATGACAAAATTACATATAGTCAACAGGCGCATGCATTGAAGGGTTGATGGGTATTGTGCAAATTGGATTACAATGGGCCATGTTTAGCTTGGTGTAAGTTTGAATGAGGGGGGAAAGTCATGCAATTCATGCGTACTTACGCTACATGCAGGTTCATTTTATTTTTGCTATATTTCCCAGAAAACAAGAAACGTCAACTCCATGCTCCTACCTCTCTACATTTGGATCTACCCAACAAGATGCAGGCTCCTCTATCTGCTGAATGGAAGGTGTCTTTGGTAGTCGCCGCTACTTGTATAGGCCATTTAGCCATCTCCTTTTTCATTTCTATTTTACTCTTGATCATTGTGGGTGGACCTGAACATTGGCAAACCAATTATTGGGCTGCATTTCTGGGTATTCTTAGTATGCTTTTAGCATCACTTCAATATCTGCCACAAATTTACAAGACATGGAAGAGCAAGGTAATTTTATTGAAAGTATGGAACGAATGGCATGTCATGATGACTCCTTTGATCTGGTATAGATGGTCGGTGCTCTCAGTATACCCATGATGATGCTACAAACGCCAGGCACTGTCTTGTTTGTGTATTCATTGGTGGTTCGTCCTGGTACAAATTGGACAGCATGGCTCACCTATATGGTCACAGGCATCTTACAAGGAACACTGCTGATCATGTGTATTGCATGGCATTTCAGAAACAAGAGACTTGGTATTCGTGATATTGATACGACGACTGCTCCTATCGTTGGAGATGAACAGGACGAGCCAAATGAGAACACTCGTCTCCTGAATTAGCTTTTTAAATTATGCTTACAGCATAGTACTGAATACCAATAAAGATAGGAATGTGTGGAAATGATAAGCACACGTTAAACATGTTGTAAAAGAAAAGGATGTTGAATGCCGATCAACGCATCGTCCTCATGAAAATTTTCCATCGAGGCACACTAACCCTAAGCCAACAACATCATACACGTAAAACTCTGATCTCCAGATCTAGCGTAACATGGCAGAGCGGTAAGTATGGCCTAGAAGCAATAGCTTTTTGAGCGGGTCTCTGTAAAAAAAAAAATGAACATCTGACAGAAGTGTACGAAATGGCATGACAGCAATTCTCAATGTACTGAAGCTATCTGTCTGTCGCTCATCAAAGATATCAGCACCGAAAGAATATCGCATCTCAATTCAAGTGCTTGTCAACCAGGACACTATAGCAAACATTTAAAATAGCATAAATAATATAAACCTCAAGGATCAATTGATAAAACCACCTTATACTTTACCTGAATTTCTATACATGTCTCTTCTAAAAGCTCATTCGCTGTTATATTTACTTCCTTTCTTATTTTAAAGGACTTTATTATATAAAACCAAACATCAGCAAATTTAGTATTGCTGGCTTCTACAAATACATTAACGCAGAGTTTAGAAAGGTGTCTGGAAAGAAGTTTAAGTACGCAAGACGCCTTTTCCAAGTTTGACTATCATTACAAGCAATTTGGTAAGCTGGTATAAGAATCTGAATTATAACTGATTAGCATTGTAATAGGCCGCTGAAGGCGTTGATAAATGTCGTACTTTGTTGCTTAAACACTCTTTACCGGTCAAAATTACAAAAAGATCCTACTTTAACTTTCTACCACAAATTCTTTGTCATATTGTAAGCTGCATTTTGCATGACTTTTAGTTTTGTGTATTGACTTTATTTTTTTTTTTTCGTAAAGTATCAGCCAAGTTTATGCATCACTTGAAATCACCAAACAAGAATCAATCTATAACTTGAGAGTGCTTTAGAGATTTCTTGACACCGCAAAGATGGCTACTGCGTTTCTGAAATTCATCCCTGGAGAGACACGCCTTCAAGCCATAAACTGCGAGCTGGCACGTCGGGGTCTTTCCCTATCCCACTATTACAATACTGATGATATTCGTTTCGATAACGACTTTGATGTAGAACTTGCAATCTTGGAGTCAACAGGGCCACTTGAACTGAAAGCCATGGAACGTGAAATCACTGATCACATTAAGTATGCGTATGGACTATTCGCAATGTTGCATCGAATAGCTTATTGATATGAGTATGCAGATGCCAGCATTTTCAAGAAGCTAAAGGTCCACTTCATTCATACTGCTGATGAAAGAATCCGAGTTTGGTCGTTTGGGCTTGTCACTGATTTGTTGTGCCAGAAAGGTCACATGTGTCTATAGAGATCAAGGTATTCTTGATGGGTAGATATGTCTGTGTTGTGCAACAACATGGACAAAAAGCTATGGTAATTGAAGTGATTCTCAGCTATCTAGATGCTGAGGTTCACCTGATGTGATAAACATTGTAAAAGATAAATTGCTACTTTGGCATCCAGAATTTAGTATAAATAGGATAACTCTTGTCTTCATCAATAAATCTTTAGTTTTTGTGTCTGATCGTATTCAAATACGTCTTTTCTTGTTTTTGTGATATCAACCGTTTTTTATAAGCTACAAATTATAATCCATTTATTCTTTGCGCTTAACATGATCAAATGTACATTTTCAACAGAACTGGAAGCACAGCCTTACAATTGGATCATGTTGACTCGAAGCAAAATTTCATGGACATTACGAATACGATATGGGAAATAAAGGTATATGAATATAGAGAAGCAATTGTAGGTGGTTGTTTATTGACTGTATATATATATATATATTTGGAAAAATCTAAACCAGTATTGACCACTCTCATGAACTATTGCAAACGATCAAAAAAAATCCCATGAAAAAAACAAGAAGATTGTCCAAGAGCGCCTTGATGGCTATGATAAGATCAAAAAATTGAAACACTTGTTAGCTGAAAGTACTGAAGTCAAGTTATCGTTTCCTATCTTTGACGCAGAAGATGTCTATGTTTTCAGCTCTCCCTTGCATTCACAATCCTAACAATCCTCGCAATCCTCATGATTATCCTCAGTATTCCCACAGTTTCAACCACAATTCCTTTATAACGATTATATAAATAAATAAACGTTTTACTGTCTCCCTCTCTCTGTTAAAATCAAGCAATGCAAAGCGGTAATAATGAACACAACACATATATTTACAACAAACAAAAAAAAGAGAGAAAAAAATGTACTACAGATACCATAGAGATTCATTCAAACATCTCACTGCTTCAGATAAAGCATTAGATACCTGCTTCAAACAAGAATCGAACCTGCATCGATTGAACTGTGAATTAGTAGGCGCATTATGCAACTAAACTATAGAGCTCTAGGTTACAAAAGATTTCAAAAAACCCATATATGAAGATGCGTGCAGACGGCTTTTGTTCACACATTTCTGAAAGGAAACGCAAAGAAGGTCGAAAATAGCACATATTTTTTTATAATTGAAGCAACAAATTAAGACGGCTTAGTCCATGAGATTATGGACATTGAAGACACTATTTTTAAGCGGGGCAATATACATACTTTAAATTGAAAATCTTATTATTTTTGAACAAAGCAAGCTACAGTTGTCTAGTCTTAACAACAAAATTCGCCAGCATGTCAAGTATCTATTGATAACTTGAAACCAGCAAGTTAATATGGCCCTTTTCGTACGCTCCAATTTTAAAAACGTCTTTGCAAATTCATAGATACGAGGTATATACATGTGGAAGCTCAACGGAGCTTCAATTTCTATTGTTCTGAATGATGATCCATAGGATCCCGAAATCTATCGACCTTGAAATTGCGCGTTTCTTGATAGTAAATATCCTTTCAAACTTATATAAAACTTGTAGAGAATTTAAAGGAAAATACAATGGTATCTATATCAAGTGTTTGGTGTACATTTTTCACCTGATGTTTGTTGGGATAGCTTTTGCAATTTTTTCACTGTTTTCTAAGGATTAATCAATATCTGTCATCAAAACATTTTGTTTAGCATTACTAAATATTGTAGATCAAAACATTTCCTATCGAATGAGCTATTGCTTAAAGCTCTGGCATAATTCTATTATGAAATATTGGCAATCTTGTTCTGACCAAAAAAAGGTCACCCAATTTTTTCCTTGCTATCACAGGCAGATTTTGAAGAAAAATCCATGGTTTTGCATGATACCCTTTTTCGGCCATATCTCGACAAATACTCACCAGATTCGCGCAAGACAAAAACAATTCGATAGCTCTACGTTACATCTATCATAATGTGAGAATTTCAGGTACCATATATACGTTGTCTTTAATTAATTCGCCCAAAACCTTATATTTTGTTAGCTACAAGCAGGCACTTTCCGACAAAAGTATGAATTTATATATGAAAACTATCCCATTGTATAGAGAATAAAACAAACAGCAAAAGGTAAGCTCTAGACAAGTTCGAATTACTTAGCAAATTCCACAGTTACAACCCTTCAAAAATTAGTCATTTTTACCATTTCCGTCATTACTCATCGATATCGCTCGCAATAACCTCGAATCAAGCATTCCCTAATCAAACAAAGTATATCCCACAGCTTTTATTAAACTTGCACCCAACAGTTATATATATATAAATCCAATGACTTTTATTAGTGCCATGTGCTTGAAATTACTCAAAATCAACCAATTTTGAAAATTTCGCTTTTCTCAACAGCCATGCAAGTTGGGGTTGGAGGGTAAAAGCTGGCATAGGAACATGCTAGCCTCAAAGCTTTAGCATCATTATTTCAAAAATTGGTTTTTGATTTGGAAACTCCAAAACCAATCGTAAAGGTTTGTGTAGCTTCATGATATCATTCACTATTATCACAAACCAGAGATCATAAGTATGTAGTCTATTTTAAAGGAAACATGACTAATGATATATGGGGATAGCATCTCGGCTAAAAATCAGAATTGGAGGGCAAGAATGAAAGTGATGGCCATTCCTACATGGCTGCGCTAATTGATCTCTTGTTAAAGAACACAAATGACATGGATATTACATAGATTTATTGTGGAGACCAAGTTCGGATGAATGTTTAAAATGGTAGACCCTTATTCTTATTGTTGCTGATATACAAAACAAGGTGGAGATCACATTTTGTTCTAAATACAAACTGGTTTCAGTATCTGTTCGCACACAAATCAGGTCCCTTTTTTTTTCTATGTACACTCACACGCACACTAGCACCTTGACTATGATATATATTGAATATTGCGTATAGAAACTAAAGAAATTTATCTTTGACTCATCAGGGATGTTCTGCTGAAAGGCAACCACGTCTATAGTTCCCTTGCCAAATCATATCCAATAGATACCAGATGCCCTTTCATAACAAACCGTATCGCATTCACTTGCGTCATTTTCTGCTATGTGCATGTCTAGTTGTACAAAAAGAAGCATTGGATGTGTATCTCATCAAGCAAATAGAGCGTGAGTGCATGTTTTTGGGGGGATGGAAAGGTAAGTGATTGGAGGACATGACGGAGATTTGTATCCCATTCGATATACAACATGTAATAAGGTTTGAAGGAATAAGCAGAGCGTGAAAGATAAGTGAGAGACATACATAAAGATCGAGAGTTAGAGAGGCCGCAATGCAGTTTCCCGGTAAAAGGCAAGCAGATCTTTTATTCTTATCGTTGAAAAGCTTATCGAGATTGGATTTCATCTCCACACACAAATACACCCATTGAAACTGACAATCATCTAGCACTAAACGTTATTTTATGATTTGTTTCGCTCAAGGCACCCGTAATGATATCAATTGTGTGTGTGTGTATGTCTGTACCTTAAAATTCAAGCGAGTACAAATGACGTATAGTACAGATTCATTGTGCACATGGACCCATAAATTCTGTACAAGGCCTAATATGAGTAGGTATCAAAGTCAGCCAAGCCTTGTTCAGCCGCCCACCAGCCGCTTCTCCACATTTCTTTTGATGGCCCTTGGTTTTTTTTCATGCAACTATGGACTTGATGGCCTACGACAATAAAATGATCTGGGTGCCTAAATTTGGATTATCCTATTGACAGTGATTTAGCTAGTTTTGAATAACTATGGAAATGGATTTAAGATTGTTTGGAAACACAGAAATAAGCACCATAAATTGCATTCTATACTCCATTATATAAAATCAAAGAAAAAGTGAACCTAACCAATTTATTATGCTTTTTAAAAGGTAACACAGTTTTCCAAAAAAAAAAAAAATGATAAGGAGTTGTACTTTTTCAAGGTTGGTGTGAATTATCATGTCAATCTCTTTGTGTGTATGTTTCCATGGTAATATATATATATAAGCTCTGATTCATCGTCCAATTTCTTCTCTTTTTTTTCTACTTGTGATACTTTCATTCTACTCTCTTATATATATATATATATATATCCGATCCGTGATGAGAATATCAACTAGTCATCCCAAGATGACTTTGATACAATCAACAAGCTTGTTATGTTTATTGATCTGTTGCTTTGTAAAGAATGCTTCGGCATCGCCTGTATTTCACACTGGTAAAATAGATGCCTCTGATTGATCTCACATCAAAACAACTCACATACTTTCCTCTCTAGTCAATGACTTTGATGCGAACGGCTATCAATGTAGTTTGCCCACCTATCATGCCTATCCATGCCCTCAATTGTGTGTCCGTGATATTTCGCAATGTCCTCAAGACAACAGGCCTCCTACTTGTCCTCAAGGCACCACTTACTGTGTCGACGGTGAATGTCGTGAGACTTGTGATGCTTCGCTTAAATCCGCATGCGCTTGCCCTGGCGCCCCTGCATTGGTCGGCAACGTCTATTCCTGTGGCAAGAACAACAACCTCCGTACGAATATTGAAAAGTTTGATGCTACTAACAAGACAAACCAAAGCGCTGTTGCTTGTGCTAGAGCCGCTGGTCTTGACAACATTCCTGTTTGGACTGCAAATCCTGAATCTGCCATGTGGGGAGAGTGTCCTGCCGCTGACTATGGTCAATTAACGTTTACTGAGCCTGTCTACATTGCTCTGTATGCCTTTTATGGTTCTTGTTTGCTGACACTGATTGCTTGGACCTTGTACAAGAAGTCAAAGGAGAAGGTAAGTTATCAACATGCAAACTATCAAAACTTGATTTACCAACACTTTATGCATCTAGTTGATCAAGGCCAACTTTAACAAGGTTCAGGAACTCCGCACCGAGGAATACCATGACAAGGAAAAGAGCGCATTAGCCAAAGCGGACGCTGCCAGCTCCAACAGTGCTACTTCGGATGATGATCTTTCTTCGATTGAAGAGGAGCATGATATGGTGATCCATGCCTACAAGCGTGATTGGTTTGGAAACATCATCACTGCTGTTTTCTTCCTTCAAACGATTGGTCAAATAGCCTACATGATTATGATGGTGCAAGACTATTACACTGTGTACGAGAAATTCCGTGGATTTGGTGAGATCCAAGCTAGCACCTTTATGGGCATGTGGTACATCTTCTTCTTCTGGTTTGCTGCTTTGACCATTTTCCGATTCAGATTGCCCAACTTTTTTAGAATTCGTTGTTCTTATGCTCAGGGTCAATATGTGCAAGTGGAGCGCAAGGAGGCTGCCTTGATTTTCCTCGAAGATCAGTCTGATAGACTCATGGAATTTGTGCGCTACTTGGAAATGACAGCAAAGCGTATCGCGGGTTTGGATGTGGTAGTCACCAACGCTCCTCTCAAGTTTACCTCTAGTGGCACCAAGTATTTCATCTACCAATGTACTCGCTATGTCTATCACCCTGAAACCGAGCTGTTCTCACCTCATCAGTTCCATCTGGGAGAGACCAATGCTGAACTTGCCTCCATCACACAAGGTCTCACCACGGAAGAAGCGCGACAGAGAGAAGAACTCATTGGCCCCAACTTCATTGAAGTCTATGTGCCCAACTTTGTGGTCGCCATGTTCCAAGAGTTTTCGTCCTTTTTTTACATTTATCAGTTCACCATTCTCTGGCTATTCTACTACTTTGCATACTGGGAGGTCGGAATTGCCGACACCGCTGTTATTTTGCTGTCTGCACTCGTCAAGGTGGTTGTGCGTCTTCGCTCTGAAAAGCGTATCAAGAGCATGGCCGAGTTCACTGACCGGGTTCAAATCCTGCGTGATGGTACCTGGCAAGACAAGTCCACTGCTGATCTGCTGCCTGGTGATGTGTTTGAAGTAGCCGAGGGTAAAACAACACCCTGTGATGGTGTCATTCTAAGTGGTAACATTGTTGCTGACGAAAGTTCTCTTACCGGTGAGCCCTTGCCTATCCGTAAATTCCCTCTCAAGACAGATGACAATGCAACCTATGACCGTGTTGGATCGAGCAAGATTTCTACCATTTTTTCAGGTACCACTATTTCTCAGGCACAACCTACTGAAAAGGGAGGTCGCGTAACTGCGTTGGTGACACACACTGGTACAGCAACTGATAAGGGTGAACTCATCAAGAAGATTCTGTTTCCTACGCATGTCTCCTTCATCTTTAATGAACACATTAAGATTGTTATTTTGATTCTGCTCATCTACAGTGTGTTCTGTCTTGGTTTGGCCATCTGGATGTATGCTAAAGGAACAAGTAATGTGTAACCCATGCTAAATCTATTCGTTTCATTGTATTAATATGATCTATTAGGTGCCTGGTTCTATGCCATGTTTGTCATTTCTCAATTGATTTCTCCCTTGCTTCCTGCTGCTTTGGTGGTAGGTCAATCTGTTGCTGCTGGTCGCTTGAGAAAGAAGAATATCTTTTGTGTTGATTTGCCTCGTATCTTGATGGCAGGCAAGAGTGAGTATATGCCCTGGAAGAAACCCCTATGATTCTGATTGAAACTAACTTTTTTTTTTTTTTTTTTTTTTTGTTCTAGTTCAACTTTTCTGTTTCGATAAAACGGGTACTTTGACAAAAGAGGGTCTTGAGTTTTACGGTGCTCAGCCCGTGGTTGACTCTAACAATATCGTGGAAAACAGACGCAACAACACGGTAGCCGAATTTGGTAAACATGAAGAGCAGATTGAAGATATTCCTTATTTAATGCAAATTGGTCTTGCCACGTGTCATGCTGTCACTACCTTAAATGGTCAATTTATCGGTAACCCTGTCGATATTGAAATGTTCAAGTCCTCAAAATGGCAGTTACGTGATCGCTCTGACTATGTTGATTCCTTGACGCCTGCTAACAATCCTGATGCTGCTGTCCATGTCTTGAAGCGCTATGAATTTGTCCATGCTCGCATGTCCATGTCGGTTGCTGTGCTTGATTCCACTACCAACAAGATCCATATTTTTGTCAAGGGTGCCTATGAAAAGATCAAGGATTTGTCTAACCCTGAATCCGTACCTAGAGATTACGATCGTGTCACTGCCAATCAAGCCAGACAAGGTTGCTATGTGCTCGCTCTCTCTCATCGCGAGATTGATATGGAACAGATCCCTGGTGGATTGGAAGCGTTCAACCATTGGACTCGCGATCAAATGGAAGAAAACATTGACTTTTTAGGCTTGGTTATCTTTAAGAATCAATTGAAGCCGGACACCGCTGAAAATATTGCTGAATTGAAGCGTGGCGATACGAGAACTATCATGATTACTGGTGATACTGCCCTGACGGGTGTTTATATTGCTCGTCAATGTGGGTTGGCTTCAAGCGGCAATCCTCGTGTCTTGTTGGGTGATTACAACCATAGCATGAGCCGTGTTATTTGGTCTGATGTCGATGAACCTGATACTTTCCCAGATGTCAATGTGGATGAATACCTGCTGAACAAGGACCATACGCCTATCGAACTGGCTGTTACTGGTAAGGCTTTCCAATGGCTGGTAGACCGTGATTTGATCCGCAAGTATTTGCTGGATATCCGTGTGTTTGCTCGTATGACGCCTAATGGTAAGGTGCAATGTGTGCAACTTCACATGGAAAGAGGAATCACTGCCATGACGGGTGATGGTGGTAATGACTGTGGTGCTCTTCGTGCTGCTCATGTCGGTATTGCCATGTCTGATGCTGAGGCCTCTATTGTGTCTCCCTTCTCTACAAGCAACAGAAGTGTGCGTTCCTGCGTCGAGTTGATTCGTCAAGGTCGTGGTGCTCTTGCTACATCTATCAATGGTTACAAATACTTGATTTTGTACGGTCAAGTCATGGCTATGCTCAAGATTTTCGGCTTCTATTTCTCAGTATCCGTGTCCAATCTGGTTTGGATTGCTGTCGATGTGCTTATCACTGTGCTGTTGACGTGGGCTGTCTCTCAGTCCCGTGCTGCTACTCGCTTGGAAGCTCAGCGTCCCACAGCCAGACTACTCGGTCCTCAAACACTTGCCTCTGGTATGGGTCTTGTTGCCATCAACTGGCTCTTCTTGATCGGTGCATTTGTGATGCTGTACAAGCAGCCTTGGTTCCTCTGTAACGAGTTTGATTCCTCTGCCGTTGATATGTCTAAATGGTACCTTTTAGCCGATAACTACGAGGGCGAGGTGTTGGCTTTGGTCTGTTTGTTTCAGTTCATCAACAATGCTGCTGTCTTTAACTTTGGATACAAGTTCCGTAAAGCGTTCTATCGCAATTACACATTGGTCTTCCTTTGGTTGGCCTACCTTGTCATGGTCTCTCACTGGATGTTGGCTGATCCTAACCAATTTGGCTGTCTCTTTAGATTCAACTGCGGCACCAAAGAAGTTCTGGAACAAATCAATTATACGCCTCCACCTACCAATGTCGAACAGTACAACACGCCTTTGGGCCATAATGTCATGCCTCCTGATTTCCGTTGGAAACTTTGGGGTCTTTGCATGGGTAATGTGGTAGCCACTTTGGCGTATGAAAGATTCGTTGTTCTTGGCCCCGTACATACTTTCCTGGCAAAGAAGTTCCCTGTAGACAGGTTGAAGAAGACCTTGTAATTCTATGCTCCATATGTTCTACGCGTATTGTTAGCCTCCTCCTCCTTTTCTTTAATCCTTAATTTCTTTCCACACTATGTATTATCCCCACTGTATGTATATATATATATTTGTAATTTTTTTTTAATCTCTTGCTCAAATAAACATTTGCAATGTCGAGTTGTATGTGTGAAGCTTACCTTGTCTTATGCAACCTTGTAATGCAATGAAGAAAATAGTATATAAGTCTGATTTCTCTACTTTCAAAGGAGGAGCGCTACCCAATGTTGTTGTCAATTGAGCAAATGTGTAAAGCCAAAACATTCTCTCATGCACCTGAGATACTATGGTTGTGAATGTTAAATGTGATTCTGATAGTTAGTTGCCTTTTTTTGTGTCTACCAAGAAGTGGTATCTAAAATTACTCAAGTCAGGTTTGTTTGTATACTTTTACAGGTCCAAACTCTTTGTATGCCTCCCTAAAATTTCTTGCATATGAGCATCCAATGAATTACGCCAATCTTCTTGTATAACGCTGAACCGAAATTCTCTATTGACATGTTGTGGCCGACATGGCCATCATATAAATACAAGCTTGATTTGTGAGCAATGCATCAAAAGCAAATCATATAAAAACTAAAACTTGACATGCCTATCCGATGGGTATATGCAAATGGTTCTGAATGGGTTCCATTAGACATGCATGGTTAAATAAGCATCGAGACTTTGTAGGTCAATAACTCTTCCAGCTGGATCTACTGTCGACTATTCAAAGACTTGGCTGTATATGTGGACTTAACGCGAATGGCGCTGATATGTGATGGATACTCGTATACTATTGCGAGGCAAACAAATTAAAATAAAGCGTTATTTTTTTATAATTCTCGCTTATAATTATCTTAATAGCCATATTAATTAGAAAATACTTTTTTTTTCGTTTTTGATCTACAATCATGTAGGAAATTCGGAATCTATTTTTCCATTCATGTTATGAAAAGAGTCCGAAAGTATATACTGTAAATCAGGGACAGAAAGAAAGACAGAAAAACAAAAGGCTTGACTAATAGATTCAAGGATTTGATCATTTCCCAAAACTTACATGATTACAGCACATGACAGGATGTCGAACTGTTTGAATCGCATTTGTGGGTAATGAATCAAGATTTGCTTAGCCGATGCCATATATCAGACTCATCAAGTTCTCTTGTTGGCTCTGCGTTTTGTGTATTAGGTAGCCAAAATTGTTTAAATTTCGCCACGTATCTGCTCTAGATTGGTCAAACTTTGCTCAGAATCGACTTGATGCATCTGTTTTGTAAGATTTGACTATATAAACAATGTTGATCATGGCCTACTTCCTTATGCTTTTTTGGAGTACCTTTGAAGACGCTTCCAATGGTACTAGTAAAAATAAGCGTTTTGAACAAGCTTATTGAGAAATTTTTGAAAATATCAAAAGGGGTTTCTGACCGAAATACCAAAAATTTACATATGAAGGTCTCTCAAAAGCTCTTTTAATAGCTGCTTTAGATCAAAAGGATCATTTTGAATTAATATATACTATAGTAAAAGTCTTCAATTTGAGGGTCTAAAACTTGATTGTTTGATTTTTTGATGTTTTCCATGAGGGGGTACCTCATGCTTTTGAGTCGATTTTTGGTCATATTTTTTTGGTAACAAAAAAATTGAGCAAAGGTATTAGTAAGCAGCTAATAGATGAGAGAAATCGTTTGATGCTATTCCGGCGATCCAGAACGCCTTCTAGCACGAGATACTACTGCTCAAATGCATCCAGATTTTACTGTAATTTGCTTAATTTTGAGTAGCAGGAGTCAATGCAGCTGTGCTGTACGCTCGTTTATTGATTGCTCTCATTGATCAAGCTCAGAAGCTTGGAAAATAGGCTTCTGGCTTATTGGCACAGCATCTCAACAGCAGTATTTAGTGAGATTTACGGGGGCTGACAAGTATTGGACCATTCTCTGTACATACTGAGGATCCCATTCTAATGATAGACAGTCGAAGGGTTTAGGTGCTGTAATCAGTTGCATCAGGCTTCTTCCGAAGAATCTCTTTTAGTTTTATCCGTGCGTCAATGCCCTGAAATGGAGAAGGTCTTGACATCTTTTCTCTTCTGTCATGCCTAAAAAATTAAGCCAAATGTAAATCTGACATGTCTGCAGCTATAACTAAATTAAATTGGCCAATTCGATGCTAGTATCACTTTATATGCTACTGCCATGAAGGACAACATTGTTTCATCTTTTTGTTTACAGTTTGGCGCGGCAGAATTTCATCCGACCAGATGATTTTTTATCCAAATTGATCAAGAGACATCCGTTTCAATCGAATATCCAAACAGCAGCATCAACAACGCCTCGTGCTCAATATGAACTACCAAAGCGGGAGTATCAGATATGCTTGTATCTCTGTAAGCATTCACAAGAAACATTTGACATGATCGCACCCAATAGCATCCGAAATATCAATGCTATTCTTGCTTTGATTTTCGCAGGTATGATATTTAATTACACCCAATCAATGGATGGCAGGCGACATTCGGGCCATCGAAAAGTATGACGGTGGCAATGAGTTGAATTCATCGGGGCTTTTGGAGAATAATATCTAGAGACAGCCATCATGGAGCTTTCCTGTATTAAGTCCCGTATTTGACGTTGTCTAGTCATTTAATCTGATCAATGACATGTATACAAACAAAATGAAAAAAAACCGGAATCACACTATAAAAGTTTCACATTTGTCTGCGTCTCGAATGTGCTCTTTATTCATCCGCAGAATTGAGGCACTTTTTATTTTTCCATTTCCAATTAAAGCAATTGCTAATGGGTTACAAGAAAATGCTAGCAATTCCATTATTTACATTTTAGTGTGCTTAAAACAAGTGACGATTGGCATATGAGTGTATGTATACAATGATATCAGATTACCTTCTAGACAGTCTGTATCTGTCTTGCTGCATATATAAATATAATGACATCGTGTTGAATAGTTTGTTGGGATTTCCATAAGCCAACATATGACATACAGACATCATTTATACAGCAAGGTATTTTTTTTTTTTTTTTTATCATTCAAGCTCAGTGACATCTCTGTACTAGTACCAAAATCCTGGGTTGAGAGAGATATGGTGATAATTATACCATTTAGTGCATGTTGCAGTTAAATAAAGAACGCAGGAGATGCGATGAGGCATTTTCAAGATTGTGTAAATGCAAGTCCATCTTTCATGTTATACAACGATCACACTTATCGAGATGGTGGATCCCTACAACAACAACAAAAAAAAAAGACGCTGTTTTTTACGTAATGAAGAGTAACATGCAACCCTGATTCAAGCGTGTTGTCTGTTTTGGAACAGCTTTTTTTTGCACCATTAGCTTATTTGTGTTTCCGAAGGATTCGAAATGGCCAAGATGGGAAAAACTGAGCGGGATTCCCGCAAGAAACATGCGCTTTATATATAAGGGCTTAATAAGGTTTTCCTTTCCTTCTGCTCTTCTCTCCCTCTCTCCTCTTTTTCTTCTTCTTGTCGACTACACATTTTCACTCCTTTTTGTTATTTCTCTCTTAACATTACAATCTACAATCTTGGTATATGTTTGATGCACCTACAAGCACACTGTACAATTCTTTAAACACTCTGCTGGACAGTCCTAAAGAATATTTAGCCGATGTCTGTTTTACATTTCCATCCACTGAAATCTATGCTCATCGAGGTACCTTACAAAAAAAAAAGCATGCACAGTGCACTTGGATATATTAACAATATGTCGTAGCCATCATCTTGACTAGGGCACCAAGAGAATTTCTCGAACGTTATCTACCTGAATTATTGGAGGAGGATCACATTGCAGATATTGATTTACCAATCAAGTTGGATATAAGCAATATCATCTCTCAAGATGTATTTACACCATTGCTTCGATTTTGGTACACTGCTTCCTATTATAGCCTTGTATCACCTCAATCAAGTATATCAGATTTGTCGGTCAATACCCCTATCAATGGCTCCCCTCGGTTGACTGGAAAAGATGCTTTACTGCAGCAGCCGGCTATTCAAAGTCCACCTCCAGGCTTTCAATCATCAGACATTCAACAAGAACTGGAGCAACTAGGCATTGAACTAGGCACTGCTTTGCTACCACCTCATTGTGATTCAGTGCCAGACTTTGTACAATTAGTAAGCGACTTGAAGCGAATGCGGGACGAAAAAATTGCTACCGATGTAACAGTTAGTCTTATCTCGAGCAGCAGCGCAGCATCAAATGATGTGAGCCACAGCAGCAGCAGCAGCAGCAATAACAGCACTCAGTTGACCACCATTCCAAGCCTCTTGTCGACTTCGCCTGAAAACCATATCCATCCAGTGGACATTACAGTAGCAGAATTCCGAGCCCATCGCTTCCTGTTGGCAGCGCAATCACCCTACTTTTACTCGCTGTTTTGCACGCAGTTCCAAGAAGCATCCAGCACCATGGTACACTTGACAGATGACCTGTTCAATGAAGCCATCATTGAAGTGGTACTCAACTTTTTTTACACCGACAAAATTATTGTGAAACCACTGCCCACCAACAACGCCAAGCTCTCCTCGCCATTGCAACGTCGACTCCAACACAACAAACATGCACTGCGAGTGATACAAAAGGCATTTTATTCCGCAGATTATTTGGGTCACAGTGATACACTGGGTGGCGCTATCTTGCACGAAATGGAGAGGCTATGCCACCAATTCAAATGCGTGTGCGCAGAATGTGCTGTGCTGCTGCCTTCCATGCTGGCTTGGTCTGATAAACATGTAGAGGCCGTACCTAAACTGAGACGCACCTTGATCCTGCTGTACTCGGATCCTGTGCATTCATTGGCTCCTCTATGGTCGCAGCGACCCTTTGCCATGCTGATTACCTCCATGGTCCCTTCTGCCGCTTCGTTGGGTGAAGACACACTGGCAGCTGTCACCAAACAAGAACCACTGTTTCGTGCCAGAACGCCCAAGACCCTCATTCATGAAATTGTAGAACGTACCTTTTACAATGTGACCAAACACAATGCCATTCATGTGCTCCACTCGCTGCATCTCTGCTTATCGCAAATTCGCAGTGCTGATCCCTGCCCTTCCTGGTCTCGTCCTGCACTGGACCTTGTCAACCCAATTCTGCACTATACGGTCGGCATGGTGTCTCAGTTCTTTGATTTCTACTGTGTAGAGTATCCCATTTTACTGTCTTGTGTGGATGGCATTGGAGCAGGCTTCTCTGTCGACTTTCTGGATTTTTTGTTGCGCCATGTACTCAATGAAGGCATCACGGAAACAAATGCCGGTGTCATTTACCAAGGTATTCTTCGTGATCTCGTAGGGCGTCAAGAAGTCGTGCAGAACATGGCCATTGACGATGTGCTGATTAAGGGTCGATCCGGTTGTGCTGCCTACATTGCAAAAAATTGGACCAAGGTCAAATCACAGGGCGGGTTTCGTACATTGGATAAATCCACCATGCGCCAATTAGCCGAAGATATCAACGTGCCTTACCGTTCATTGACCAAGCCGTTTGATACCGACTTTTCCAATATCTTTAGTTTCAAGCCTCGCAAGTCCAAAAAGTACTATCAAAATGCACAAGATTGCAAAAACGCTGCATTGGCCGAAGTGTATACGCGTCGTCTATCGCTTGGCCATCTGATGACTCGATCTTCCACTACGCAAGCCAGTGAATCTTCTCGTCGTGTGCAAAGACCCAGAGCGCTGTCTACTGAATCTGTGCTGGTGTCTAGTCTCAGACGTTATCACACAGATCAAACGGCACCGCCCAGTGACAACCAGCCCCTGATCAATATGCTAGCCTATGAAACTCTAGAAAGGGGACGACAATTAGAGGAGGAAGACAATCGCAGCGAACCACTGACAAACACCATGTCTGTAGAAGAGCACGAAATCCAAACAGCCACCCAAAATAACACTATTGCCAACACGTTATCTGAATTCACGCGTCCATTGCTTCGTACGAGCTCGTCATTTACATCATTAACAGATCAACTGTTACCTGTCGATGTCGTCTTGCAAACGCATGTATCACCCACATCTCCACCACCATCTTCACAAACCATGCCTGCTTGCATCACAACACGCCCCAGTAGGCTCAAATTCGAATTACCAACTACACCCGCTCGGTCCAAATCTCCCAGCGCTCCTTCAACACCATCCTCATCCTCCATGCCATCTTTGTATATCCAAACTAACAACAACACAAACGCCTCTGCTGCTGGTTTCTTATCTCCTCCAGTCAATCAGAAGCACAGCAGAAATCGAAGAGGCAGCAAGACGCGTCGGTCGAGATGGAGTATCGGTAGTAATAGCGATGTGAGTGATGATGAGGAATCCTCTCTTCCTCCTGCAGTAGGTGATAAGATTGAATTATTGCGTCGTCCTTTGCCAACCATGGGTACTATCAAATACATTGGCCCGGTTCAGTTTGCAGAAGGTCCTTATATTGGCGTCGAACTTGAGAGCAGATGTAAGTTGAATGCAAGCGTTTTGTATTTTCAAGAATGCTAATCATGAATCAATTGTATAGTGGGTAAAAGCGATGGCTCAGTAGATGGTGTGCGGTACTTTCATACAGATCCTCAAAGAGCACTGTTTGTAAAGCCTGATGATTTCAAAATCTTGAGCAACAGTCATACAAACAATCATCACAGATAGACCAAGTCATTCATGTCATATTTATACCAATTCACTCGCCCTTTTTCTTGATTACTTGAGGTAATAAAGTGGTCCTTATAAACACAGTTTATTCTTAATTAACAGTGTCAGACTCAAATGTTGCATCCGCTGTACTTTTGTAATTTTTAATTATCAGGTAAAACCTTTTCTGGATTCATCAATCCCTTTGGATCTAATGCAATCTTGATGGTCTTCATCATATCTACTGTATTTTCACCGAGTTCCTGGTTCAAAAACATTTTTTTGCCAATACCCACACCGTGTTCACCCGTTACAGAACCCTCCATGCGAATGGCTCTTTCCAAGAGATTCTTGTTGAGACGCTTCGCCTCTGCGTATTCCTTTTCATCGTCTTTCTTGAACAAGATGAATACATGGAAATTACCATCGCCCACATGGCCCACCATAGGACAGGGCAAGAAAGATCCCTCCAAGTCCTTGGTGGTCTCTGCAATCAGATCAGGTAATTTAGACACAGGCACCACCACATCGGTTGTCCACACAGAGGCTTCTGGCTTGAGCAGCGTGGATGACCACAGTGCAATCTTTCTTCCCTCCCAGAGATCAGCCTTCTCCTCCTCGTTCTTGGCGTACTTGAAGGTACCACCCTGATGCTTCTTTGCAATATCAGACACGACCTTGATCTCGTGATCGACAATGACTTTGGATCCGCCAGAGAATTTGAAAAACAGGGTTGGCTTTTCAGAATGACCTAATTCAGGATTGGCGAGATTGATAGCCTTCATCATTTGCGCATCCAAGAGTTCAACAGCACCAATTTGGACGCCAGCACGCACCAAGTCTGGTACGACAGCAGCGGCATCACGAATGGTGGGGAAATCACACACGGCCACCGTTTCTTCTTGTGGTAAGACGGCGAGTTTGAGTGTAATTTCAGTGACAACACCTAATGTGCCTTCAGACCCAATAAACAATTTGGTAAGATCGTAGCCTGCTGAAGATTTGCGCGGTCGCTGACGTGTCTTGAGAATCTTGCCTTCTGGAGTCACTACAGTGAGATTGATGACCCATTCTCGCATGGTGCCATAACGCACAGCATTTGTGCCAGAACATGATGTGCCTACCATGCCACCAATACAAGCACTATCGCCTCATAGGTTAGTCTATATTACAGGACCCACAGGGCATACGCTTACCCAGGTCCTGGATCCATTGGAAAGAACAGACCCTGCTTCTTTAAATAAAAGTTCAAATCTTCCCATTGAATACCAGGTTGTACCACAATGTCCATGTCTTGGGGATGAAATTCGACGATTTGATCCATATGCTCCGTGAATGAAATACAGATGCCTCCCTTGGGTGCAGAAAAGTGGCCCTCTAAAGAAGTACCACCCGAGAAGGGAATGATGGGCAAATTGAACCTGTTGGCAATCTTGACAATCTCTGCTACTTCTTCTGTACTTTTGGGAAACACGACAATGTTGGGCGCGCCTTCGTTGTGATAAGAATTATTGGAATAGCCGTGCTCTTGTAGTAATTCTTCGTCGACAGAGACATGTTCGGCAGGTAACACTTTGCGAAGCTCGTTGAAGGCTTTGGCGATGGTTTCGTGTGATGGAATAGCAGGCACCGGGACTTGAGGTCGAGTGTGTTGTTGAGGAGGAGGAGGAGGAGGAGGAGGAGAAATTGTACCCTGCTGCTGTTTATTGCTGCCATACCAATAGCCAGAACCAGCGGCTATCAAAGTGGCAGCTGTAAAAGCTGCATAATTTGGCTTGCTGGTGGCTGCCACTTGATGTTGTTGCTGTTGTTGTTGTGCAGTTTGATAAAGCCTCTTTTGGAGAACATTTCTATAATTGAGGCGCTTCAGATAAGGATGGAGCCTAAGCATGCTTCCAATGTTAAATACAATGATGAAAAAGTGGGGAAGAACAATGCTATGAATCAATCTGGGGAAATTATTTAAACCTCAAGAGGTAAAAATATTTGCCGTTTACAAGGGAAAAATTCGGATTTTAAGGTTAAAGTTCAAGCAAAAGTGAATCTTAGATCCAAGATGGCATATGGATTGGCGTTTTGTTTACTGATGTAATCAAAAAGAACGTAGATACCATCTCGGGTAAATAGTAGCAGGCTGCTTTATCAAGAAATAAATTGACTAAATTTGTCATTTAAATAGTATTCGGAAGCTCAAAGCATCACATTTCAACATATGTCTGATTTGATGCAGACATCGCAATAGTTACTCAGCGATGCCTGTTGATGACGATGTCTCGACGTCTCCTCTTGTGTTTTCAGCATTTATGCTTCAGATTATATGAAGGATCCGGCTGGCGATGTTGGTAAGTACAGTTTGGCCATAAGCTGTGTTGACCGCTCTTGCAAAAGTGATGGGATGGTTGTTTCCTTGGATCTCAAGATGCTCAATAAAGTCGCGTTATTGGAGTTGCACAATTGCGAGAATCCAGAATCTGCTGTTGCCCGTCTACGCAGCTGAGGTAGCGTGATGACTGCTAACTGGCCAATGATTTCTGTCAACAGTTCATTAGGCAGGTCTTGGAAGCTTGCCATGATACAGTTGTAAAAAGCTTACTGACTTGCAGTTGATACAAAAGTTGAAGTTTGCATTGCAATGGTAAGCCTTTCATCTTTGTCAGTCAGCGAGACATTGAAGTTTGTTTGCAGGAAATACGACCTTACACTGCAGGAGCCTCTTGAAGCTAAGCCTGACATTACTAGGCGAGTGTTTGCTTTTCCATACAGCAGTTAGGGTTGGTAAGAAGCCATCCTAGAAGGTTCTTGTTGTCGAGCTTGTTGACAAGGGGTTGATCTGACAAGTATTTTGATAGACTGGCGTTATTAAATATAGGATTCAAGAAGAATGGCATGGCTAACGATAGCGCTATGTAATTTGCCACCTACTTTCTATACACTTCAAAAGCGTCTATTAATGCATTGCCTTCATGATGAAAAGGGCATTGAGTTTGCCAGCCGGCCCCACAAGCCAGAATTAATTCAAATTCAGACTCATAATCTGCTCCAGATTGGCCAAATCCTAAAAAATTTTCGACTTGATTTAACTGTTTTGCCATGTTCGACTATACAGAATATGCCGATCATCCTTTGCTTCTTTAATCTTTCTTGGAGTACTTTTTAAAGCGCATTCAATGGTACCAAATAAGATGGATGTTTTGAATAAACTTATTGAGCAATTTATGAGAATATGAAAAGAGGTTTCTGGCCAAAAAGTCGAGATTTTACATATCAAGGTCCCACAAAGATGATTTCAAGGGTTACGTTGGATCGATAGAAACATTTCGATTCAAGATATACCATAGTAAAACCCTTCATTATCAAGGTCAAAAACGAGATCGCTTGATTTTCGATGAAAATCATGAGGGATACCTTATGCTTTTTGGTTGACTTTTGTCCATGTTTTTTTGATCCCTAAAAAGTTGAGCAAACGTGTCAGAAAGTAACTGCCAGATGAGAGCAATTATTTGATGCTATTCTGACCATCTAAAACGGTCTTGAACGCAAGAAAACACAGCATGAATGCGTCCAGGTTTTGCTGTATCAGGAACACTAAGGACTAAATAGGGGAAACACCAGTATACTACTTGCCCGTATATGAAGTAGCTACGTGTATATAGATGTAAAGCGCCACATAAGAGCCAGCGGCCACTCTACTGACATCGGCCACAGCTTTTTCACAAGTTGCAGGAAGCCTCCTGATGTGTGTTAATGTGATATGTGCAATCAAGGGCTCAACTGTCAAGGTGCCATGGAATTATGCATATTGATTGCAACTTTCTCCATATCAGTAATGAGGATTTGTAAATGAGATGGGTGGCCACGTATTTTGGAGTTGATGACCCAATAGCTGGTGTAGACGCTATCAGATTCACGGTAATTTTAGTAGCCTCGTCTTCTTCAATATGATGTATTGGGCTGTGTGGGAATTGCTGTTGCGCCAGTACCATCACCAAGGTCAACCAGGGAGTTGATACCTTGCATTGTGGTGCTTCTTCCAATGTTTTCATCGTCCAATGCTGATTTGTTGGCTGAGCAAATTCTATCTAATATATATACTGTACAAGCAGCAAATTCGGATTTTCATGTCCATTGTTAATAAGCTTACCAGCAACACAGCACATCAAAATTTGCATGAATCAGCTTTACCAAAATCAATATGCCTCCTATTTGAATTAGAAGTTGCACGGACTGTAGAACTGCCCTTCCAGAAGATTTCAGCTACTAAAGATGTGATTTATGCCGTGTAAATAAACTCTATAAAGCAGTACATAGCCAAATTTGACAACTTTCAAGCCTTCATATCTTGACATGCATTCCTTTATGAGCCATCGGAATGACGCCAAACAATTGTACTTGAGTAGTAGTAACTTCCTGACACGTTTGCTCAATTTTTTTGAGTCCTAAAAAAAAACATGCCCCAAAATCGACACCAAATTGTGAGGAGCACCTCATGAAAAACATCAAAAAAATTAAACGCTTGCGCTTTTGATCTTCAAAAATGAAGACGCTATTATAGCATATATTAATTCAAAATGATCCTCTTGATCCAAAGCAGCTCCTGAAGTTTGTTTTGTGAGACCTTCATATGTGAAATTGCGACATTTTCGCTTATTTGACATTTTCAAACATTACTCAACTAATCAGTCAAAGCAGCTCTTTTAGCTAGTACTATTAGAATACGCCTTGAAATTTTTCCAATAAACTATTAGGAATATGGGATTATTATCACAACTCTAATAGTGTAGGTTTTCAAAATAGGTAGGTTGGGTTGATTTTGAACAGAATCTGACCAATTCGGAACAGAGGCCAACCGAGTTTCAATCATGTTTGGCAGCGTCTAGCTGTTGCTGCTGGTGATGGCTGTTTCACTCATGCTTTTTTATTGTTGAAATGAATACCAGCTGAAAGCTTTTTCTTTTCTTTTTTTGTACTAAAAAAAAACCATGTCAAGCTTATATAAACTCTCTGTTAAAACTCTTAAAAATACTGATTGGGAATTAAGTTCACTCAAAGGAAAGGTATTGCAGTATATCGAAAACGCTATAACGACATGCATTCAACGAGAGCGCCATGAAATGATAGGTAGTTTTGTTTGTGAACGTAGCTTCTAAATGCGGCTTCACGCGCCAATACAAAGGTTTGGAAGAGCTTTATAAAAAGTACAAGGACCAAGGATTTGAGCTTGTTGGAGCACCTTGCAATCAGTTTATGGGTCAAGGTAAATATTCACATGTAGGTTTCTCCATCTTGCTGTACTAACAGTCGCATATCATGTCAATGCAGAACCTGGTAATCCTGAAGGTAATCTAGTGAACCAACTGCAACAAACTTCGCATGTACTCATTGATGGAATCTGTAGAAATTGAAAACTTTTGCAAGCTCACTTACGACGTCAGCTTTCCTCTTCTTGCTAAAGTGTAAGCAAAGTGTAGATTACGCACCACGAATAGGGTTTCTGATCCACAGTATGTGTAGTGATGTCAATGGTCCGAACGAAGCACCTCTCTACCACTTTTTAAAGAATTCTAAGCCTGGTATTTTTGGGTAAATGATGGAGAGATGGAAGAGTTGCATGAACAAAGATCTCATGTTATTCCTGTAGTTTGACCAGAATCAAGTGGAATTTCGAGGTAAGATACATGCAAATGTGTGTAATGTAGATCAAAGCGATTAATTCTGTGGGTATAGAAATTTTTGGTCGATAAAGAAGGTAATGTCGTTCAACGCTACTCATCCTTGGTTGAACCTCAAGCCATTGAAGAAGATATTAAGAAGTACTTGCAAAAATAAAGTAGTAACACAAGCATCTTTTACCCGTATTACATGGAGCGTATTATTTATGCTGACTTGAAGTTTTCTCACCAATTTTACACTTTTTTTTTTCCCCCTTTTTAATTTTACTCAAAACATGGCTGTATCAAAGCAAGTGATCCATGTCATTGGGCTTAATGTCACTGTCTATGGTTTGGACGAATACAACCAGCTTCCAAAGGGAACCCGTGTATCTATCATGTTTGCTCTTCATGGTAGATTACGTAAGTTGAAAGTGCAGTGCGAACTGACAGCACCATGCTCATGTGCCCTACATAGAAAACCAATCCAAAATGGAGCCTATTGCTCAGGCCATCTGCCAGTTGAACGAAAAGAGAGACAAGAACGATGCTCATATTCTTGTAGTTACCTTTGATTGTCCAAATCATGGGAGTCGACTTGTGCACAAGCTCGCCAACTTTGCCTGGGTAGAAGGAAAGCACAAGAACCCAAATCATGCATTGGATATGTGGAGCATGGTGAATTCAACAGCGAGAACAGTGACGGAATTGATAGATGTGTTGGAGCACTATATATTCGGTCCTCAGTCTGGTTCATTAGTGCAAGTGTGGGGATGTATGGGGTTCTCAATGGGTGGACATGCTACATTTATGGCTGCGGCCAATGGTACGTGTGTATGTAACAAGAGAATGGACATTGAATGCTGAATCTGCGCAACAGATTCTCGTATTACTGTTGCCATTCCTATTGTCGGTATCGCAGACTATTTAGCATTGATGGAGTCTCGCTTAAAGGAGTCTGATCTTTCGCCTGAAATTTATCTTCCAAAACCTTTCTACGATATGGTTTCCACATCCACCAAGGATTTAGATCAGAAACTTAGCTCCAAGCATATTTTAATCATGAATGGAGGGAAGGATGTGTTGGTCAAGGCTGAGTTTAACGGCCCGTTGGTCAGATCATTACAACAAATTCACAGTGGCAGGGAAGGTTACGATTGGAAATACTATCTTGTACCTAATGTAGGTCATGCATGGTGTCCAGAGATGGTTGAATCAAGTGTGGAGTGGTGCTATAGATGGATGATGAAGAATTCAGTAGTGCCTGCTTCAAAATTGTAGACTGGCCATATAGAATAAATGTCAGAAACATAAACAATTATAAATGTTGGATAGCTTGAAGATGGCTTGAAATGATGGATTTGATGCGTGTATGCTACATGAGGATCCTATCAGCATATATCGAGAGACGTTTCCAGTGATCTATGCAGCTGTAAGCGAGCAATGGTATTTGGCCCATTGAATTGGTCCATCTAACGCGTTCGTGCGTTGTATCAGCTGTACTCGATAGAAATTTTATAAATTAACAAGGAAAGCCTAAACAGCAAAACGAAAAAAAAAATATCATATGTTCATAGCAAGCTTGCACCCCTTGTCATGGTAAATTGCCCTTTTTTGGCGTATACAGTCTGTCTATTGTCCTTTTGTGAGACCATTATGCCGGAAAAAAAAATATTCATCATCCATTCTCATTTTCTCTTCTTCTTTTTTTCTTTCTGTAATTATAACAAGATGGTTGCCGACATCTTTAGTTTGAAGAAACAGCTCGTAGTGTATGGTTCACACCACAACAACAAGGTCAATGTAGCTATTCATATGGTCTTTGTACCTACTATTTTTTGGACAGGTAAAACCTTCAATGCATTTTGCGGTAATTCAGCTTACTCATTCTGCTCTGTCTGGATAAAAAAGCGCTTGTCTTTGCTTCCAATACAGGACCACTTGTCAACGTAGATGGCACACTGTTTGCCTTCTTGAAACCATTTGGTCCCAATCTAGCTTTCTTTACTGTCGTCTTTTATTTGACCTATTATGCAATTTTGGACCCCATTGCAGCTGTAAGTTTGCTTTTTACTCGCCATCTGAACAAAAAAAAAAAACTCACCATCGACTTTTATTAGAGCATTGCTTCACCCATCTTGGTTGCCATGAGCTACACGTCCACCAAGTTCTTAGCCACTAACCCCAAAGCAAACAAAATTGCATTAGCAGTTCATATTATTTCCTGGATTTTCCAGTTCCTGGGACATGGTTTAGCAGAGAAGAGAAGCCCCAAGTTATTGGATAATCTTGTGCAAGGTAACACTTGAAAATATCGTCTTTTTTGAACCTCGAACTCATGTGTGTGTACATTTTGGAACAGCACTTGTATCAGCACCCTATTTTGTCTTCTTTGAGGTTTTGTTCTTTTTGGGCTACAGACCTAAATTATACAAGGAGGTCATGATGGAGATCAACAAGGATGTTGCTGATTTCAAAGCAAGTAAGTATAGATAGAGAGCAGTACATGCATCTGGATGTTGATCATGTATGTTATAGAGAGAGCAGCTAAAACGTCAGGCCCCAGATATCAGTCCATTCAATAAACTATTTTGATGGTTATAGTATCAAAAAGGTTTTTGTGAGCGTCTTCTCTGCGTGATGAAAATATACAGAGCACTCGTTTCTGTTTATACACACTTTACCTTGACAACTAAAGACGCTGTCCATGTTTAATCCTGATATTATTCATTTCAAGCACTCTGTACCCGATCTATCCTTTTCAGCTCTTCCCTGTGGGTGGGCATTGGAATGAAATTACTACTACAAGATTCATCTAGCAAATTTACATGCTATATTGCTTGATTTGGTCAAAAATTTTACTTTATGCTGGGGATGCTCTGTAAGGAAAAAAAGGGATGCCTTAGGTAGGCCGTTGTTGACGAAACACGACGTTGAGGAGATCGACCACCTGAGCCATTAATTATATAGAATGAACTACTCTTAATAAGAGACTAAAAAAGGTTAGAATCTTTATTGCATACCAAGTTGTAAAGTATGTTCTTCTTGCTTTCTTGGATGCTCTTTCTGACGTTTGCAAAAGCATCGAGTCCTGTGAACGAGATCGAGCATCTGAAGCAAGCAATATGGGAAGATTGCGGCATACTCCCACGAATGCAAGCGAGTGCGAACCCAAAGCAGCAAACAACCAAGCGAGATGCAAGCAAGACATTCGTCAGTTCAAGCGAGAGTCAAGCGAGCAGACGTGCGATCTTCAGCTTCAAAGCGAGTGCAAACAAGCACTCTTTCTAAAATAGACAAATTCAAGCAAGTTTAAGTGTGAGACTCGCTTGGTTGCTTGGATTCAACCTGCTCAACTGTGATCCCTATATCAGGCCCTTCAAATTGTTGATTGTTGGACTAGACCATTGACGTTCCCTTCGCTGTACCCAAAGCAATACAGCATACAGATGGCCCAAGATCTTGTGATGATTACCCATAATCGGATGAAGCAATAGGAGGAAGAGCAAGACGGCACCAGCAGCCCATGGAAAGTTATCCCATTTATTAAAGCTGAAGTGATAAAGAACGAAAGGTGTAGTGCTCCATAGTACGGGTAAATGACTAGAAACTACATTTGCGAGGATGCAGTTGATGAAATGGACACGGAAACCTGAGATTGAAGACTCCCTTCGTTGTTTTAAACCATGTAATTTTGTGTGTCTTTCTATACTAACAGCCAGTTGCCGATTTACAATTCAATTTTTGCCCTTTCCCTCTTTCATATTTATATAATGAAATGTGTCCATCACCTTCTTTGATTACATTATCTACATCGCAGCATTCTAATGCAAATGACAGCCTACTATCACCGCAATCAGACACTGCATCCACCATCACACCTCATACCACGATGGCAACAACCACTACCGCCGCATCGTCGCAACAACAACACTCTATGATTGCAGAGGTAACATGCTACAAAAGTGTTTGAATAGCCACTTGAGATAACACGTTGTTTAGCTGGAAGAGCTGCTGGGTAGATTGGATAAAGAGACCAAGATGAAGTCAGGAGTCGAGAATATGCTAGAAGTCTATTTACGAGATAAAAAGAGGACAAAAGAGTTGGAAGCACAATTAGAAGCGTACCATACAGCGATTGAAAACACAAAGAAGCGCATTGAATTTATACGAACGCATGCTGGTAAACCACATGAAAAAGAAAAAAAAAAAACTAATCAAGAGACTCATTCAATTATCTGTCATAGCAAATTCAGGCATCAATATCATTGAAGTTGCAAAACTGCTAAAAGCTCATAAATATGCAGGAACTAGTTTCTCAGATGCCATCACTCCATCCACATTAGCACAATCACGTTCAAAACTAAGATCCAATAATGGAGCAGGCGCAGGAGTAGGACCATCGAAAGGCAAACAAAAAGCAGCCATGGAGAATGTATCTTATCCTGATGATGGTAATGAGAGACAAGATGCTTCATGTTGACGACGCATGATTAAAACACACTGCGATAGATGCTTGGCCTATAGGAAAACGATTGGATCATATTATGCAGCATTTGGAGGTAGATGAATGGAGAACCATCAACACAAATAGATCACCACCATTACCACCACCCAGTACCATCAAGGAGTCCAAGCTGGAGAAACTGGAGGTGTTGATTAGAATATTAAAGAATACAACTGGCATAGAGGCACATTACCCCAAACAGAAACTGATTTCCAGGTAAAAAAAAAACAAGAGAGAGAGAGAGAGAGCAAAGCATATTCAAACAGTAACTATTCTCTAGTTTGAGACAGTGTATCATTAGTCCACATAGAGAAATTCGAATTCTAGGGTTGCGTGCATTGAGGCTGTTGGTGGAAGGACCTGACGATGTCAAAATGATGATGGTGTTTCAAATGGATATATTTTGTGCCAGGTAAGCCTGTGTATATGCGTATCCAAGTGCATCGTTGTATACTGATTCTACGATATGACAGAGCACTTGCTCGTGATCCAGAAGGATACGAACCCGAAAGAGAACAGACTGTCAAGCTAATTCGAGCATTCATTGAATACGGCGGCGTCAAACACATCAATCAAGGCATCGTAAGAGCTGTCGTTGCTATTGCAGAACAACAAGACGGCCGCTTGAGAAACATTGCATTAGAGACACTAGCAGAACTAAGTAAGTCCTTCTCTGGTGTCAACAGACTCTATTTTACTCACATGGAGAGAGAACAGCTATTTTGGATGTCGCATTGACTGTGCGATCAGGCGGCTTACGAGTACTGATTCAAGCGTTGATTGATGGACAACAAGGTATATCTGAAGTGCTGGTTCAATCTGTGTTGTATGTGCTGGATACACCCGACACACGATGCTATTTACGACCTGGCGTTGAACTGGAAACTATCATTGCCCCATTCACTGAATCCAACAAGGGTGCCAATTATGAAGAACGACTCAAAAACAGTGCTAAAATGGTAACTACATTGATCAAGAGTTGGGCTGGCCTATTTTACATGAGCGCAAACAACATGAGAGCAGCGAGATCTGTAGTGCAGGCCTTGAGGATGCCTGTACCAGAGACACAGGTAAAGTGCCATCATGATGATGGCGATGATGGTGACAGAAAGAGAGAGCTAATTCATCTGCATACAACCTCAGAAATTGGTATTGGACATGTTTTTTGATGTGTTTCGAGTCAAGCTACCCAAAGATCATCACAGTTTTTTATCTGGTAGACAACACACGGTTCAGATCGCACCTACCACCACAACGACAGAAGCCACCAAAACCTCACGTCCTGGACCTACTACTGTCTTGAACGGTGCTGTCATGTCCAACTTGATGACAGCAGGTGGCATCAGTCCAGACGCGTATGCCAGATGCAGCTTGAATCCAGGAGCTACGACAGCCAGCAATGCAGAACGACTGAAAATGCTGGACCATCATCTCAGTATCATCATTATTATTTTTATTGAATCCGATATCCTCATGGCCTTGATTGATATGGTGAAATCAGACGATATCTACATGTCGAGAAAAGCCACGCTTTTGATTGGTGAAATACTGCAACTCTCGACTCGCTTATTACCCATCTTGATGGCGATTCAGGTACAATCGTTGCCCAAGCTGTTTACGTTGGCATCCAATTTTGAAGATGAGCAGGTGAGGCACAATGCCACGGCTGCATTAGCGCACATTGACCGCTTGACACGAGCGCGTACACGCTACAACATGGCCTCCAACAGCGTCGCATCATCCACGCTGGCCACGTACAAGGGAGGGGAACGATTACTGACCCAAAACACGCCCTCCGCACGCACGCAGGAGAAGGTGCATGAAGTCAAGCTCAAGATTGGCTATGCCATTGACGATACCCATTTCAGACAACTCTTGATCGACACACAAGTATTGAATACCAAAGACTATACCAAATGGAATTGGGACAGTGTGATTGAGCTGTTACAGGGTCCACTGCTCAACCCGAGAAGACTGGAAGAAGCCATGCGAGGCAAAAAGTTCATCAAGCGTCTTTTGGCCTTTTACCGACCTTTCAAGCATCAGTTCTCTGACATGAATGCCACCAAGGGCACCATCAGTCGCTATGTCAAGACGGGCTGTACGCTATTGTCGACGCTGTTGACCAACGCGGACGGTGTGCGGTACTTGAGCGAGAACAAGCTGCTGAGCGACATTGCCAATGCCTTTAACGAACTGGACCCTTTACTGATGAACAATGGAGACCAAGCTACAGAGCCCATCTTTAGCAAGGAGCGCATGGAGAGCACATTGACCTGTGGCTATTTTGCCTTGTTGGGCACCTTCTCCAAGCACAAGGAAGGTGTGCGTATACTGGAAAAATTCAAGATCTTTAGCTGCTTCTACCAAATCTCTGAGCTCAAGAATCGCACAGACCTCAAGGTCGCCATGATCACCAATCTGGATTACACGTTGGACGGCCACCCTCGCGTCTTGCTATCCAAGATCATGACATCTGGATACAACCCGATCCGTTTATTCGCCACACAGCATATTGGCGTGATTATGCGACAATCCGAAGCTGAATACAATGATTGGGTGATTCGACTCTTGGTCACACAATTGTACGATACGCACATGGATGTATGTCAAACAGCTGTGAACTTGCTGGATGAAGCTTGCGAGAAGCAAGCCAATCTAGAGTTACTGGTGAAATGCCGACCTAGCTTGGGCCACCTAGGCGAGATTGGCAATCCACTGCTGCTGAGGTTCTTGTCTACATCGACTGGATTTCGATACTTGAATGCCTTGGGATATGTGCAAAAAGAAATGGATGATTGGTTTGAGGTAAGTTGCCTGCGAGTCTGCTGTGAATGAGTGCACTGATGCCGTACTAGCGAGGAAATCAAAATTATGTCATCCAATTGGAACTTTCGCTGGCGAGAGCATTGATCAATACACCCGAGAAAAAGACCATCAATCCGTTTGAAGAGCGAGTGGATAGCGAGAACGATTTTGAAGCACTGTAATATATATATATAGATAGCATTGACTGCAGTTTTGCAAGCTAAACTCATCTGATTGTATAGACAACCGGGCGATGGCTTGACGCCTCCTCATTTCTATGGTGAACTCACAAAAACGGAAGAAGGCTGTAATCTATTACGAGAAAGAGGTCATTTTAAGCTGTTTGCCGACTATGTGCGTAATTTCTCTTTGGTGGAGAAAAAGCAGGATCAGGTAGAGGCATCGCTTGGTCAACTCAAGGCAGTGTTGTGGGCGTTGGGCAATATTGGCGCTACCAAGAATGGGTTGCCCTTTTTAGAGGAAGAGGATGTTGTCAAGGATATTGTGGAGATGGCAGAAAGTAGTGATATCTTGTCCCTCAAAGGGTGAGTGTATGTGCCTTGTTGTAGCTCTCATTTGCATTAACACATACAACTCAACTTAGAACATGTTATTTTGTGCTTGGCTTGATTGCTAAAACTCAACAAGGTGTTGAATTGCTAGGTGAAATTGGCTGGGAGAGTGTCGTCTCTTCCAACGGAGAGCCTGAAGGACTATGTGTACCATTAAATCTCTCTCGATTCCTCAGTGTAAATTTTTCTCCATTCACACACACCCATCTACAAATGGCATCTCATCTCTCTTCATCTTATAGATACGGAACTGGAAATACAGGGCAGCATTATCTGCACCACCTCAACTGCCAAAATCTGCCACTGCTGATTCTGTCGGCGCAGATATCCTCAAGAACATTGGCGACATGAGTAACCATATATTGGCTAATGAAGCCTCCAAGAATCTGGCCAGGTAACAGTCTATTTGGGTTTGTATCATCACGATTACTCACACTGTATCGTTGTATATATATATATATACTAGACTAAAACAGGTGTATCCTGATTCATTCAAACGAGTCGATCTCTACTTCTCGGTGTGCCAGTTGCTCGGTAGCTATCACTTTAGATCGCCTGTACGCAAGTACGTATTAGAGATATTTGAAATGCAGTTTACTAGTGAATTACTGCAAGAACTGGACGAACTCTCTGCAACCATCACACAATCGACATCCTGTATCCCATTCACAACGACAACCAGCAGCGACAAGTCATTTCAGAAGCCATCCACATCTGCTGCCATTATCAATCCCAATGACAGCATTCCACAAGAGAAATTAGAGGCCAAGACCAAAATGATGGGATTCCATGTCGCATCCCAGTAATTATATACCTTTGATTGTTTAGAGATACACACACACTTTTACAACACATATACACACACACACACACACACACACACACACACACACACTTCATGCTATATATATATATGATAAACCCTAATTCCCGCCTCATTATGCTATTGATTGAACCATCTCTAACGAATATGATTGGTTCGTACTCATGACAAGAACCCCTCTAAAAACCCTATATTCCATCAGAATCTCTCTCCATCTTTTTTTTTTTTTTTTTTTTTTTAATTTTTTTAATTTCAAGAAGACTGTATATATATATATATATATATATAAACTAGAAGGAAGCTAATTGTTTCATCTTGATTTTATTCTTCTTTTCTCTTCTTTTTTTCCATACACATCTCAACAACAACAACATAAAATGACTGATATCTTACCTTCGTCACCTGCTGCTTCCGTCGTCAATGCACCCAGAAGATATCGTTTCGCAACTGAGGTTGTAACTGTCGATAATTCAGATGACCCACATAACGCCGCTTCTGTACCCATCTATCAAACAGCTACATTCAAGCAAAAAGGAGCTACTGCATCTGGTGAATACGATTACTCTCGTAGTGGCAATCCCACTCGCACACATGTTGGTGAGTCATATTCTTATGATACAAGCTGATTCGAGTTTATACTAACATCCAATAGAAAATCATTTGGCTAAAATCATGGGAGCTGAGAGGGCATTGGTTGTTACAAGTGGTATGGGTGCATTGGATGTAATTACTCGCCTCGTTCGATCTGGAGAGGAGATTATCGCTGGTGATGATCTCTATGGTGGCACCAACCGTCTCTTGAGTTTCTTGGCCAAATCTCAAAACGTAAAGACACATCACATTGACACAACAAAATCAGATTCCATCTTGCCCTACTTGTCTGACAAAACCCGCTTGGTTTTATTGGAATCGCCTACCAACCCATTGATCAAAATCACAGACATTCCTACCATCTCCAAGTACGTGCATGAACGCTGTCCCAATGCTTTGGTGGTGGTAGACAACACCATGATGTCGCCTTACCTGCAACGACCTCTTGAATTGGGTGCAGACATCTCTTACCATTCGGGCACCAAGTATTTGTCGGGTCATCATGATTTGATGGCAGGTGTCATTGGTGCCAAATCAGCTTCTGTGGGCGATGAATTGTACTATGTCATCAATGCTACCGGTTGTGGTCTCAGTCCCTTTGATTCATGGCTCTTGTTGCGAGGTGTCAAGACATTGGCTGTGCGTATGGACAAGCAGCAAGCCAGCTGTATTCGCATTGCTGATTATTTGGAGGCACAAGGATTCAAGGTACATTTCCCTGGACTCTTATCTCACCCTCAGTATGAACTACACAAATCCATGTCGTCTGGTCCTGGTGCAGTGCTTAGTTTTGAAACAGGAGATACCGGTATCTCTGAGAGAATTGTAGAAGGAACCAAGTTGTGGAGTATCAGTGTTTCATTTGGTTGCGTCAACTCGTTGATCAGTATGCCTTGTAGAATGTCTCACGCTTCTATTCCAGCGCATATTCGTGCTGAAAGATCGCTTCCAGAGGATTTGATTCGTCTGTGTGTGGGTATTGAGGATGTGGAGGATCTTTTAGAGGATTTGGAGCAAGCTTTGACTATTGCTGGTGCCTTGCCAACTCCCTCCAAGTAGTCTCTCTCTCAACGATTTTCTGCTAATCCTATTATACATGTACACTTTATACACACACACACACACACACACACACACACTATGACACAAACAAACAACAAACAAAAGACCCCACCCCACTTGTAAAATTGCCATCCCCCCCCCCCCTCTCTTTTGATTGATAATAAAAAAAAATTGATGAATTATGAAAATGTATTGTGTTTATTAGTAGTAGATGCTATGAGGATTTCTATGTATCATTCTATACAAAATCAAGTAAAAAAAAAATGTGGATATAAATTTGTCTATTCCTTGTTTTTCTTGTTCAACAAGAGAGCTTCATCTTGCTTATCGTCTTCCAGCTTGTCGTCTTCTTCCTCTGGCTCCATCACCACCACTGTGATTTGCAATTGACTCTTCTCCAAGTACTGTCCTCCATGATCGTAGGTGACATCCACCTTGAGTCGATCTCTGCCACCATTGGCCAGCATCAAGGTAGGTGGACTGTATTCGATGGAATTCAAGGCACTGTTGACTTCCTTCATGGATACGTTTTCAAGTTGACAAGTGATATGCTTTTCATGTGTACCATTGCGGATGCTGGAACGTCCAAGCGCCGTGTCCAGCTCAATCGTGACCTTGGGAATGCGATCAGAACCACCTCGCACGTAAATGACATTGATGCCTTGGAATTTGCCAGGCGTGGGTTGAAGTCGAAGCAGGTTTTCCTTCTTGCGGTCGTCCTCCAGCATGCGTTCTGAAATAGCCTTGTAAATGTAATCGCGAGGGCCTACCAGCTGCATGGGCACAGTCATGGATTGTGTGGAAGAGATGATTTTGTGTGAGCTTGTATCGCGATGAGGAAGATCCAGATCAAACTTTTTAAACACATAATCAATGACACTGTTGGGCTGCACAGGCAGGTGGTTGGTCATTTTACCAAACAGATGGATGTTCCAGCTATAAGGCTCAATCTTGTTCTTCATTTCTTGCTCCGCCAAAGCATTGGGTTGAAGCAACTTGTGGATCTCCAAGTAACTGAAAGGATAGAGCACCTTGCGAGGCAAGATGGTCAGGCCAGCATCCTCCAGCACACCACGACGTTGACGCACATACGACGTGATGGCCTTGGGACCACCACAATTGAAGCATTCGGGATCATAGTTGAAAGCAGAGAACGCACCTTCTGCCATCTCACGGAACAGCTTCCAGCCACGTTTGAATCGCATCAGCCCTTGCGGCAGATATAACCCCTTATCATCCAACGTCCATTCACGATCCGAGTGCACGCTGGAGTAATCCGAGCCGATAAACTCGAGGTTGTGATCGGGTGGTATACGAATCCAAAGCGCATCCATGTCCATGTAGGTACCGCCATAATTGTACAGCAACAAGCAGCGGATATAGTCTGTCAAATGCCAGTAAAAGAATTTCCCCTTTTCCCACTTGTCCCAATCTTGCAGCCAATCCTGCGTGCCAGGACCGAAATACCAGTGCCATTTGAGCAGGTTTTCCTTGTTGAAATTGACGACTTGGATATTGTAACCACGGCGCGTGTAATCATCGAAAAAGTTCTCTGGCAACGAGTTGGACATCATGATAATGACGGCATTGGGCTCGTGGATCCAGACCATCTCCAGTGCGCGCCAGTGTCGATCTGTGAATGTAGAGGGGTCGCTGGTCCAACACACCCAGTACAAGAGATGCCAGTTGGCTTCGTCCTCGGTGTAAATCGATGTCTTTGCAGATAGGATATCCTTAATGATCCATTGGTCGTTTTCGCCAATGACAGAGGCTTCCAGCTGATCCTTGACATTGGGGTCTGGAATCTTGACATAGTCTGGCTGCTTGAGCAAAGAGACGCCACGCCCGGGATTGCAGTCGAGATTCTGGGATCGCCAATCGTCTGATTTGCCGTGGCATGGATAACACGTAGCGCATTTCTTTTGCTTGTTGAGGCCAATGCATTGTGGATCTTTATGAAGGATGTTGTTGTAGAGTGTGTGGACGGTGCTCTTGAATGTATCATGCGAGGGGATGCGTTTGGCGATCATGGATTCCTCACACACATCTGGAGTGTCTTGAATACGCTTATCGTGCACAGGCTGCACATCAAACCCAAACAGCCACATGGCTAAATTCACATCGTCTGCCTCAATGAATCGTTGTGGATAGTCTATGTGTGCAATCAAATCCACCATGTTTCTGGAGAGTGTATACAGAGTGCCTGAAGTGAATGTCGGTAGCACGGGCATGCCATAGTCGATGAGCATGCGTTTGGATGGATTGAAAAAGTTGACTGGCATGTTTCTGTAGTAGTAGCAGTAGTGTGTTAGTCCTCTTCCCCTCATTCATCACGATGTAGATAACTTTTACCTGTATACAAAGCCCTGCCAGTAGTTGTCTTGAGGACCCAAAGCCGCCAGTTCCTTACGCACCACATCCCAACGTACAAACACATCATCATCCGTCTTGATAAGGTAATCATGCTGTACCGAGCTAGACGCCCATCGAAGAGCCTCATACACCTTTTTGCTCTTGTCAGACGGTAGATCAGGCGCTGGTACTACCAGTAGATCATGATATTTCTCCGATTCTGCTACCATCTTTGGTCCCATCCAAGACTGAATACGTGAAGAGGGTGGTTGGCCTACCACAAAGCGATAAATGATATTTGTGTCACTGCCGTCCCTGCCCTGTGTCCAATGTAACGAAGAGTCTCTTAGCAGTTGTCTCTTTTCTGCGGCTTGTGAGGTCCAAGAAGACACAATCAGGACCAAGACGGTCAATCCACCGCTGGCTGCTGGGCTGGCGGTGCTATCCAGTTCAAAGTGCTTTTGATTCATCAATAAGATGTTGGCGTACTGAAATCGATTGATTTGACCGGTCAAGACAAAAGCGGATAATGCCATGACCACCAGCAACGGTAACAGCAAGATGCGAACGGCTGTGCTTTTCAAGTTGAAGCGTGCGGTGGGCAAGACGTCTTCCAGCTTTTGGCTGTATTTGGGGCTCGATGCAAACGTCAGCTTGATAAAGTTGAATAAGAGCAAGATGAAACAAAGCGTCATTTGGCTTTTGATGGGATCTGTTGTGGTTGGGTCCATGGTGGACGTAACAAGGCCAGAGAGACACCATGTGACAACAATCAGTGTCAATAGTCGAATAATGGCATGTTTGATTTCGTAATGATAGAGCCAACGTTTCATCATACTGGTTGTCAAGATCCAGCTCCAATAACCTGCCAATATGCACTAATGGGTGTGTAAGTCGAGTCGTCCTCTCTGTATGTAGATAGGTATGCATACCCAAAGCACGGCTACATAGTATTCTGTTTGTGTTGTCTGTATCATCAAGGGCCCACCTGCATCTCTGAGTGGCACTCGCCATGCTGCTTTCAAGTTGTGAATCACGTTGAGTGTGGCAGGTACGAAACTGGTGGCTCTTAGTATAGCAACGGGCACTTCATATCGACGAGGTACATTGAGGCTTGATATGATTCTTTTTTGACGAAAGAAAGGTAGTGGCGTTTGCTTATGTGTTCATGTGTGAGTTGGAAGATGATTCTAAAGATACAAGCACTAATTCCCTTTTTTTTTTTTTTTTTTTTTTTTTTTTACCTGTGCCATAGTCTATGCTTTCCTGTGTCTATAGTGTAATGTGTTGCTGTGAAAAGAAAGCGTGTGGGGTAGTATTGAAAAAGAGGAGAAGAAGAAGAAGAAGAAGAAGAAGAGTTTCTTCTTTCTCTTTAAATAATAATAAAAAGGTGTTACAAAGAAATGAAAAAAAAAAAAAAAAAAAAAAAAAAAAAAAAAATGCTATGAAACTGAAATCTGAACACTTTATTGTGATGAGGATCATTTTCAAAGCCAACAACTCTGATCATCCAACGTTTTGATGATCCATCTTGTTTGCAGTTGAGCTCATGCATATGACAAGTAATGCTTAATCAAGCTTATAAGCGCGGACGCCAATCAACGACTCAAGTCTTTTTTACAACTGATCTCTTGAAATGGTGATACAGAAATTGGGTTGCTTTTTTGATGTGCGTCTCTTGGCCTGAAACAGTACCGTACAATTGATATCTTGAGACTTGACTCTGCCAATTTCTGATGTATTCTTTTTCGTTTTTTATCGCATCTAAAAGATCCAAGAGTACTATCAGATGGTCAACCTCCCAATCTGATATGCCGGCATGACAGACTGCATCTATACAGCGCTCGATAGTCTCGTCTGATTCATGTATTTAGAGTGCTATTTTGCGAGCATTTAAGACATATCCAACAATGTGAGGGCTCTGTCTGTAGAGTACGTGCAGTTTACATGCATTGAGGCATTTCTTGCCATGCTGCACCATCCACTCGTTCGATTCGTCTTTTTTCCAGCCATGCATTGTCGTGGAAATCTCTGACGCCAAGAGTGAGATCCAGCAGGTGATGGTATCTTTTGAGGGTGCTGTCAAATATAACCAAACTATCGATATTTTTTTCAAGCAAAGTTAATGACAGATAGCCAAATTCATCCAGACAACTGGAAAGAGGCTGCAGAAACTGAATCTTTCAAAAATCATGTCAACGTCTTTGAAATACATGTTCGTAATACATCGTCCCAAGAAGGGCTGGTCAGCCAAATGATTGTAGAGTCTAGTGACAGTATTAGCGTTATTGAAGTGTAAGCCTTGACCAAACAACGAGCGGATTCCAGGCTTTGCAAACGAGACGCCACTGAACCAGCTGCTTTGTGTCTCCAACATGATTGAAAGTCAACAACCAAATCTCTGCTGTCAACGTACTCGACAGACATGATTAGGGTATAAAAAGCAGATGGAAAAAGACGGCATTGCCATAAACCTGATTTATGGCAGCTTTTATATATAATTAGCCCAATCACAGATTTGATTAAAGCTTGAAAATTACAGAAACTATGCATTGTCTTGAAGTTGAGTATTGCTGGAGAACCAGGCTCAAACAGTTATGTCATGGCAGAGGATGACAGAGAACGGCTCTAAGACCAAGTACTGATAATTGGCAGCAATGTCGCTTATACAGATGTATGATCGAGAATGTGTGCGCACCTCCCAAAATTTTCGGCAGGCAGCTTGTAGAGCAATGAAACCATAATCAAATTAAAAGTATACGCAAAATCTGAAACAGCGTGCTTTGCAACATGGCGAAAGAGAAATAGATAGTATATGCTTCAACACCAGCAAGATAGTAGCCAGATATCTGATCCAATTATCCACACAGCGTTGATGCACATGTTGGATGAATCTCGGTCTGACCTATCAAATACACATGCCCAAATCTATGAATGAAAATTCAGATCAATGGCATGAGTCAGGATCCCAATGCTCGTTTTGAATGCGATATCAATCACTAAAGAACTATTTGAAAGGTTTACATCTGTGTTTTCGTAACGTACATGCACGTTCTCTACATAAATTTAAAAGCAACATAAAGCTCACATTTGATGTAGTACATGCCATTTGAGTAGGATGACACGCTTGCACTTGTACCAGATGCAGCTTTGGATTGTTAAATTAAACGTTTGAGCCCCACAAATTGAACAGACGTAACAGAAGACAGTGGCCAAGTCGAGTTACAGCACCTTTCCATTTGCAGTACCCTCTTATTACGTCCAAGACATCAATTACGTTTACGATAATGCAGCATATGTTATTTTGAATCTCCGACAACCACTTTTGTGTTCAGGATTGGTCAAATTGAGTGTCCTTTCGACTCAATTAATTCATTTTGCAAGATTCGACTATATGAAGTGTGATGATCATACCATGCTTCCTAATACATTCTTGAAGCGCTTTTCAAGGCGCATCCAATGGCACCAAGTAAGATAAATGTTTTGAGTAAACTTATTGAGCAATTTGTGAAAATAGGAAAAGAGGTTTCTGGCCAAAAAGTCGAAATTTTACATATCAAGGTCCCACAAAGATGATTTCAGGGGATACGTTAGATCAATAGAAACATTTTGATTCAAGATATACTAAAGTAAAACTCTTCTTTATCAAGGTGAAAAATGCGATTGTTTGATTTTCAATGAAAACCATGAGGGATACCTCATGCTTTTTGGTCGAATTTCATCCATATTTTTTTTGATCCCCAAAAAGTTGAGCAAAGGTATCAGAAAGTAACTGCCAGATGAGAGCAATTGTTTGGAGCTATTCTGACCATCTAAAACGACTTTGAACGCGAAAAATCACGGCTTCAATCTACCTAGTTTTTGCTGTATTAGGGATACTAAAGACTAAAAAGGAGAAATACCAGTATACTGCTTGCCCATATATGAAGTATCTACGCGTATATGGATGTAGAACATCACATAAGAATCAGATCCACAGATAATATGAAGAGTTTTCATGTGTAAGTAGAGGGTCAACATGAAAGTAGCAGTATTTTGATAAGATATGCAATGTCAATGTGCTGTCTACCTGTATATGAACTTTCTCATTGATATAGGCGTGGAGCACTCAAAAGGAGCCAGATCCACAGTTACGGAGAATTCCCTTGCTGAAATATATAGTCAAGGAGTGGAAATCACCATATGCTATGGGATGCTCAAGAACCATCACAGTAGACGCATCACAGAGCATTTCGTAAAAAAAAAAAAAAAAAAAAAAGAATAGTGCTGCAAGCCTCGTGTAGACTCCAAAACTGAGCTGTTTACGAATAATGATGGTTCGCAATCCTTTTAAAAGGTGCATCGTGACATGAAGGTCGAGACATATGGCTTGAACGCTACGCTGCTTTCGGACTGGCATACGAGGGGTACATCATAAAGCCTATTCAAAAAGAGTTGGGGCTTTAATGGCAACGCATAATACGTAAATGTGACACCATTTTCTACAACATGCTAGATATTTCGCATCGTCCGTTCATAGCCGAAACATCTTGATCCACAGTGTCAGTGTTTGACTCAAAATAACCAGAAGCTTCCAGCTCATTTACTATTTCAAACACTGATTGGAGCGTATGGAAAGTTTAGGAATCCAGAGAGCCATACACATTCATTGCATGAAATTTTCGAGCATATTCTACAAGGCGAACGAAGGCACTCGAAAAAGGAAATGATTTATTTCAGATGATTCCCTCATCCGACTCAAAAAACATATAAAAGAGCCACCTACTCTCCCATTGACCAAGCCCATATTTCTTCATCACATCAATTATTTATTATAACAATGTCTCTTACTCAACGTGTATTCTCTGACGCACTTCGTGATATGCAACGTGCAATGGCTGCCTTTGATCAGCCACTTTACAATACAGCCCGCCGTTCCTTGTTGGGAAGCCCCGCCTCCTTATTCAATGGTAACACTACCGCTGGCAGCCTGTTCCGTTATCCTGCAACAGACATGGTGGAAACTCCTGAATCGTACGAATTGAGCGCTGAATTACCTGGCTATAACAAGGACAACATCAAGATTGAATTAGCGGATAGTCGTACGTTGGTTTTGTCGGGTACTGTGAACGAGTCAAAGGAAATCAAGCCATCTACTGCTACTGAAGAGGTGAATGCCACTGCATCCACAGAGGGTGCTGGCACAACCGCCACAGCATCTGAGAGTACGCCAGATGCCTCTGCTGCCAATGAGGAGAAACAACTGACACAAAGGGCCTCATCAGAAGTAGCTAAGCCAACTGAAAATAGTCCTCAATGGTGGGTCAAGGAACGAGTCTCTGGCTCGTTTACAAGATCATTTGCATTCCCTACACCCATCAATAGTGAAAGCATCAAGGCATCCTTTGATAATGGCGTCCTCAAAGTTGTCATTCCAAAGACTGCTCAAGATCAAGCCAAGCAAATCAATATTGAATAATCTTTTTTTTTTCTCTGTAATAAAATCATTTCAAAAAGTAAAGTTGCTGATTATGAGTTCAATGCCGTGCAAAAAAAAAAAAATTTGTGCATTCAACAATGATGTCGAATGATCCCAAAAAATAGAGTCGTGCTCACGGTGTCATGAACTTGGTTTATTTTTAATTGTCGCTTAGAATTTCCGTGTCAATTTTACTTTCCTTCTTCCTATTTTACAGATATTGAAAATGAGTAGGCAATTTTTTTTTATCAAGATGGACAAGGGCACGTTGCAATAGTTACAGTGTCTACAGCGAAAGCAAACGCAACATCGATTTTAGGTGCAATATTTGCAAATGGCTTAATTAATGTTAGCTTGCGAGTTCCAAAGCGTATCAAAAAGAGAAAGCTTGGACGTGCGACTGATGGTTATAGCCTCTATGTGTAATGTAGGACCTCTTGCTACTGACAATCCTAGTACCGAAGAACCTACTGTTCCTGAGAATATTAACGACGAGCTCGACGATTGTTTAGACGCTGCTATATAACCAGAAGAATAGGAAATTGATTTGACTCCCAGAGAGGGTTGGTTTAATGGAGAAGTGCTTGTCGATAGTAGACTCTCCTCTGAAAGCTACAGGCAATCATGCTCCAAGCTATGCTTCACCATTGGAGCATTTCTTCTTCTTGCCGCAAGACTACCTCCATCATATAATTGGTAATACCAATACCCATGCCAGAACCGTCAATGCAACTTCGAGAGACATCAGCTACAATGAGTATATGATGTGGCTTGCTCTTCTTACTGTGATGATAGTCGTTCATCATTCTGATCGTAAGGCTTAATGGAAGCAAGGTTCCAGCCATTTTACAATGAGCATTGACTTCAAGCAGTATATGCCGTTCAAGAGATTCGAAGAAATCATGCGTATGCATACGTTCGAAATCCCGTCGATTGAAAGCAAGCAAGCTGATCGACGATCAAGGTGTTCAACGAACATATGACAAGATGTGTTATACCTGGCAGGTACTTGGTCATTGATGAGTCAATGAATCAATAGTTGGGTGAAAGAATGCCAAACCTGAAGAAGGTGCCTCGAAAGCCCCATCCCATCGGCCAAGAGTTTAAAACACTCGCAGATCATCACTCCTACTGCATCCTACAGATGGATACTGTCAATAGCCCAATGGCCAAAAGAGTTTGACAACGGCCCAGGCATGAAGAAGCCTACAGCTATCATTAAGCGGTTGGTGAAGTCATGATGGTTTGGAAGTGGCAGAACTGTGATTGCAGATTACTGGTTTGGGTCTCCAGACATGATTTCAATGCTGACCAATCTTGGACTGTATGGAGTCATGCAAGTCGCAAAAAGAAGGTACTGGCCTCGTGGAATGCCTACAACAGGTGTAGCTGAGCAAATGGAACCCGCTTATGGTAGCCATTATACCATGGAGAAGACCACAGATGGTGGCAGCATGTTTATATGCGCTTATCGAGAAAAGAAGGTAAAGGCGTTTGTGTCCTCTTGCGGCACTGCTAGGCTCGACTCAATGATCAAGGGTCCTTCAGGAATTCTGATGGCCATACTGTAACTATCCAACGGCCAGAAGTTGTTAGTGAGTCCGAAACTCCTGATGATAACCCAATGCATTGTAACACAATTCTGATTTTGATGGCAGATTCCATTGACGCCGCCAACAACTTAAGAGTTAACAAGATATCATACCGTGATATCATCTCGACAGAAAGATGGGAGATGCGTTACTTTGGTTTCCTCCTTGGTATCTGTGAGGCAAATGCATTCAGTGTATATTGAGTCTTCAGGGAAGGCAACAACACAAGTCATAGTGCTTTCAAAGATTCCCTGGCTTGGCCTTTTCTCAAGCATTGCGAGTCTTTTTACAATTGTACAATGGTGCCTGATCTACCCGTTGTTCCCAAAGCTTTAAGAAGCCATAGTTATTATACCTATGTGAAAATCAAGCGTGCCAATGGCACAATACGCACCAGGTTGGGATGTCGAGGCTGTATGTCCAAGGGTGTATTAGTCACACAGGAGTGAAGAAAGCTGTAGTTGCGACCCTGACGAGCCATTGCGTGAAGGTTTTTATAGAAACCATTTAAAGGATGTTTGGGCCGAAGAAAACAACTCGAATAATATTTGATAATCCCAAAGAGTTTTGTTTGTTAAAAAAAAATCTTTCAGGCTATCATTGATAGAAAACTGGACCCATTTGGGTTGACCCAAAATTACAAAAAAAACAGCCCATGGAAAATCAGCTCTTCGCAGCTCAAATCTTGTTGCAAAAGAACAGAAACAATTCAGGACATCAAATAGAAGATGCTTTCCATGTGATTTATCAGAATAAATTAGTTATAAGAAAGAGGATGAAATTAATCAGATAAAGAATATCGTTTATTACATTGGCAATAAGAGGGTTTACATACTATTCGAATTGAGGGATTTGATGCGAGGTTAAGGTATTAAATGTGAGGATAAGGTATTAGATGGGTTGATTTGGGTGTAGAATAATAGATCCAATCTATTATCCTGAACATGCCATAAGTCGGATCGTAACTGAATCCTGTTTCATGTCAAAGTTTATGATCTGATGTGATCTGTGCTTGAACTGATTGTTTCTATGCATTTGGAGATCCGGTTTCGAAATGATACATCAACATGCATGTTTATATTGTATTAAGGTGCCATGTTTAGTTGCCAAAATATTTGTTAAAACAGATCGGTCCATTTGGGCCGTTTGCTGAATTACAACTTGTTAATGATAGTTGTTGTTATGGTTATTGGCTTTGTCGTTATAAATGAATGAGGGAACATTGCTTCAAACCATGTCTCGTTTTCCTATTGGCCAATTCTTTCATTCACACGTAACTCGCTCATCCTTTTTATTATTACAGCAATGTTAACATTGGGACAAGCATGATGTCTAGTGCTAGGTTACAAACTGAATAACGAAAACAGACAAAGAGCAAAGAAGCAGCTTCAAAAATGCGGGCTTGTTGCGATTCATTTTCGTGACCAAGATCCTATGAGGCCCACAGCAATTGGTCTGGACGTCTTTGAACGAGACCCGTTCACATTTATTACATATCCATCAACACCAACTCTTATGCCAAATGATTTTTTCTCCTGCGACGATAGTAATGATGGCCAAATTAACTTTGACGTTGACAATAATAACAAAGACAATAACAGCACCAACAACGAACATACCCATAACGATAACGACAAAAACAACTGTGACAATAACAACAGCAATAACTATAAAAGCGACAATATTTACAACAGTAGCAATGGCAACGACCATGATACAACAAACGTGAACAACGACAACAAAAATAACCACGGTAGTAAAGGTCTTGCTGGAGAAAAACGGAAATTAGGCGGAAATATTGCGCCATTTTGCAAGGATAGATTAATACACGTAATGGAAGTCGATAGCAACTAGTGATAATCCATCCAACGTTGAATGCTGCAATTATGAATTTATCACAACCGAAAACCCAATACGAACTGATGGAAGAATTCTTCCCAAATCTTCAGCAATACTGTACGATAGACCGACTGCAATACTGGGTAGGTCAATCAAATATCTGGAGACCACGCACAAGAAAGACTTTTTTTTGTATTAAAGTGTTATAGTCTATACAGTAACTACAGGCAAGGCCAAGGTGTCAGCTTAAACACTTGCCAAAGGAAGAGAAGAAAAGAGAGTACCATGGTCTTGACGGACCATATTGATAGCAGCAGAAGCTATCCAAGGCTCCTCGTCTATGACGCATCGCCAATGATACTTCCAAAGTGTACTGTAAGCAGCACCAAGAGCAATCAGAACATCCTCATCGATCACCAACAAATCTGAACCACTACAAAAGGTAGTCAGCGCCAACCAAATAGAAGAAGCAGAGGGGAGTAGCTCTTGAAGTGACAACAGAGAGACTACATCCTGCCAGAAAAATGACTTGACATGGCAACCCACCACGAAATGGTAGAGGTCCTCTGAAGAGAAACCGCAAAGAGCACAAGCAGGAGACAGAACTTTGGTAGGCATAATCTTATGACACCACGAGCGGTGCGGGACACGGTTATGTAGCAATCGCCACCAAGGTGTGAAAGCCTTTGCAGGCATTTCCAGGGACCAGAAAAGACGCCACGAAGCAGGAGACAGCAACAAATGAGCAGGCAACTTCAAGGGTGGACCCATACGAGAGGTAATGGTACCCTTTGCAGGGTGCCAATACCTTCGCAAAGCACCAAGAGAGAGACGAGCTACCCGAGCAGCGGAACGAGACGAGTTGGAGACTGTCCAATGTGTACAATCTGGCATCCAAGAGGTAGCACCATCAGAACGGGGCATAGTAAAATAGTCTGCTTGAGACAAGACTATCTTACTATCCATGACAGGCGGGAATACCAGAGAGACAGGACCACGATCACGGTTCAAAGCAAGAAAAACAGGGCGCAAAACACGAGATGACCAAGCAAGATGAGAGGTGACACCATCGACTATACCTAGATCAGGTTGCCAGAAAGAGACATCCGACACCAAGAAACGAGGATCAAGAGATGATGGATCACGGGGAGGACGAACAGAAGGCACAGTACTGAGTACAGAACACAAGGGAAGATCAAGAAACCACCTAGCAGACCAACCAGAGGAAGGAACTAGCTTTGGCAATCTCAACAGAATCTTTCCGAGATGTTTTAGAACAGGCACAGAAGACACACGAGACTGGTAAAGACCAGGAAAACAAAACCACGGCAAGATGGACTTATGACCAGTGTAAACTTGAAAGGCATACACCAACCAAGAGGAGACAAAATCATTGGGAGAGGGTGGACGCAACAAACGTTGCAAATAGACAAGATGCAAAGCTAAGCTTTGATCAGCTATATCCACGAGACCAACACCACCAAAGTTGCGAGGAAGACACAAAGTGGACCAGACAACGCACAAGAAAGACAATGAATGGCAACACGAAATACGGCCGACATTTGTGGATTGTGCGCAAGGAGATGAGAGAATTCTTGGTCGAATCGACGAGGTTGATTTTATCACTATTGGTTACGCCAGAAAATCTCCAATCAAAGAAAATGATGCATCGAGAGCGCGACTTCTGCAACTCATGGTTGACAAGCTGTATTATCGAATGAAGTGTGAGGAAGTGCATGTCAGTCCGTGCTGCTTTGCCAATGAACCGATTTTGGAACGTGATTCCCCTGTATCAGATCACTTGCTTTCAGCCATCAAAGGTTGTAATGGAGGCATTACAGATTTGACGAAGCGCATCCATTACACACAAAAACATATACGTCTGGCTATTATTGACTATGCTGGCCTTTCCACATCTCCGAATGACATCCGAAAATTTCTCGACACATACCCCAATATCTGTAAAATAGGAAGAAGAAAAGTAAAATTGACACAGAAGTTCTAAGCGACAATTAAAAAAAAAACCAAGTTCATGACACCGTGAGCACGACTTTATTTTTTGGGATCAATCGGCATCATTTTTGAAATGATTGTAAAAGCATCTGTTCAAAACTATAATCCAAAGCGAATCCCATAGTGACAAATATTCAACTGAGTTTCAAGGGAGAGTGTGTAGAGAAGACAAACAAGCAGTTACACTTTCCAAGCTTTCATGTGTTTGAGCCTGCGCCAAGAAACTCCAAATGTTTAAAATTACCTTTTTCAAATTGAAATTTCTTTTTTCTTTTTGATATTCCAACTATTTTTCACAATGGCTATTTATTACGCACTTACTTTTGGTATTCTGGTCACTGAGGTAGGGTCGAATCTGATCGTACTGTTTTCATGTTCAAGTGTAATAATCCATCTCTTTTGTAGATGATCATCTTTGGTCTTTTGGTTGTAAGTGTTGTAGAGCAAGCTAGTCATACTTGAGCGCACCATCTCATATCTCGCAAAATAGCTTCCTCTACCCTCTCGTTGGCGCCGTGCTATGCTCAAATTCGCCTCCACTTCTCCCATGGTAAGACCAACACTTTCTGTAACAAAGATGATGAGATAGCCAACATCCGCCTACGTTGAATAGATGGCCAAAGCAATGTACGCTCTCAAGATTATCTTTGGGTAAGTTTGTGTCTAGACCGAGATTATTGTGCAGTGACCTCATGTTTTTTTGTTTTGCTGTTAGCTTTATTTTTGTTCTCTTTATTGGTAATCTAGTAAACGCGTAATGCACTCGTTCCATGTATACTGACTGCACTACGATATCACAGACACTATTAGTCGTCTCAGCCGTATCGAGTCCGAAGTAGAAGGTGAAAAGTCCCACCATCATGACTATGGCTATGAGACCAGCATCAAGGCCAAACGCTTCTACGCTCAAAGAAACCTCTATCTCACTGGCTTTACACTTTTCTTGTCCTTGTAAGTATTGATGTTTTTTGAATTTGATATTGCAGCATATTAAAAAGACGGGCAACCGTACAGGATTTTGGAGAGAACCAGTGCTCTTGTATTGGAGTTATTGCAACGTGAGGAGGAATTGAAGAAGGCAAAAACCGAGGTAAGTTGAGGGGGGGGGGGAAGCAAAACGAGTGTGGCATGATTTTTTTGTCGGCTCATGCTTGTTTTGACAATAGACTGCTGAGGTCACCAAGGGTCAACAACGTTTGATTGATATGGAAGATGACTACAAAAAGAAGGTGGATGTATTGAACGTCCAAATCAAGGAATTGAAGCGTCAAAATCTTGATTTCGAGACATTGAAGAAGCAAGCCAATCAACAGTCTGTGGAATACAACAGATTGGCTGATGAGCACAATAAATTGGAGAGAAGCTTGAGTGGAAAGACCGAAGTAAAGAAGGATATTTAAATCAGCATCAAAAAAAAAAAAAAAAAAAATGATATACCAACACCATTTGACATAATTATTCCAACTGAAAAAGCATACGACTCTTTACAATAAAATTTTAGTTTTCATGTAACACATTTCATAGTGTGGTGCTGTCAATGATGCCGAAGATCAATATTAAAGTGAAATAATGGCCTATTGTTCTGTTAAATTGCGAGAAAAAGTACCAACTTCCTCACGAATTGAACACTAGAATGAGCATGTGCGGCGGCTTGGATCGAATCAAACGAATGATCTGATGATGGGAGATGAAGACATTAGCCTTGTATGACATTAATGCACCATTGAAACCCTCCATTCTCTCGATTGTCACTTTTTTTTTTTTTTTTTTTTTTTGAAACAAACATCTCGCTTTATAAAAGGGCCCAAATTCCCAATTTGATTCTTTTTTTTTTTTTTTTTTTTTTCCTTCTCAATAACCATGTTTATTCGTCCATTGACCTCTATACCGAGTTTGGTATTCACTGTGCTCATCTTTTGGGCTGAATCCATCGTCAGGCTCATTGTGACATTCACGCCAAAGTTCATCATTGTCTCTGCAGATTCGGCTGTTCGATTGTAGCTATGTTGATCGTCATTGATGTTGCCCTTTTATATTCATCTTGCATCCATATAGTGTGTTTCCATGGCTGTCTGATTCAGTCAAGAGTCCTCGAGTGAGTCCGTTGGAGTTTGCAAGCACATTTGAGGAAATGATCAATTACTGGAATTACGATTATGAGGAACATTTCGTGAGAACGCACGACCACTATCTCCTATGCCTGCATCGTATCAAGCAACAAGCAGATGAGCAGCAGCAGCAGCGTGTAACACAAAGGCGTATGAATAGCAATGCATCCGATGAAATCCTTAAAAAGGGTGCTACCATCATCAATCAAATGCACAGATTCAAAAAGAACACAAACAGCACTTATCAAGGAAGGCCAGTTGTACTGCTGTATCACGGCCTTACCCTGACGTCTGAGGTGTGGATTTCCAACATTAAAGAAAACCGCAATCTCGCATTGTACCTCACAGAAAGAGGCTATGATGTTTGGATGGGAAATGCTCGTGGAAACAAATACAGCCAGTCTCACCTGAGCAGAAACCCAAAGAATGCCGATTTCTGGGATTTCTCAATTAATGAATTTGCCATGTTTGATATGCCAGATACCATCGACGTAAATAGCTTGCAGGATTGCACATATAGTTTGAAAGCTAACATGGTTGATCTGTTAATAGTATATCCTTAGAAAGACGGGTGCACCTGACCTGACCTACATTGGCTTCTCACAGGGCACTGCTCAAGCATTTGGTTGCCTCTCAATCAATCCTGACATGAATGACAAGGTAAATCTCTTCATTGCCATGGCTCCCGCTGCATCGCCAAAGGGATTTTCTCATCCCCTTTTGGATGGCTTTGTGAAAGCAGCTCCTTCCATCATTTACTGTCTTCTTGGTCGCAAAATCTTTTTGAAATCAGTTATATTTTGGCAGCGAATCATCAGCCCTCCTATCTTTGTCAAGCTGATTGACGGCGCTGTTCATTTCTTGTTTGGGTGGCATTGCAACAATATGTCCCGAGACCAAAAGCTAGTCAGCTACCAGCATCTGTTCAGTATGACCAGTGTAAAATCGATAGTCGTAAGTTAGAAGGCATGTTGATTTTGTTTGTCTCGATACTCATTTTAAACACCATCCACTTTAGCACTGGTTTCAAATCATCAGCTCTGGAAGATTTCAAATGTACGATGAAACACCTAGCATGCTACCTTGGAGCACTGTGAATACAGTCATTGATCATTTGCCCCCCAAATTCCCCACCAGGCAGATCACAACACCCATTGCCATCTTTTATGGATCTGGAGATACGTTGGTGGATTTTGACATACTCAAGAGCAATCTCCCTCCATTGTCTTATATCAAGAGCATTGATGGCTGGGAACACATGGACTTTTTATGGGCTCATGGGCTTGAAAAGAAGGTCTATCCTGACATCTTGAGGTTACTTGAGCACTTTAATAGCCCCCCGCACGTTTTCCATGACATTGAGGAGAAGGTGCCATTAAAGATCAAATACATAAATATAGAGAGAGCTGCTACTGTTATACCCAACAACATGAAAGTATCCACAATAGCAGTGTCGGAATAGATTGATTCAAATAAACACATTATATAGAATAGACAGCCATTGCTGAAGGTTCTGCAACTGTTAAACAGTGGAGATCCCTAAATCAAAATAAATTGTTGGACAGGTAAACTGATCGTCATCTGTCGTCATAATGAGCCTGCACACAGTGCTTTGTTCTTTGCTCTGTGCATTCAAATGACAAGCTACAAGCTCAATTCAACAGGATCGAAATGCAATGTTGATCCAACATCTGACATTTACATGAAAAGGCGGCTTAGATCATGGTTTTCATTTTGTATTTTCATGATCTGCTTCCGGACTTTATGTTTACATCCGGTGAAAAGGTAGGCAAAAAGAGCATTTGAGTTTGGGTCGGCTGGCACTGAAGGCTCATCCTGTCAAGGGCGATTGCTTATCATATAGCCGGACTACCAGTCATCCAAGAGCCCCCTTTCTTGTGACGCTATGTTGCGGAGCTGCTTGGGCTTTTTTTCGACAGTGTAAATAGTAATATCCTGTCTAGCATTTCTCAAGTTCTTCCTCTGCAAATAATATGGGTAAAGATCTATATACATCCATCCATCACATATCATAACATGTATTCATCAATCCATCGTTAATACATAGGTATCAGCCGCGATTCTCGCCACAAGCGCAGCGCCACCGGTGCTAGACGTGATCAATACAGAAAGAAGAGAAAGTAAGTAAATCCTTGGTGTTGTGAGAGGGGTCGAGTCAATGATATATGGAGCGATTTTATGGATTTGGATGCAACATGGACGACATGCACAGCAACAACACAGACGCCACTTCAGCATAGCCCTACCCTTGAAAAGCTCAAAGTGATTTGATCTCGACCTCTCACATGCACCGCTCAAAAAATTTGATGCACACATCACTAAAATGCTTATAACATTTTAGGTTCGAGTTGGGTCGTCAATCCGCCAACACCAAGTTGGGTGGTAAGCGTATTCATCTTGTCCGTGTCCGTGGTGGTAACTTCAAGCGTCGTGCCCTTCGTCTCGAGTCTGGTAACTTCTCTTGGGGTTCTGAGGGTATCTCTCGCAAGACTCGTGCTTTGACCGTTGTCTACAACGCCTCCAACAACGAGTTGGTCCGTACTAACACTCTCGTTAAGGGTGCCGTCATCCAAATCGATGCCACTCCTTTCCGTCAATGGTACGAATCCCACTACGCTATCACTCTCGGTAAGAAGTCTGCTGATGCTGCTGTAAGTATATACGCTGCCGTGTGGTTTAGGAGAGAATAAGGTTTTCCTAATGTGCTGTATGCAATGTCTTTAGGAAACTACCGCTGAGAAGAAGTCCAAGAGCGTTGAGAAGAAGATTGCTGCTCGTGCTGCCACTGCTGCCATCGATCCTCTTTTGAACGATCAATTCAATGCCGGTCGTCTCTACGCCGTCATTGCTTCTCGTCCTGGTCAATCTGGTCGTTGTGATGGTTACATCCTCGAGGGTAAGGAACTTGAGTTCTACCTCCGTAAGATCAAGGTAAAGATGCTGACATGGTTACGGGTTGTATGAATTGTATAACTAACATGCATGTGTTGACAGAGCAAGAAGCACTAAATACTTTGGACTTGTGTCTTTCTTTCTGTACTTGTTTTTTGTACATGAGGATAAAAATTTTAAATAAAATCTCGACTTCTGTAAAAAAAAAAAAAAAAAAAAAAATAATAATAATAATAATAACATTCATAATGATAATAGTGTTGATATACACATTTTTATATACAAGGGCGGCTACTGTGAGAGGATATCGAGTTGAGCTGTTTCATCAAACGCTGACACATAATTCTTCAAGAGTACACAGCAATGCTCAATCTTGATGCTTGTTGACGTTTGAGTTGCGTTAAAAATTTAAGACCATGCCTTGTAGATGAATGGAGATGAACTGAGATTGGAAAGCTTATTACAAAAAATGCCCTCAGATCTTTTTTTGTAGGATTGGTATCCCTTTCTTCTCCTCATCGTATTTATTCTTGCTTTGAAATGACAGATCGATATCTAGTCGAACAAGTATGTGGCTACTTTGGCCTTGTGTTTTGGTCGCTTCAATTGGCTCCTCAAGGTATACATGCTGCAGATCATGTCGGCTTGTTTATTTACTATTCATGTGATCAGCATACAAAACATACCGTCGAGGCACTTCCACCGGTGTGTCAGTATGGACCATGTTGATTTGGACATTTGCAGGTGTCTTTATGGGCGTCTACAACATTGGCCTTGGAGTGGCTATAGGCCTGTGGATCCAACCTCAAATATTCACATTCATCTCATGTATTTGTGTCTCCCAAGAGTTTCGCTATCAGCATGGATGGTCCAAACTAAAGACCTTTTGCGGGTTTGCTTCAAGCTGTGTCTTTGTAGGTGGTTTAGAAGCTGGACTGATTTTTGCGTTCAAGGTAAGAACATCATCACATGTGTGCTACACGCCTATCGAAACCTTGTTACCAATGACTCACATGTTACTGTAGAAAGCACAGGAAGTGAACAACGAACATGGCGTTCGGTTCTTTGGCATCATGCCTGTCATTTTTGTCATTGGAGGCTTCCTACCACAATACTATGAAATCTTTCGTAAGTTGTCCGACGTCAAAGAAGCATCTGATAAGATAATCTAATCGAAACAATGGCTATATTTTAGGTGAGAGAAGAGTGATTGGCATTTCTCATTTGTTTCTTGCGATGGATTTCTCAGGATCGGTTTTCTCCATTGTTAGTTTAGGTAAAAACGCCTTGTACAACAGGATTTTCAAAATGTCTAAATCTGTCATTATTACAAGTTTTCGGGGAAGACGTAGACTCGTTGGATCTAGCGAATTACATTGCTATTGCTTGCTTAGATACCGGCATTTTGGCCCTTTACTATATTTTCGAGTGGTATCAGGCAAAGATGGTGTCCAAGAAAGAGCCATCAGAAGAATCACACATCGATCAAGCTACCGTAACCTCGATTGAGGTAACAGAAAGTGTGGTAGAAAACGACCATAAGAAGGAAATTTCTCAGGGAGATTAGCAAGCTCCTTTTGAATAAGAACGAGTAACATTCACTATGGAAAATCTTTTACACTAGTCCAAGAGTGTTGAAACGAGTTTAGATCCATGGATAAGCTTATACTATACTGTAGAGATGTCTATATTTTAGATTGTACAATAATAATAATATGCAATTGCTGATACCTGCTAATACATTAAACATAACAAGCTAAAATACAATCAAATACAGATGTGAGCATTTATTGCTGCTCCACACACTCTCTGATGTCAAGTCTGTAGTAGGGTAGGCACTGGCTATGAACACATCATTGTCATTATCAGAAAGGGCATTTGGGCCAGCCAGCAGCAGCGCCACCCGCTAAAATCAATTGAAACTCCGTCTATTTTTTCTGTTCACGATTGGACAGATTTTGTCTTTTTTTTTTTCGACTTTTAAAACTTATTTTATGATATTCGACTATGTAAATTGTGATAATCATCTGATGCTTCCTAACCCATTCTTGAAGCACTTTTCAAGGCGCTTCCAATGGTGCTAATTGTAATAAATACTTGGACTGAACTTACCGAGCAATTTAATAAAATTTGAAATGAGGTTTTTAGCGAAAATAGCCATATTTTGCATAGGAAAGCCTCATAAAAGTAATTTCGGAGGTTGCTTAGGATCGAGAGAAACATTTTAATTCAAGATATACCATAGTAAAAGTGTTCATTTTCGAGGTGAAAAACACGATCGTTTAATTTTCGATGAAAACCATGAGGGATATACCTCATGCTTTTGGGTCGAATTTTGGCCATGTTTTTTTGAGTGTTCAAAAAATGGAGCAAAGGTATCAGGATGTTACTACTACTCAAGTACAATTGTTTGGCGTTATTCCGGTGGCTCAGAAAAGTCTACATGTCAAGATATGAAGGCCTGAAAACTGTCCAATTTGGTTATGTATTGATTTATGGCTTTTATTTACACGGCATGAATCACATCTTTGGTAGCTGAAGTCTTCTGGAAGGGCAGTTCTGCAGTCTGTGCCACTTTTAATTCGAACAAGAGGCACATTGATTTCGGTAAAGCTGATTCATGCAGATTTCAAAGCGATATGTTGCTGGTAAGCTTATGAATAACCATGGAAATGAAAACCCAGATTTGCTGCTTGAACACTATCGTTTTACGCCTTTGCTTGGCTACGGTAAAACCTGTTAGAACTCATATTACCCAATGCTAGTGGATTGGGCTTCCAGATGATGAGAGGCATGTAAACTGATCTATTCAGTAGTGTTTTCACTGAATTGCTGGTAACATATCTCAACGTCTCAACAGTGTGTATCCAATCCAATTAGCCAGTCTTTGTCTTTTTCGTTTTTGATATTTGCACCAAATCCCTTGAGCTGTTTGGTATTTTCCATTGTCAAGAGCACTAACTCTTGCATTTTCTTCCTTGATGCTGTGATATCAGTTGCCTTGACTTGAGGAACTTTGTTCTAATATGCAAGTATTTCATTGACATCATACATCACTGGAATGTCTCCCAGTTCCAAGTGCTCCAAAGGAACAATGTAGTTGAATGTATCCAGATATGTTACAAGCAAAGAAACACCATCCAGTTTGTACTGTACCCATGATTGTGTCCGACAATCTGAATCCTAGCTTGATTGGGATATGCTGCAATCCATCCAACATGCGCTGAATACATTGTAAATCCTTGCTCGTGATTATTTTCGTTTTGATTTTGAAATGCCTGATGCTCGGTTTCTTTGAAAGACGTGTTTAAATCAAGCGCTGAGCGTTGATTCATCTGTAGTAGTGCGTGCTGTCTGAGCGTTGCTCAACGTCGCTTCCAGATTTTGTAAATGTGCTAGCACACTGATCAAAGTTGGCCGTTATCTCAAACAACAGCTCTTTTGTGGCAGATGATACGATCAAAGTCCCGGATTGAGAAAAGCCCTTTAAATATTGCAGCAAGTTGATTTCAAATTTCTTGCGCGATGTTTCCTATGATATGTTGTATCTATTGGTTTCAATTACTTGATGAGCAAAGGTTTCTCTTAAGCGAGTAGGATGTTCTCGTCTGTATTTTAGCAAGAAGGCTTTCTACGCAAAACAATAAATAGGTAATTCCGGGGGGAGGGGGGGGGGGGGGGGGGGGTTTAGGATGCATTGCAAATGTTGGAGGTAGTCTTGGCTGTGTCGTGTTGAGATGTCTGCATGTAGTGACTCTAGGCAATAGCGAGGGCTTGGTGGATATATACGACGGATGCCTGGACATAAGCAAAGCATGATCAGGAGGTCGTCGTATGCAAAAGCTCTCGTGTACAAGCTGGCTATATCGATGTATTTATAAAAAGTCTCTCAGAAGCATACCAACTGTAGCTGTAAAGAATCTGGACCTTTAAACCTGACATGCACCACTGCGAACTGGGCTTGGACTTTGGGCCCGATATCAAGTGCTAAAACAATCGAGACTTGCTTTCTTTTTTGTCATGAAATGCAAATATGTCTAACCAAGAACATGATTTTGGAGCCGAACTAGACAGCTACATTAACGAATCAGCACCGCCAAATCAAAGCAAAGAAGCAGCGCAAGAAGACTGGACATTCGATAAAAGCACTGGTGTTTATGTGATCCATGATAGACGGCTTGTCATGTACTATGTTGACGGAAACTGGGTGTGTGGTGACTATGACACTGTTTACAACAATCGATACATGTTTGATTCAGAGACACACTCTTGGTTCGACACAGTGACCAAGCAGTACTCTTTCTACGACGAGGCGAGCCAGTCGTATGTACCATTAACAGACGCTTACTGGGCAGGCCATCCACAAAGCACTCAATCCATACGACTCGTTGTACAATCATCACCTCATTTTCAAAGCGGACAAGTGATACTCGTGGATGAAAATGGAATCAGCATAGGGCGTGATCGGTCTTGGGACAGTAGGCTTCGATTACCAGAGATGATTGTGAGCAAATATCATGCCATGGTGTTTCTAGACAAGAAGGAAAAGGCGTTTTACATGATTGATAATGGGTCACAGCATGGCACCTTTGTCAACGGGAAGCGGTTATCAGAACCCAAGCAAAGCAGTTTACCATACGAACTAAGGCATTTAGATATCATTCGGATTGGATCCACCAGTTTGCAAGTGCATCAGCATGATATGGGCTGGCCCTGTCAGGCTTGTTTAGCGAGCGAATACATTGACACCACATCAGGCAAAAAAGACAAGGCGCAACAACAGCAGAAACCAGAAGGCCACATTGAGGATTTAGAGGCAAGCCGACGAGAGTGGATCAAGAGGCAAAAGAAGTTGTACGCACTGGACGACGACACTTCACAAAGCTATGTGGATCGTGCGCATATCAGAAGAAAGACGACAAAGCCTGAAAAGTTTGTCCCTGAAAAGCAAGATGACAGCAGCCACGTTGATTATGATACCCACCAATACAAAGCATCTGCTGCTGCTACTACTACTACTACTACTGCACCACCAGTGACAGTGCATACACCCGTTCAGGGCATTGGTAACAAAATGCTCCAAAAGTTGGGCTGGCAAGAGGGGCAAAGTCTTGGTAAACGTCAAGATGGCATTCTAGAGCCCATTGCACCTGCGAGCCAGTCGTCAAGAACTGGTCTGGGATCACAGCAGGCTACTATAACAACCCAACAGGAAACAAGAAAAGAAAAGCAATGGCGGCTTGCACAGCAACGATATCAAAATGCATTTTCAAATGATAGATGATAGATGAGAAATAAAAACCAGTTTTATTCATTGTATTCAAAGATGGATGCGTGTGTGTCTGTGTGTGTGTGTGTGCCTGTGTGTGTGTGTGTGTCTGTGTGTGTGAGGATGGGATTGGGGAATGTTACAAATGTGTTTATTAAATCTCTAGTTGGAAATCTTAAAGTTCTTGGATTCAAAGGTACAAGTACTAGCAGACTTGGAAGTAACATAGACCTTGTAGTGATAATCAGCAGAGGTATCAATGTCGTTCAAGACCAAGTGGTCCTTCAAAGTAAAAGAGTTTTGGAAGGATTCGGAGCCTTGCCAAGCAGTGTTGACAAGCGTATCACCCTTGTAGAGGTCAATCTTGGTCAATGCATCGGTTTGAGAAGCAGCATCACGGTTGACTTGAAGGTGGAGATGATCATTGCTCTTAAAAGTGCTGCCTTCTTTGGGATAGTCGACAGATAAACCGAAACAACCATCTTGGTGCGTTTGAGGATAGATGCTGTTATCGTGGAGAGATTCAGCATATTCAATATCACCAGCAGCGTTGGTGTGAGAACCAGTTGTCACCTTGAATGTGCGAGAAGTTTCAATACAATCAGGGCCATGTTGGTTGTTGATCATGTTGGTGACCCAGACACTACATCAAAAGTTAGTATCTATTGGATCTTGCACCTGCTATTGTGTGCACCCTTACCGATAATAGTAAAGACCAGCCTTGACGTTGGAAGGGATCTGATCAGTGATGGTGGCCTTTGTGTTCAGTGCGTAGCTACCGCTCCACACATTTTGAACGTATTTGGCTTGACCTGCGCTATCAACAGAGTATAACTATTGATTTGAAATGTCAATCAACAGATGCTTATATACAACATGTGTGTGCTACATTACATCAAGACCAGTAATTTTCTTTGTACGTTGATCAGCCTTTCTTGCTATAAACAAAAAGTTTAGCTTGATTGATGTATATTGATTGTTGTCACATCAACTTACTAACTGTGATCTTGGCATTTTGGCCAGCAACAGCGACAGTGGATGCTGTGGGGGCAGTGACAGCAAGGCCTATACATGTGTGAGTTGTCTGTTCTTGCTGGGCAATGGCTTTTAAAATACTTACCACCACACCATGACTTCATGGCATCAGAGTATGAATCGGCAGTGGTGTAGGTAACTGCTGAAGATAAAAGAAGGGCAGAAATAGCAGCAATAGAGAACTTCATGTTGGAGAAAAAGAGGCAAGGAAAGAGTATAAGAAGAAAAAGAAGAAGAAGAAGAAGAAGAAGAAGAGAGGAAGACGAGCAAGGAGAGGCTTTTTGTATTAATAGTTTGTAATTAGCAATTTGATGGACATTGAATATCAAATGTTACACTGTGTCCATGTCGCTAAATATAACTAAATCACCATTGATAATGAGAGAACAGAGACCCAACTCGCTCCATATTCTATACTGCGATATAAATAAAAACCTGTACAGTAAGGCTGGTAAATATTGGCTGATTTAGAAACGCAAATGGTGATAATAAAAAACCAATTTGGTGCTAACAACTATTTTGGTGCTTCCACTCTTGATTGACCGATTTTTTTTTTTTTTTTTTTTTTTTTTTGAAAACACTGCCCATTTTTAATTGAATAAACAATCATACCAAATTCAATTTGGCCAAGGAGTCTATAGTGCATCATCGAGCGCACTGTAGTAGTTGTGCCATGACATTGAAAGGTGAACATGGGCGATGCCCTGAGTGAACGCATCTGGTTGCAGGTAGGGTCATTGACGCCTACATTGGACCTTTGCTAGTAGCGTCGTTGCAAAGTAGGCTTTCCTTCAATGGATTGTTATGATGATAAAGGTGGAAAGGGAACAGCTAAAGCAACAACAGCGGAAAGAACAACAGCATGAAAAACATCAGCAGCAACAGCACTAGTAAAAGCAGATGACAGACCATCAAAGGACACGATGAACATCAAGTACAGGCCCTTTCAGTTTAACTATTTGGTTATGGACAATGCACAACTACCCTCGTATAGAACTGCCTCTTAAAACTGCCATTGAGACAATAAAATATTTTAGAACCAATCTTTTTTGTACTTGTTTGGTGCTGATGTGCTACCACTGTCTTGGTTGAAAACGAACGTTGGCCCAGAACGAGTCTGTTCCTTTTTTCCATACTTTATATTGAAAATTGCTATACTTGGTGGTAGACCCCGACCAATGTTAGTGTTTTATTCATTAAAATCATCATCCGCGATATCCGTTGCATTAGGATACACTTCCTGCAATCCCAGTTGCGATGCTGTGTCTTGTCCATCTCTCAGTACATTGACGATACGGACAAGGTCCGTTTTGGTTGGATCCTTGTCTTTTAGCACACGAGTCCAAGCGAAATCCATGGCATCAAAATATTCCTTGTATTCATGAAGATCTGTGTCCTCTTTGAACGCATCACAAAATTCATGAAAGTCGCCCGTGTAATTCAGTAGGCGTTGGATGGGTGCCTTCAAGTGGATGGTGGCCAGGATGACAGGGGCGAAATCTTGCCACAGTTCTGGCAAACTCTCGTAGCCTCCTACTTTTTCAGCTCTATTTCTCTCTGTTAATTAATTGGTCTTACACAACAATCTATTTATAATTGATTTATACCTTTTTCGATATTTTCTTGTAATGTTGACATAGGCCTCGTCTATCTTGTCAATGTGTCTCTGCTCAATGTGCTCTTGGTGCGCTGATAGTGCTGTGTTGGTGTCAGTATGTGTTGCTGATTCATCTAGAAAACCTCCTCCAGAATCCATGTTATGTGAGATTACAAAAAGAGAAAAAAAAAATGAGAGAAACACGAGCAATGCTGGCTATTTTTTTGCTGCAGCAGTAGCAGCAGCAGCAGCAGCATTCAGTTATCATTGGCTCAAGCTGCCAATGTCTGTGGGATGACCCAGCCCGCATTAATGGCAAATCACCTTGTTTCAAATACTTATAAATTGAATCGTTGTCTAATGAGGGGTTTTATTTATAAGGAATGATATACAAGAGGAAGGATAGAAAATGAAGGATTTTAGCGTTTTTCTCGGCCTAACGAATCCATTGTCTCTAAAGCTGCTTGAGAAGCGGTCTCATGAAGGGAGCCGTTGACCACAACAGTAGGGCTGTTGCTTTCGGATTCATGAGGTGGCTGATTTGGTGGGATATCATCTTCATCATCCAACTCAAATTCATCTTGATGCCAATCAAAGTCTTTTTCTCCGCGGCATTTCGCAACAATAAAACGAATCCACAGGGGCAAGAAGGAACGAGCAAACACAGCTGTCCACCAGTTTTCACGTTGAGAATAGTCAGGATGAATACGTCCACGAGAGAGCTTATCAACAATCAAGACAAAGCCATTGATGATAATGTAAGCAAAGATACCACCAATAACACCATAAGCGATAGAGTAAGTGAAGGGCATGACAGCCATGGTGATGAAGGATGGAATTGCATCACCAGGGTAATCCCAATTGATGTTACGGGCACTGGATGTCATCATGGAGCCAACCAAGATCAATGCAGGACCAGTGGACCATGGAGGGAAACTTGCAAAAATGGGAGAAAAGAAGATACTGATAAAAAAGCCAAAGGCAACAGTGATGGCAGTAAGACCAGTACGTCCGCCCTCTGCAATACCAGCACCAGACTCGACAAAAGTTGTGCATGAAGAGGTACCAAAACAAGCACCAATGGAGACACAAGTGGCGTCAGTCAAGAAAGCACGGGTAGAGTGTTCAAAATCGCCAGACTTGTCAGTGAATCCACCATAGCGTGCCATGGAATACATGGTACCAGTCGTATCCAAAATATCGACATAGAGAAAAGTAATCAATGCAATCCAAATCTCCTTGTTGCTAAAGTTGAAATCAAATCTACCTAGCACATGCTTCAGATTGCTGACAGTGACGACCCTTTTAAAGTAGTTGAACATCTCGTCACCAGCAGGTGTGTGGGGAAAGTAGGTGATGGGGCTGTTGCGAGGCCAAGATGTAATAGCAATAGCAATGATAGCGATCAGAATAGCACCACGAACACGGTACATCAATAACAAGGACATGACGATCAAACCCAAGAGGCCCATATACATGGTGGGCGATGTCATGTGCCCAGCAGTACATACACCGTTTGCATCCTTGAGATCGGCAGGACATCCACCCAAAGTGACTAATGTCGAGAGATCCAATCCTACCAAACCGATACCTGCAGATGACTGGAGACCAATGAAGCAGAGGTAAAGACCGATACCACAACCCATAGCCACCTTGATACTCATAGGAATGATACGAGCAAACCACTGTCGCACACCAAACAGCGATAGCACAAAGAAGACGATACCTTCGACAAAGACTGCAGCCAAGGCGGTTTCGTAAGAAACGTTACCAGAGCCGTGGTAACCAACGATTGTGTAAGTAAAGTAAGCATTCAAACCCATACTACACACAAATATATAAGTATCACAAATTCATCTAGGCCAGAAAACCCTCTCAAGACTTACCCAGGGGCCATACCGAGAGGAAGATTAGCAAAGACGCCGATGAGCACACTTGAAATCATGGCACAAATAGAAGTAGCCATGATCAAATCAAGCTTGACTTCATACACACATGACATGTAAGCGGCATCATTATCACAGACGGGGTCAGCAGCAGTGCCTTCACAAACACAAGGGCCTCCACTCTCTGAAATGATGGAAGCATTGACAGAAATAATATAAGCCTATTTCAGGACATGTTAGTTTGGATGCATGTATACATGTGATCTCAGAGAGGATATGTTACCATGGCAAAGAAGATGGTCAAACCAGCACGAAGTTCAGTTGTGAATTTTGTGTTTTTTCTCTCTCTTCGATGGCCAGAGCCTTCCAATTGGAAATGTCTTCCAACAAAAGATTGAGCTACTGCATCATTCAATTTATCAACCCAAGCGGCCATAGTAAATGATGATGTGAATGTAATATTACAACGAGTGCGCTGTAATACAGTTTACAATGGGAGAGGGGAGCAGCGATTTTTTTGCTTATAAAAAAAAAATGAAGAAAGAAGAAAGAAACTTCAATCATAATTTAAGAGTATTCGTTGGTGAAAAAAGAGAAAAAAAAAAAGAATGTCACCCTATTGTTTCTTCTGTAAAGGTACCAATGAAAAAACATTTAAATTAGCCAAGAAGTCTAACCATGGATTGGGTTTTGACAGATGAGTGGCAAGGATGTGGTTTCATCCACATGTCAGACTACTATGATATAGTAGGCTTGGGCTTCAGTAGACTGTAGATACTACACTCTGGTCTAAAGGCACACATTTGCCATACTGCTACTCTGTTTGCATGGCAATTCGCTTCGACCCGTGCTCCATTCCTCCATTTCATGAAAAAAAAAAAAACAAACAAAACGAAGCGGAGCATGTCGGTTTTTAGCCTATAATAATGTTGTGATCGAGCTGAGTTGATGATTTGATCAAGGATTCGAACAAGATGTCAAACATGTCAAAGCAGCATCCTTCACAGAGGCGAGCAAAAAAAAAAAAGAGCATCATGCATTACATTTGGAACAGCACCCTCGGTGGATAGCAATGACTAGGCAGAGCTCTGTATACACCCGACACATTGGAATAGAGTCTTATCTATGAAGGTCTAGTTGAACCTGATGTGTTTATCCTTTTTTAGTGTAACATTCAAATCTAAACTTTATCTACCCTGATTTTTTAGAAAATGGAAACAGCCATGTACAAGGTAAAATGTGATAAACTGAGTGGATCATGTGGATGGTCCTTTCCATGTATATATCTACAATGCCTTCATCTGACAGCCAACGACAGCTGCTATATACCGAATATGAGGCTAGGATTTCCTGAGCGAATACTCAAGTTCATTTAGTGCGTCATGTTATTAAACGGCTTCGAGCGCGCTCCTGATGGAGAACAAACGACAAGATAGAGACCACTGATCAGGGGGGGCCGCGCCAGTATACGCGCAGGTTGGATCACCTAGTGGTTGGAGCCACCATTAAGGGTTGCTTGAGCTATGAACTACTCCAACATGACCGACAGCACGTTGGACAAGCCTTCTACCTTTGTTCATGTTTAGTAAAAGCCTTGAGCTACGCTGTTGTTTGATCATTTGATGAGAATAGTAGTGAATGATGGAAAAGCAATAATAACGAAAGGTAGTGGTAACGAGCACACTTTAGTAGACTGATCTCAGACAAGTGCCTCTATTTCAGTGTTCTATATTTTGTACAATGCTGTCATTTCAGCAGAGTCTATCAAGTCAAAAAACAAAGCAGGGTTCACTCCTCAAGTATGTTATGCCACTTGGCCGATCTATCTCGCTACGCTTTATGTCGGCGTTGCCCGGTGGGCACTCGCCAAAGACACCTTCATGAGGAAAAGCTCCTCCAAAAATGTAGTCGGGCTAATAAAGTTGTCCTGTCAACTCCATTGCCCCCATTTAATCAGCATCGCAATCATCATTGTCATCAACAGAAAGGTATTTGGGCCAGCTAGCAGAGCCGCCGCAGCCAAAATTAATTCAAACTCAGTATATTTTTTCTGTTCAAGATGACCTATTACTAACTCCATCTTTCGATTTAAAATCGAAGAAAAATATATTAAATCCTAACAACTTTTCCGATTAAAAATCGGAAAAAGATTTTTATACGTTTTTCTCTTTCATTATTCACTTAAATTTGAAATAATTTCAGAGTATAATACTTGTGATTAATATATACAATACTACATAAATATGAATATACATTTATTATTGCTTTTTTGTACTAATCTGTAGTTAAGTAATTGACAGAAAACACAGCCAAACGAATTGCCTTTTTTGGTAATTATTTGTCATTTGAGCCGCTGCAATGGATCAACCCTTAGTTTGAGCCTCTCCAATGGATCAATCTCTAATGTGAGCCTCTGTATTGGATTAATCTTTAGTTTGAGCCTTTGTAATGAATTAATCTTTAGTTTGAACCTTTGTAATGAATCATTATCTAGTTTAAGCCTCTGTAATGGATCAACCTTTAGCTTGAGCTTCTGTGTTGAATTAATCTTTAGTTTGAGCCTTTGTAATGAATCGTTATCTAGTTTAAGCCTTTGTAATAAATCAACCTTTAGTTTGTGCTTCTTTAATGGATTAATCTTTAGTTTGAGCCTTTGTAATGAATTAATCTTTAGTTTGAACCTTTGTAACGAATCATTATCTAGTTTAAGCCTCTGTAATGGATCAACCTTTAGCTTGAGCTTCTGTATTGAGTTAACCTCTAGTTTGAGCCTCTGTAATGGATCAACCTTTAGTTTGAGCCTTTGTAATGGATTAATCTTTAGTTTGAGCCTTTGTAATGGATTAATCTTTAGTTTGAGCCTTTGTAATGAATTAATTTTTAGTTTGAGCCTTTGTAATGGATCAATCTTTAGTTTAAGCCTCTATAATGGATCAATATCTAGTTTAAGCCTCTGTAATAAATCAACCTTTAGCTTGTGCTTCTTTAATGGATTAATCTTTAGTTTGAGCCTTTGTAATGAATTAATCTTTAGTTTGAACCTTTGTAACGAATCATTATCTAGTTTAAGCCTCTGTAATGGGTCAACCTTTAGCTTGAGCTTCTGTATTGAGTTAACCTCTAGTTTGAGCCTCTGTAATGGATCAACCTTTAGTTTGAGCCTTTGTAATGGATTAATCTTTAGTTTGAGCCTTTGTAATGGATTAATCTTTAGTTTGAGCCTTTGTAATGAATTAATTTTTAGTTTGAGCCTTTGTAATGGATCAATCTTTAGTTTAAGCCTCTATAATGGATCAATATCTAGTTTAAGCCTCTGTAATAAATCAACCTTTAGCTTGTGCTTCTTTAATGGATTAATCTTTAGTTTGAGCCTTTGTAATGAATTAATCTTTAGTTTGAACCTTTGTAACGAATCATTATCTAGTTTAAGCCTCTGTAATGGGTCAACCTTTAGCTTGAGCTTCTGTATTGAGTTAACCTCTAGTTTGAGCCTCTGTAATGGATCAACCTTTAGTTTGAGCCTTTGTAATGGATCAACCTTTAGTTTGAGCCTTTGTAATGGATCAATCTTTAGTTTAAGCCTCTATAATGAATCAATCTCTAGTTTAAGACCTTGAAACAAAGACGCGGTGAAATAAGTCTTATGTATCGCTCTAATCCAGCCTATGATATGAATTTACGATGCCATTCAGGGAAATTATGTAGATCATGTTGTAAAGTTGGGCAATGTGCGTACATTGCCAACTGCGCTTGGACTTTCCTTTTATTGATGTCTACGTACAATGGCTATTGGACCATTTTTCATGCCTTCATACACAAGCTTTATATACCAGAAACTTAAATTATCCAAATTTGCCATCCCAGTTAGTTCATGGAAAGGAGACGTTTCCACCTCAGTATCTGGGTGTTTATACTCTGGCCAATTGACAAGATGAAGTTCACCATGCTTATTTTTTAGCAGGTCAGTCCAAGGAACTTGTGAGTATCTCAGGGCCGCTAAATGTATGAAAAATAATCAACAATTAGATGAACTGTAACAGAATCATTAGGAGCAAATACACGTACAGGTCATTTGCGTAGCCATCTCACGAATACCCTTGAGGTACTCCGCTTTCAACAGTGATTCCTTGTCATTATCAAAAACAGTAGCAGACGTAGATGCAAGAGCAGAACGAGCAGGAGCATTACCGTTGGGAAGCAAATTCGAAAGAAGTGGCTCCATCTGAGAGGCAGGCAAACCAGGCAGACGTTCAACTCTATCAGCGTGAACGCCTAAGGCCGAATCTTCCTGGACAGGACTCCCAGCAGTGGGACTTGATGGGACAGATGAGGCCTCAGACGTTGCTAATTGGATTTTAGGGTTTGATATAATCGTTGACCAGCTTCAAGTCAAGCCCACTTACTTTTCATAAACGTCTTTAGCAAACTTAAATCCAGTGAATGTCCTAATACTTTATGCACAGAATCCACATTGTCAGAGGCAATTTCTAAACATTGTTAGCTCTCTCAGAATAACACAGATCATTGAATTACCTACTGGAATTAAAAAAAATATCACTGGGATACATAAAATCGTTATCAGTTTCTGTATAATGATACAAGACGGCATGAAAATTGTATTTGTCTCGCATCGCTACGAGGCTTTTAGTGATGGTATTCAAATCATTATGGTAGACTTCGAGTCTTCCTCCGGTGGTAATGGGCTCTGCATCCCTAGCCTTGGTCTTTTCTGCGGCTTTCAATTTTAGTTGGTTGACCTTGTCAGGGTTGTTTTTCTTGAGCGCCTTCCAGGCTTCCGCATACTTGGCCATCAAGTTTTGTAAATCGTTGGGTTTTCCCGTGCTAGCAGTAGAGGACACCTCACTCGTCTGCAGCATCATCTCTTGCTTGAACATGTCATAGCCACTGATTGCTTTTCTTTTCCTGCTGGCAGGAGCAACCTTGATGGTAAAATCAGCCATGTTCTCTTTAACGAGATGGCCGGCGACCAAGCAAGCAATATCATCATTTTGCTCTTGGTGTTGGTCTGCATAATTTCTAACAAGCTTACTGACATCGTTAAATAGTTTTCTAAGATCATCTGTATCTTGTTTGGCTGTTGGTGTGTAGCGCATGGTAATTGTTGTGAAAGAGAAGATTCAGTCAGACTTTTATTTGAAAAAGTACTTTAATGTTGGCAGGTAAGGTAACACTACGGAGTACACTAATTTATTTTTCGCCAAAGAGATTAAGATACAAAATATGATGGCGCTTTGCAGTGCTTGCAGAGGATGGACAATTTTCTTTCGTTTGATGCAATTGCATGTAGACAACTCACGCTCAAACCAAGGATGTTGCCATCATCTCTACTGATGGATTTATTTCGAACTTTAAACACAATAGTTGTGTAACTTTGACTCAGGTTTCTACAATGTTGCTCTAGGGATGCCTGTCACTGATGAGCTTGTAGTAAAGTTGGAAGGAGCCTCATCCATTTCAATATTTTAAGAAATACAGCATAATAAGGATAAAATGGCCACCAAACACAAAGCTACTGAAGTAAATAATACTAATGGGCCTTCCATTGAGAAGGAAGCTTTTGTTGCCAACGATGCAAATCAAGCATCAGCATCAGATGTCGAGGAGAGCAACGCAAAACAAGCGTCGGCCTCGACCAAAAAGGTCAAGGAGCTTCAAGTCTACGCTCCCAATCGCAACTTTCAGAAACGCAGAAAGCTGTTGATCAAAAAGGCCATGAGTCTGTTGAGAAGAACAAGAAACGACCTATTGATCACGTTCAATTTTGTACTGGAAGATGTAGACGAGCTTATTGCCAACTATCCAACGACCGAACTTGAAGGGAAGCAGATAGAGATCATGCAAGTGTGCTACGCATTCAGCGTTCATTGTCTCGCTTCCAAAGAGCAAAAATCACTCAATGCAGCAGCATTTCACCATAAGCAATTGATGAAAACCATCAGACCTCATCAACACAGATTCCTTGCTAAGCAATGGAATAAAACCTATCTTCTCATCGATTATCAACCACCTTCTGCTGTTGTAAAAATGTTTTTCAAGTCATGGAATAACGCCAAGGACCACATCTGGGACGCTTGCCTTGTCTCCTTCATGGCTTTTTTTTCTTTAGCTGATCAGCGATGGCTAACCACTGCCAAGGAGTTCCATCATTTAGAAAACATGTAATTGTAGAAATAAATCAATTTTGACATTTTGATTTGAATTTTATTCGCATTTACTGCCCATTTTGCATTGCATTTCGTCACAATGGTGTGAATAAGCAATGTGTGAATGTTGATTTAGAAAATAATTGTTTATTGCTTACAACACCAACTCGACCCAATGTTGATTTGACGATTTCACGCAGTGTCTGTGCATTTCTGGTTCCTGACAAGGTAAAGGTAAAGTATCTACAAGCACTACCACGAGTTAAAAAATAACAAAAGACTAGATGCAAAGAATCGAACTTGCGGCTTTAATAAGAATCAAATTTACTTCGGACGCTCTACCAGTTGTGGCAAAAAATAAATGAGAATTTTTAGCTAAAATTTACTTGATTGTATCCTAATAAATTTTTTTTTTAGTTACGTTAGTCGTTGTCCTGTAACCTAATGTTGTATGATGATGATTGCTCTGTTGTAATAGCTTATATTCATTTTTTGTTTGATCTTATCATTGCTAGACAAAGCAATTCTTTTGACTACAATTTTCGTCATTTTTTTCTGGGTTTTCAACTCCCATAAGGCCTTAAAAGGACTAATATACTGTTTGCAGCTGCATAACTATTGTTGGAAAGGTTTGGAAGCAGAACATTTACATAACTCGAACTGAAGGAAGCTTGCTAATGTTAAGATATTGTTATAAGACCTACTCAAAAATTAAACTTCGTATAACAACGCTTACAACATCACAATATTCTAGGAACTGGTTGTCAGATCAAGGTAACTGTTATTTTATGCATACAACCAAGTTACTGGATCATTGAAATGTTTCCAAACATTATTATCACTTTAGTATCAATGATAATATACGCTATAATTTCCAGGATCAGAAATACAATTATTTTAGACTACATTATAACGAAAATACGCTTTTTTTTGTCGATATTAATGCTTCATATGGTCGTATCTAAAGAAAAGCAATTTCAATTGCTTTGTAAGATAAGTGGAACCAATACTTCCTTCAATGGCGAGCCACAGAAAGATAAACCATGTATGTAAACGACTGCAAGTGAGGATGGGAATGAAGAGTGCTAATAGTGTTCCTTATACTAGGCTGTTGTCTCTTCTGATGAATTAATTTGACGTCTGTACCTATGGAATTATGATTTCTTATCTGGTTATGGAACACGTATCATATATAACTCACCAAGACGTAATAGTATTATTTCCACAGATGAAGATCATGTCATTTAGAAATAGAATTGTCAACTGTTTTGCGAGAGTAATTCATATATATGTTACGTCTGTCATTTGATCTATAGTCATTATGATGATAAAACTTTATTTTTAGTAGTAGAAGATTGAAGACTGAATAATGATATAGAGCCACTAAGTAGACTGCTCGAGCATAACTGAGGCTAGTGTAGACGCTATGCTGTCAGCCATATTGGTTTGGCTATCACCATAACCACGATCATCATCGCCACCATCGCTCTCTTCATCATCATCATCGACTTCATCGTCTCTACCATTATCACTGCCAACAATGCCTTCTTCATCTGCGCGGTCATCAGCAAGTGGTCTTGGCGAGAACACGTGGACATCACTTCTGTCAGCAAAGCAAACGACTACCAAATCATCATCTCCTGCCTCGGGGTTGTACCTTGGTGGATTCTTTTTCAAGATTTCCATCAAGTGGCGTTTGTTTTTTATACAGCCATACCCACTTGAGATAATCTATCTTGATCAAGTGGTTCTGGCGAGCAGCTTCATAGATGCCATCAATACGAGCGAGTAAGTTCTGCTCGTATCTCTGTGCCTCTTCCTACGACATTACCAGAAATTATTAACTGCAGAATGGATTTGGTATTTGACACTTACAACAAGAATTGATGTTTCCTCGACACACTTTCTAAGGGTATGCCAGTCTTTCATTCCTTGGGACAGTCTCAAGAAATCAGCATCTTCATTGTTTCTGAGCCTTTGCAGCTCAATTGCGACACTGGGCACTTTTTTACTAGGATCCCCTAATATGTCAGCGAGAGATTGAGAAATCCTACTCTTGATTAGAAAATTTGGTAATCAACAGAGCTTACCTCCAAAGTTTCTATCGACAAAATTGTTAATGCTATCTACTACTAGTCCAGCCTTCTTTGTAGAGGAGGCAATGGATACTAGCAGCCTAGCAGCTTTATCAGTTCCTAAGAAAATTGATTAAAACCAATTTAAACGGCTTGGTGTATCTTGCTTTTTCTTTACCAGTCGAATTGGGCCTACGAAGCTCATTATCGTTCATGAAAATGGAAAAGATTAGTTGTCTTAAGACTTTAACTAATATGTTGTGGCATTCATCTTTGATTGCATCAAAGTATTGCTGCATTGTAATGTGACCAAAGGTTGTCGGCCTTCCTCCATGGACAATTAACTGAGGAAATAGTCGCTCGAGTTCATTGAGTTTTGCTTCCAGTTGACGCTTCAAGCCAGTTATATAGCCACTTGTAATACTAAATCAAAATCAAATGATTAATTTGTTGGCTCAAAAATATCATGCAATATCTTACGGCGAATCTCTTGAGTTGAGGAAAATGAGTTGACCAGCTGTCACTGCATACTCATGCTTAATATCGTTCATAAGCAAGATGTTTCCTTCAGCCCTTTCATGTAGCCTTTGAAGGTTCCTCACGTTGGAAAAAGGCACAGCGAGCGCAGTTCTGTGGCTATTCCACTGTACTTCGAAACTACTGTAGGCACTCTTGGTCATGTTGAGTCTTCTGATAGTGTCCATTGCTTTGTCGTATTTTTTCACGAACAAATTTGCTATGAGTTACGTAAATTACTTGGTGCTACTGTTTAAATAAACATATTAGTCAACTTACGCAATTCTATCATCTTCTCATCGCAATATGCCTCAGCCAATTCAACAATCATTGCCCTACGGTTAGCTTTGGTCATCGACCTGATTTGCGCGACGAAATGATTGGCAAACGACCAAAATCTCTCTTGAAAAGCCATTAATCATCAATAATGCCTTTGGATCATACCTGACATACCTGCTCCTTCTCCATCTAGAGCAATGAATAAGAAGCTTTTAGAGCATGAAAATGTCAATCATCAAGACTGAAGGTCTTACCTGTTAATCCTAGTGCATGATCCACATACCTGGGGTTGTTTTTGGCTTGGCAAGCAGCACTATGTGCGTACGCATGAAAAATACTCACCGCATACCACACATCACGCTCGCTTTGAAGCTCTGGGAAAGCTTTCTTTTGACCAATAATTGCAATCAGTATATTGAGTTTACATATGATCCAGGCCACAGGAACTTACGTTGAAAGTTTCTCTACATGCGCATGCTACATCATACATAATCAGAAGCTTCTGATCTTCTTCCAAGTTTTTAATGACATGTTCTACACCAGCCAAAGCATACTTTCTCCTACAAAAAGATTAATTACAATTAGATCCACAGCCGACTAATCTCTTACCCTTCTCCCTCAAAAATATCAAATAGTCTTTCAACAATTCCATGACGAGCACAATTTATGCTGAAGACACCTAGGAGACAATCATATTTGGGTTAGATAATGTCCAATGAAGGATGAATTCATAATTTACCATTTTCATCAAAGCGGTTGCTGGTAGTTCTGCGGTTATTGCTGAGAGCTTGAAACTCGCTATCTAAATTTTCCAGAAGACACTATTAAGATGATATAAATGTGAGCATTGGAATTGTCTAATATAAACAAAACATTTACATCCTCGGTCGCAGCAGTCTCTGCTCGATCATATTTGTCGACATCTGCTTTGTCACCAAACTTTGCTTTCTCAGCCTCAGAAGTAAGAAAGATGTTGGGATTGCCATTATCAACAATGTCAATCTGTCTAGATCTATATCGTTTTTGTTGGAAATTTCCATCCATTGTTATTCCCTTTCTTGGTGCCCCCTGGTTGTATTCTGATTAATTGTTGTACTCTTCAAAGGACAGTTTCTTACCTTGCATGCCAAGCAGCTGCAATCTCTTTCCACATCATGTTGGCGATATACGCTGTCAATTGAGTGTTTTTTAACTCTTTGATAAACTAAAGCCAGTTCGTGAAACGAAGATGGAAGAGGTTTGAACTGGTGTTGTCAAGAAGCCGATTAGAAGGACATGATTTCAACTGATAAGTGAAATACATACTTTGGGATCATAGCTTGAGAGTCTCAGGTTGCTAGCATTGTTTGCTTTAACAAAGCCATAAACCGATGAGTACGCATTTAAGCGATTGTCAATCATAGACTCAAAGAGGGAGAAATGCACTGCAGACTTGGGAAACACAGTTGCTGTTGGCATCATTTGAGACATCAAAAGCGACTCGAGCAATGTTTGGTGCGAGCAATACTCCACTTGGAAAATACATCGCTCTATTCCATAATGTTAATCCTCACATTTGGGAGTTTTTCCTTTGGTTTTTGTATTTACTAAACATCATGAAGCCATTGATAGGCCATGAAGTGATTCTGGAGGTACAATCGCAGCTTTGGGGCTTCGTTCCAATAATTATCGGCGCATCGAGGCATGGATCGGCATGGCCATGCAATTCGTGGCTTTCTATATAGCTCTTCAAAAGCACTTCACTGAGATCTTGCCACTTGAGATATCTGTCTGAGAGGGAAGTATTGACTTCCTCATCAACATCTCCAGTTAGATCATCTAAGTTAATGACATTTGATCCGCCATTTGGTCTACTGTTGGCAGAGGATGAACTAGGTTCTTGCTGATTTCTTTCAGCAGAGGATAAGGGGCGAGGATGTCTTGCAGGAACAGCTCGACGAGCTTCATTCACGTTGACCCCTGAAGCATTCATGTTTGCCAAATAGTTTTTTACTAATTGTTTTTGTTTTCTTCTTTTTTGCTGTTGAAATTCCATAGTGTACATTCTGGGTCCCCTCTTCAGGGATCCAGCGGATCCACTTTCGTCTTTCTTTCTTTGTTTAGTTATTCTGTTTCTAGACATGTTCAAAAATCAAATATTTATATATATGTATTTTAAAAGTGAAAATTTCGGAAATGCAGGTACAATAACAGTTGCTGTTTGTGTGCATGTCATAGTAATTTAATCAAAGAACCTTGTAGTCACACTACTTCAGTTCCTTTGTATCACTTAGTAGCTGCCGATTATAAATCGAGATAGTTTGTAAAAATTTCCGATTAGAAATCGAGAATAAGCACAATAAATATAATATGAAAATCTGTGACGAAAACGTGATATATATGAACCCCATTAGCTCTAGGAGTTTGCCCACTATATATGCGCCTATACAGCACAGTTTTTTGATACCTCATTCATATATTTTTCAGTGCTATACCATCAGTAATGTACAGGACGGATACAATCTCAAAGCTGAAACGCCGATTGGAGAAAGGTGAAAAAGTGGTATATATAAACCCCATTAGCTCCAGGCATTTGCTCACTATATATGCGCCTATACAGCACAGCTTTTTGATAACTCATTCATATATTTTTCAGTGCTATACCATCAGTAATGTACAGGACGGATACAATCTCAAAGCTGAAGCGCCGATTGGAGAAATGTACGATTGATAATCAAAGCATCTTCGATTTTTAATCGGAAAATCCCGCCCAAAATTGATTTTTTTTTTCGATTTTTAATCGGAAGTGATAGTTAGTAAGGGGTGTCAAGATTGGTCAGACTTTGCCTTTTTTCGACTTCTTTCATGTATTTTATGATATTCGACTATATAAACTGTAATGATCACCCTACGCTTCCTAATACAGTCCCTGGTGGTAGGGCGAAGTGGTAAAACTCCCGTATGCCAACGGGAGGATCCCGGTTCAAATCCTGGTGAACGCAAGTTGTTTGATTTTTTTGACGTAGTACTGATGTCCTCGTTTGGTGTTTTGTGCTCTTATCCATGATCTATATTTTGACGATTTTCCGCAAGACTGTACTGGCTCTAGGAGTCGCACCTTATTAGTAGTAGATTTCTTTCCCAACTTAGCTCAAAAAATATCTTATTCCCCTTCATTGCAGACATTGGGTCCACCAACAGTCTTTTCTATCCCTCAGCATGACATTTAAAGGACTTTAAAATAAAACCTGGAGCTCGACTCCCCTACAAAAAAAAAAAAAACGCTTCCTAATACATTCTTGAAGCACTTTTCAAGGCGCTTCCGATGGTGCTGATTATTATAATAGGTGTTTTGAGTGAAACTATTGAGCAATTTTAATAAAATTTTAAATGAGATTGTTGGCCAAAATGTCAAAATTTTGCATACAAAGACCTCATAAAAGTGGTTTCAGAGGTTGCTTTGGAGCGAGAGAAACATTTTGAACTAATATACACCATAGGAAAAGTCTTCATTTTCAAGATGAAAAACGCGATTGTTTAATTTTCGATGAAAACCATGAGGGATATACCTCATGCTTTTGGGTCGAATTTTGGCCATGTTTTTTTTTTGGGTCTTCAAAAAGTTGAGCAAAGGTGTCAGTAAGCAAGTGCAAGAAGAAAGCAATTGTTTGGTGCTATTCTGGCCATCTAAAATGGCCTTGAACGCGAGAAAACGCAGCTCAAATGCACTCAGGTTTTACAGCCATTTGGCTAATTTTGAGCAGTAAGAGGTAACGCTAGTATGCCATCTGCTTGATATAAACTGCATCCCCTTTGCACGGACGTAGGGCATCTCAACATCATAGATCCAGAGCTGCAGGTGAGTTATGAAGGCATTTTATGTGATGGAGAAAGCTTAAAAAAAATGAGATCTTAGTCATAGTTGGATGGCTAAATAAGATATACTACAGTGGATGGCTGTGAAAGAGAGTCTGTGAGCTGCCACTATTTCCTTTTTTTTCAAGAGCTGGCTTACAGTTTATGTGGTGTCGAATGTGGGTAAGCATTGTGCTCAATTATACAGATCTTGAACATTGTTTAAATGGCTATTACAGGTACCCTGATTTCTTTCAAGACTTGATTATTTGCAGGTACAGACTTTTGGTGTAATCCATGACATTGTCCAAATAAAGTAATGTTTTCCTGTAAGATGCTTAAAAAAACCCCTCCCCTCCCCCCCCTCTTATCAAAATGAGCATTTGCTTGTTTTGATCTCGCTCTTCATCTTCATTTTTTGTATACGCTATGGTCTTATTTCACAAACCCGAGTTATTTGAGCCAAGATATCTAGATCCAAAGGCCCATCGTAGAAAATGCTGCACTTGCATGTCTCTTCGAGGCGGCTGTGCAGTTGCTTGTGCTATTTGGCTTGTACAGTATACTCAAGAAGATCCAGTCAACAGCATCTAATCACATTGTGTAGGGCGTGAATGTATATATTGCAACGCTATCTTTTCAAGGCTATACCCGTAAGTGTATACTACGCATGCATTCAATATAGTTCATCTTCTAAAACGCACATCTAGCTATATTTTCATTCTTGAATAGACCTGCATTAATCACGCTTGCATCAGTATCTATTGTGTTTGCGTTGGTGGCACTCTGGATCTTGTATGGCTTATTTGTGGTAAGAAAGCATTATAGATCAATAAGCATATCATCCTGTTCCTAACTTGATAATAGAACTTGCCCAACCCGCTTCAGTCAGGCGTGATATTTCTATTCTTTATAGTGCCTGTCTACCTGCTGGACATCCTAGCAAACATATTTATTTTTGGTATCCAAAAGTCATTGTATATGGATTGGTGTTTACAAAGCTCGCAAAGCCGAGTAGATGAAACGATACAAGGTCTCAATATGAACAATACGTTGTACGCTATAGAGACATTGCCGCCTACCAACATTTACAATTGTCAAAAGTTATGGGAGGACGAGATCAAATTCTCTCTCGCCATCTTTATCCTCATGACAGTGTGCTATGTAAGTGTAGAGGTCTCTTTTATCCATATATCCAATGCCAACCTCTTTGAAAAAAAAAAATCAGGTCTACTGGTCTCTTTGTGTGTTCTACTACTATGAAAAACTTCGAGAGCTCTTCCCTGACAATTCCACGTATCTTGGCGGATTTATGAACTACTTGTATCCTAGAATACCTCCAGCATTACCCCATCATGCCTTTGCCAATATTGCTCCATCTTCATCCAAATAAAAAAAAAAAAAAAAAAAAAGCAAAGATTTTTTTTTAATGATAATAATACAATTGTGTGTCTACATGTTTAAGAGTGATGTTGCATCATTGCTGTCTATCTGGCGAAAATCCATCGCTATTTGTTGTTGAAGTATATCCAGGCGCTAAATGCTTCATTTTCTCTCCTAGGATGCCTTGTATCGACATGTATTTTCCAACGCAACGGTCTATGCATTTCTGCTCTCCTTTGTTCAAGTCAGGCTCGTGGTAGTTGTTGGGAATACATTTCTCTTGACAAGCTGACATGATTCTATCACCCATTTACCATTTAATGTCATCTAGCGCAGCCAATGTACCATATATTTACCTATTAAACATGCCCATAAAGGCATCGACTTGTTGTTCGGCCTCCTGTAAATGTTGGGGATCGACATATGTTTGCGAAAAGCTACTCGTCCAGCTCATGGTATTAATTTGTTTTATAAGGTGAAAAAGCGAGAGTTGAATAGCTTTCAATACCGACTTGGGTATAAGAAGACTGTACAGTAACAAGCAAGGCCATAATATGTGTGACTCCTTAACATGCCATCTTGGAGAGTCATCCTCAACAAAAGAGATGTCAGATAAAAAAAAAAAAAAAAAGCATGTATGTAAAATGAAGGCAAATACAGGAGATCTCTATTATTAGATATATATATATAAATTTTACATAGGAAGTGAGGTAGATTCATTAGGTAGGAAAAAAAAAAAAAAAAAAAAAAAAAAAAAAAGAGAGACGCCAGCGTAATTCTTTTTCGTAATTTCTTTTCGTAGGAATAAGGATTGTGTGTCAAGTTGTCTATTTGGAAAAAGAAACGGGTTCCGGTTTTGATTGGATTAAAAAAAAAGCTATAAACAGTGTTGATTTGATGGAGGTGACCTCACGAGGTGTTGCAAAAGATCTATTTGGGAAGGGGGGTGTAATATAAGGTCTATGCGATGTAGGGTATGGTTTCATCATTTAGCAGTGTATCGAAATGTTTCTTGGTCATCTCCTCCTCTATCTTTATGCTAATATCCAGAGAATTTTTCCGGGTGTCTTCTGCTGAATCTTGCTGGGAATCTTCATCGTCGTCTTCCTCTTCATCATCCACATCGTCCTCGGATAGAAGGGTAGTTTGCTGCTGCTGCTGCTGTTGCTGCTGCTGCTGGTCCTCTGCGCTGCTCCTTCGCCGTTTTTTGTTATTTGATATTGGCCCACTATCTCGCTGCACAAGATGATGATCAGATAAGATTCTTTCGTAACAGGGGTGTTGCTCCACTAAATTCGCATAATACTGCTGTAATATAGGTCCCGTTGAAGCAAGGTGCCAATCAATCAATGATAGAAATTCCAGTTCCAGTGCATTTATTTCCTGCGTTGATATACCTCCTACTTTTGCGTAATGTGAATTTGTACAATAAGAGTCGCATAGTGCCTTGGAGGACACGGTTACTGCTGTGATGAGGAATCGATGCACTGTGAGCGATGACACTGTAAAATGGGGATGCAATTCGCACACACGATCAATGTATATCAGCAGAATCAGTAAACATGATTTCTCTACTGATGTGTATTTCACGATTCTTCGTAGATAATCGGTAAGGGATATATTTGGTGGAGTTCGAGAGTGAAAACGCGTGAGGTTGCTAGGTGTTAATGGTATAAGATCGTTGTGCGAGATGAGTCTGCTTAACATATCAGCTAAAAAAAAATGGAAGAAATGCAAATGAGGGGATGGGTTCATTGCAAATGTGCTTGAGATTCTCTTTCTTTACCGATCATATGTGTCAAATAGTTGATATCCACCGCATAAAAGTATTCTGGTACTCTTATGACATGGTTGTTGTCTATCAATGCCCCAGATAAGTCCATGACATTCAGCAATGGTGTATGAAAAATGGCAAAAGGAAAGAAAGAAAAAAAAAATAGAATCAACAGTCTCTTGGGTCCTTTTTTTTTTTTTTTTTTGTATTCCCTTTATTCTACTTCTTCTTCCCCCCCCCCCACACACACACACACCCTCTGTGGATGCCTCATTTTATTGCTTGGTCTGACCTCTTGCCTTCTCGTTGCTCCCTTGCCTCAATGCGCTGGCAAGTTGAATAAAAAAAAATGTAATGAACAATCAACAAAAGGATGGATCTGTCACTTGATGGTCTGTCAGATCAAGGCTGCTAGGCAACAGTGAAATATGTTGGATATGAATTTGCAGGAAATTATAAACCACTCAGAATCTTTATATGAAACACATGCCTACTACAAGCTTATTGTTCTAAAATCTAAGCACTGGCATGAGGTAAGTAGGCTCTTGACTACCATGTGTCTTGCACAGGTTTCTAACTCTATTCTTTAGCTCCTCGTCATCTTTTGCATCCTTCAGATCTTCCCAATGAACACCTCCCAGAATCATCACAACATCCAATCCAGCTTCTGTAGCCCCTCTGACATCTGTAGCCACATTATCGCCGACACACACGATGCGACTGGTAGCCTCCGTTTCATTCGGCTTGATGCTTGATTTGGCCTTGTTTGTCTGCAGGAAATCATAGATGCTCTTGAAGGGTTTACCGAAATACAACACCTCGCCGCCCATTTCCTCGTACATTTGCCCCACATAGCCTGGACAGATCAACAATTTCGCGCTGCCATCTTCATTCACACCATTGGGTGCAAACACATCAGGATTAGCACAGATCATGGGAATGTTTCTCTTGAGGCAGGTATCAAGGAGAGGCTGATAATCGGCTCGTACATCTTGTTCGCTGAACGGATCCACAGGCTTTTCGTCAGGAAATACACCACGAATGGAGCCCAACAAGACGAATTCAATGGCTTCCCAATCATGCACTCGGGTCAATGGAGGTGATACAGGCATATACAGCGGCTCTTGCCAGTCAGGATCACCAGCCAGAAAGAATTTACCTGTCTTGAGGTATTTGGCGGCAAATGTATCAGGCATCATTTGAGTGCTTGTGCCGTGCTGCTGTGCTGTTGCGTGGCATGCTGGACTGACCACTTGGCCAGTCTCTAGATATTCAGCCAAATCCTTTAGAAAGAACTTGGTTAGCACGCCACTAGACAGGATTTCATCATAGCAGCTGCTGTCAATACCGAATTTACTTGTCATGGCTGTGTCGAGTTTGTCTTGGAGTCGTGTCGAGTTGGATAACAGAATGACGTGCTCGTCGTTCTTTCTGAGCTGAGTAAGGGCATCTTTGGAATACGGATACGCCTCAATACCGTCGTGAATCACTCCATAAATGTCACAAGCAATGGTGTCGTATTGATGTTGCTTGAAGATGTCGCTGAATCCTCGAACAAGTTGCATCTGTCTAATGTAGTTTAGGGTAAAGAGATGTGGACAGTTGTGACTGAAGCGATTTGGTTTTAGTTTCATGTTGTTCGGTTAAATTAATAGCCCATGCTTGATGGTATTCTCTACAACCCGTTTGTACAGTGAACGCTGCAACTAACGTTGGATCTAAAAGCCCCCCCTGATGTGTCTCATTGCTATAGATCTAGGAGCTGCATACGCTTGTATTAACACCAATGCCTCATGATGTATCTGTGCGATTTCTGTATCACCAAAACAAATCGTGCTTTCTCAGTGTTTTCAAGCAGGAGCGGTTCTCTGTTTACAACTTACAAGCATGATCTTCAAGTGCGCTCTCAAAATGCTCCAAGAAGCACAGCAGTAACCAAGATTTCGGCACGGGATCCAACTCAAAGCACAGCCAAATGTCCCTGATTATGTTGGATGTCACATAATTGAAGCGATTTTCTATTTTTCCAAAAAAAAAAAAAAAAAAAAAAAAAAACTTTGGTAGCAAGTTTTTTTTTTTTTTCTATGCGTGAGTCCAGCCGAAGATGGACATGCCAACACCCAGAAATTGGGCTTTTATTACAACCATCATTGGACCCCAGTCAAGATGTCATTTCATAGATATACTTTTTTTTTTTTTGCCAATGACATTACTACAGTCTCCTCTAATGTCGTCCATCATTGGGCGACCTTCAGGGCTTTGCAAAACAAAACAAAAAACCCTATTCTAATCATGCAAAAAAACGAAAATGCTACCTTCCAAAAACGGCTTTCAATTGCTTGATGATCCCCACCACAAAATTAGCCAATGCAAAACAAGCGGATAAATCAAACAAGCATTCAATTCCATTAAATGTGCGCCCATAGCATTTCACTTTCCTTTTCCCTCTTTTCTACATTTCTTTTTCATCATCAATTGACATGAATAAACTGTTTAGGCGCCATAATCAAGAACCTATAGAGAAACGGTCTGGTGCATTTATCAAAAGGCTAGAGGAATCAAAGCGATCGGTGGTGATGGACCCACAGCGAGCATCTGATATGGAAGCATTGATGGCTACACCAAAAGTGCAAGTGGATGATTTATCAGATATCGAACTCAGTGCCTACCAAGCATGGTGGAAGGACCTGGACCCCTTCTATATAGGCAAGGCAGATAATGAAGCAGTATTTCACTTTGTGTCTGGATGTGGTTTGCCAGATCATACATTAGAGGAGGTAATCATTACGTAGTTTCTTTTTTTGGGTGTAGGAGAGCAGCGAATTAACAGATGTAATAGATTCTTGCATTATTTCAAGATCAAAAAGAGGGCCTCACAAAAGAAGAATTTTTCGCCATTTTGCGGCTCATAGCACATGCTCAGAACGGACGCATGGTCAGTAAAGACATTGTCTATCTGGGAGGTAAGTAAGCAACAGTTTGATTATGTTTTTGCTTGGCTCATCATGCTCTTTGTGAACAGCACCGCTGCCAAGATTTCAGACACAAGCCATTGATGCCATTATCAAACGATCGCAGCAGCAGCAGCAGCAGCAGCAACCAGCAAGTGATACTGACACAAGTCGTTCTTATGACTCAACAGCAAGCCATAACAACATCAGCTCCTCTTCACCCATGCCCAGCTGGATGATGCCAATGAATAAAGTAGCAGGAGCACAATCCACCATCATACCGCACGCGATACTCAGTAGAACCCCCACAAAATCACCTTATGATACCCCAACGACTCAGGTCTCTCATTCTCGATCACGATCCGTTCCCTACAATTTCTTGTCACAAATGGAGGACACTAGTGTCGACATGAAGCAGATTACGGATGCGTCATTTGATCCAGCTGCAAAACCTGCACATCAACGTCGCTCAACAAATCACTCAAGCCATGTTTCGATGGATGCCGACAGTTTACAAAAAATAATGGATACGGGGCAATCACTGCTGCTGACTCAGAGTTTTCGACCTGATTTCATAGATGATGACGATGATGACAGTAGGCAAGAAGAGGATGAGGATGAGCCTGGTGTCACTACTGCCAGTAGTGCAGAAAGCAGTAATAACAATAGTGCCAGCAGTAGTGGCAAATTGAAATCACTCACATCCCGTAGCTATAATCCCTACTTGGCAGCAGCGCCAAGCACCACCACCACCACCACCACCACCAACCCGTTCGAGACAGATGATTCCTCATCAACGACACCCACACAAACACCCACCATGTTACCCTTTACGCCTACGACTACCCAACAAAACACACTTTACCATCAAACAGCAAATACATGTATGAATTCTCGACAGATCCCTCCTCCTCCTGTACCACCCCAATCCACCAAACCTGCATACCCAAAATATGCAAGAAGAACACTGTATTAAATAAAATTTGCCTGTTTTATATATGAAAAAGGGGATATACATGTGTTGTGTGTGTGTGTGTGTGTGTGTGTGCGCGCTATTTACTTTTTACTGCCAAATTTAAAAAATCCCTTCTTCTTTTTACTGTTGAGATCATTCATGGGATACTTTGGTGCATTTCGAGCATCAGCGCGATAACTGGAAGCGAGTTCGTCTAAATTATCATCCCATTCAAGATCACGCAAACGATGACCTAGTTTACGTTCCCTCAATTTGGCTGTGTAGGATCCAACGACTGTTGCAGCGTAAAACTAGAATGCCGAGGGTTAGTAATCTAGCCTCTACATAAACGCTTTCTCTCTCTCTCTCTCTCTCTCTCTCTCTCTCTCTTATCCACTCACCATCAACAACTGTCCCACAAACAAGACGATGGCACTGCCAATGACATCTGCTTGGACTGCTTGCGCACAGTTTGCTAAACCATAAGTGTTGCCCATTTCCATGCCCAAAAATGTTGTGGAATAATCGCCTACAGAAAGCGTAGTGTTGTTTGCTGAACCGGCGGATACTGATGATGACGACGATGGGTTTGCTTCTTCACAAGCAGTGAGCGCTTTGGATCGATTTACTAGTGCCAAGATGAAACACACAGCCTCCCAGATGGTCAAGAGGAAAACCAATAACCATAACAAGAATTTGTTCAATCTCATCATTCCCAATTTTGCTATAGCTCCCGAAGCAATGGTGTAGAGCGCTACAACAGCAGTAGCAACTAGATAAAAGGTAAACAAACATGAGTTTCCTACTGCCATGTTTTGCTGGTTGGGCTACTTACTTAAGAAACCGATATAAATCCAGGGAAGAACAACGTGGATAAGTGAGAGATGGATAATCATGGCTAAATGTTGAAGCAGAGGTTAAATCATTGTCTAGCACCTCGAGGCGTGGAGTTGCTTACGATTTTTGTGAGTAAAAGTGGCACCGAGAAGTGCGACGGATACGACCTGGAAACGAATATCCCTTCAGTACCTTGTTCAAATGATGTGCTGGAGGTTACTTACAAGCATGATGACACCGCTAATGATGATACCACCTCTTAGGGGTATTATACAACAACATCTTGCTGGCATTTTGTTTTATGTTGGAAAAAAGCGAGGAAAAAGTAAAAGAAGATGAAAAAACTAAGCTAGCCAAGTGTTCCCTTGAATCATATAGGGAACAGATAGCACCAAGAAGAATTGGGTTTCAAACACACAAAAAGCTAAATATAAACATTCACCTATGAGGTTTACGTTACGAGTGGCTGAAGATCGACCTCATCCTGGTTTTCTGTTCAAAACGATATTTAGCATGCATTTATTCATCCATGTATTGAGTTATTCTCAATCTAATGAAGGCGGTTTTGCGCCATGAGAACACATAGCCCTTAAAGGTGGTTTTTCATCGAGAAAATCGATCGCTTTCAACCTTTGATTGTACCACATTCCAGTTTTTTAAACTATTACCATACTTACCAATCTAGGCAAGTTTTTTTTTTTAATAAGCTAGAGCCTGTGGAGTGTTTAGATTCCCTTTGTTATATCAATCATTTGACGAGGATCAGTGATAATTCATCATAGTGTTCAATCCGTTACTGAAATGAAAATGGAAACCCCTGGATATAGGAGCATGCATGTTGCGTTTCTGCTAACAGGAATTATGCCCAGAAACCCCATTTCTCATGTGGCTGGAGCAGGTAGGTTGTGCACCTTGGAACCACAAAAGGTCCAAACTACTAGCAAGCAATGTCTTTTTTTTTTTTTTTTTTTTTTTTTTTGTCAATCCAAATATTCAAAAAGTAAATTCTGTATGTTCAGATCCATAGAATGACAGTACTGTAAAACTTGACATCTATTCAAAAGTACAAAGGGTAATTCATGTTGTCTCCATGGCGTTGCAATGCGGCATGTGCCAAGGCTCAAATCAGCGTTTTGCATCGGGTTTTACTATGGATGGAGTTGCGTAAGCATGCCTTGGATTTAACATGATGCTACAAAGTCTGCATATTGTAGTTTAGACACATTTTGAGCAGAATCAAGCAAGCATGTATATCTCGATTCAAGAGTCGAACATGAGCGCAGTGTGCAAATGTGAATCAGCCAGGTATCAACAGGCTTCAAATTCCGTTCCACCGCCTTCTTGTTCTTTTCACGCCATGTCAAATAATATCGACTGGGAGGATCTCTTTGGAAGCGATGATGAAGAGGTAGAAGAAGAACACCAAAACCACAAGCCAATAACTACTTTTGATGTTATACCGGGTCTAAAGCTCATCAAACAAGCGCTATCGCATCAAGAGCAAATGTCATTAACTCACGCTCTCATCGACCGCAACTATTTCACGGGAAATGCAAATCAAGCCATGGTATTTGGAGAATTACCAGATTTTATCAAATGGATAGAGCCTTGGGTGGCTGAAAACTACCCAGATCTATTTGGTCAAGACATTATGAGCAGACAGCCTCTTTTCGATCAAGCCATATTGAACATGTACAAGAAGGGTAAAATTTAACAGTTACAAGATACATGTCGATATGCTAAATGCTCATTTTAGGTGAAGGCATAACAAGCCATGTCGATTTGCTAAGGTCAGTATATGGCTCCCGTTTTCCAAGTGCTGTTCAACTAAATGGCTTTGTAAAATATGCAGATTTGAAGATGGTATATTAATTATATCACTCATGTCATCTTGTATCATGACAATGAGACCTGCAAGGAAGGATACTGCTTCATATCATGCCGAGAACACGGACGATAGCAAAAAGTACGATATACTTTTACGCCCTGGCGATGTTCTAGCACTCTCTCAAGAAGCGAGATATGATTGGGAACATGGCATTCCATCACGGCTCGTAGACGAGATGGATGGTCAATACATAGAGAGAGGAACCAGGATTAGCGTCACCTTGAGAAGATTAAAGCAAGGCGAGCAAGAAATGCAACCCACTACCACCATATCAGAACGATAGAAGCTTACCAAATACAAGCCGATCCATGGAACCTTCAGGATTTAATAATAATAAAAAGATATTTCGGCTATTTCAGATGATGATTTCGGATAAAAAAAAACCTCTTCAACGGCCCGAGATTTGCCCTGACCTTGGAGAGGGTGACTGATCCAAGCACACAAGCGATGATTTGGGCTTTTGAAACTCATCGAATCCCATACTGCACTACCAGAGTATATAACAGAAGAACTTCATTGTACTCACCCCCTCCCCCCCCCCCTTTTTGTTTTCTGCAACACCCTCTTTTTTTTTTACATTTCTCTAAAATAGGCCAGCTCTTATGAATAGCTCGGACAGCTTTGCAGGAGCACTGCTTCAAATGATTGCTTCTGATATGCCAATGATCTTGGCTCTTATATTTGGAGGCTGCTGCAGTAACGTGTTTGCCTTGGAAATCCTCGTAACGTAAGTGTTGTAGCGAATCTTGTTGATTTCCAGAAATTGACATTGCACACCTTCAATCATCCAGCGATGCACCAAAGAGCGGTAAGATCCATACCAGACTTTAACATGGAATAATGTACTCAGTATTGTAAGTGTAGGTCAATTAATTACATTTGGCCAGTTTTTGTTTGTGGCAGTAGAGGGCTTAAGAAACCAGATCACTTGGGGCACCTATGGCCCAAAATTAAAGCCTACAGTGGTTCCACTCTCAAACTGGTTCTTTTTGGTCACTGTCTTCTTTATCGTGTCTCTGTTGAACAATTTAGCATTGGGATACAACATCTCCATGCCATTGCACATCATCTTTAGAAGTGGAGGATTGATTGTCAATATGATCTTGGGTGCATTGATTTTGAAAAAAAGGTAAGAATTTGGAGGAGGAGAGGATACGATTTTTTTTTTCTTACGCATGCTTTGATCTAGATACTCGCTAGGCCAGATTACGGGTGTATTATTTGTCACTGCTGGTGTTATTTGGGCAACCTTGGATAATGCGAATACACATACTGAGGTAACAAATTAAAAAGAATGCATGGTGTGTAAGTAATAGCTCCAACAAATCACGTAGAATAATCCTGGTAGCACAACAGAATTCCTTACAGGCATCTTTCTCTTGTCAATTGCTATGATCTTGTCGGCTGGTATGGGCTTATTCCAAGAAGTGACATATAAAAAGTATGGCAAGCAATGGAGAGAGGGTCTATTTTATACCGTAAGTACTGCAGAACCTGATGCGATTTATATATCTATGTACTCACTGTCAAAATGGATGTGTCTATAACAGCATTTCCTTGCTCTTCCCTTCTTTTTGTTCTTTTACAAGGACTTGTCAAACCAAATTGTCGCCTACAACAAATCGCCGCTGATGCCAATCCCTGCTCTGATGGAACAAGTGCCATTCTTGGGCTCTGTCAACGAGATGATCCCTGCTGCGCTTTTAAGCATGCTTCAATCCATCCAAATGCGTAAATTATGGGCCTTCTTGCTGATGAACATGCTCACACAGTATGTTTGCATTGCTGGCGTCAACCGAATGACTTCTGTAGCTACTTCCTTGACTCTGAATTTGGTATTGAACCTGAGAAAGTTCACTTCGTTGATCTTCTCCATCATCTACTTTGACAATCATTTTGGATTTGGAGCAAAAATGGGATCGCTGCTTGTGTTTTTAGGTACATTGATCTATACTCGTGCAGGCCTTCAGTCCACTCCAAAGCAGCCGCAACAACCTACCACAGCTGCTGTTGCTTCTTTGGATGAAAAGAAGAAGAAGCTTTAGATCTACAACTACATATTCATTTAACTATAATGTACAAATTTTATCTTGATCGACAGTTCAAGTCAATGCATAATAAACATCCTCTTTTAGCCTTTAAGCATTGAATGGAACTGGCAATTTTATTTCATCAAGCTATCAAAGGTATTCAGGTCCATGCAAGGTTTCATATATAATACATTAGCAACTCAAAGCTATTTTACGTCATGTAGTACATGAATGTTCTCGTTATATACACGTTTTTTGTTGATTGTCTCTTGTTGGTTTTAAGCACTGGGAGGAAGAACTGAATCGTAAAGCTCCACCAAGTACACTTTCTTGCCCTCAAACATAAAAGACGTAGGTATGATGATATCGTTTACATTGCGTCTAACATCAGTAAATGTCAATTGCTTTACAGTGTAGTCGAGATCAATGATACGATCCACATCACCATACGAAGCAAAGAGCTGCTTGATGCGATCGCAGTAGCACACTCTTTCTCTATCAGCTTCAGGTATTTTGGGCAATCCTATAAGTGCAATGGTCTTTGTTGATGGAGCCCATTTCATGCGTAAGAAGGGTCTGTATTTTGGTCGCTTAGCCCCAACGCCTTGAAGACAATCGTATTGATGAATATCCGGTGTGTTTGTGATTACTTGATCGTAAGGAACACCACCGTATAATAGTGTAAATGCGCCTCGTAGTGTGTGTTGGAATTTCTGAAGACCCTGTCCGTCTGTAATTCCAGCACTAATGACAGTATTGAGTGATCTAATATTCACTTACACTCATACAATTACCCTACCCCAAATTAACGCTTGACAAGATGGGATCCTCGATCACCAACATGTCATTCTTGAATTCGTCCTTTCTCAGTGTACGGCCTCCCATCTTGAGCGATACTGCAAAGTTTTTGTAGTCAAAATCGTAACCATAATAGTACATAAAGTCGATAAAGAGCTCTCCAACGGTGGCCTTGTTTGATGAGTTCCAGTACAAGTCGGATCCATTCTTCTTGACTCGATATGTGCAGGGAGAAGCCGTTTCGTCATGCTTTATGCAATCATGGAAACGTGCAGCTGCACCCACTACAATATGGTTGTGGAGAGCCGTCTCCCAAAACATCTTTTTGGTTGCACAATCGTCTGATACACAAAGATCACAAATGTCTTGGTGGTTGATGTTTTGAAGATTGGGAAGGACCGGCGGCTCGAGTGATATCAGGAATGAGAGAGCCATCACAACATACGCATATGACCGTATGCCGTTGAATTTCAGGGCAGCTATTAGATACGTGCATGTTAATACGTGCTAAAGAGATTGCCACTGCCATCACCACATATTTACGAGCAAAGATGTTTCTTCCCCGGCCAAAGTACTTTAATGTTTTGATGAATGGTAACACTCGATTGTCCAATTTGATGTATTCTTGAATTAGATCTGTCGATTTTGTCACAATACCCCGATTGAAGCTGTACTCATAGCGAAGGTGATCGATGAGAAAGCTGGTTGAACTCAATGTCTCGTTGTAGTTCACCTTTGTAGCCCCCAACGATTGAAGTACATTGCTCATGTACTCGTAGTTGTCTGGTTGGGGTGCGCTTCCCATCGATGGTGATTCCATCAACAGGCGCTTCATGTCGGGGATGTCCATTTCAATGTTAATATCCAATTTTGAGGAGGGAAAAGCGATCCCTGAAACAGTTGATCTGTGTAGTTTTTTGGTCGTACCATAAGCATCCCACACATTGCAGTTATGATCTCTAATTTTTTCTTACCCAAACGGTGTCAATTGCATGTAATAGGTAGGGAAATAGGCCGCAAATATCTTTTGCAATATCTTTACCTTCTCATGGATCGATTCGGGTGTAAGTTGAATGAGCTATCAACATCAATGAGCACCTCCATCACTTGTCTTTTTCATCCACGCAAACATCTTACCTCTGGTTTCGCCGCAATGGCCTTGTCTATGGCATATGGATCGATGTCTCTGTTGGCCTGTCTTACAACTTCTCTCTGTGTCAGTGGCGGTGTATGGCGAGAAGGTTCTCTGTGCGATAGTAGTGGTGGTGACCTACTGCGAGAAGAAGAGCGACGACTTCTATCTCGACCACTTGTGCCATTGCTGCTCTGTAATTGATATTGACGAGTAGGGTAATACAAGTACAGCTTCATGTTATTTGACATCTTTCCTATGCGAGCAAAATCACCAGCATCATATCGACGGTCTGCCACGTATTCCATGTATTGCATAGATTCAAATACGTTTGATGGCTCGTCCCTATGACGACTTGTGCTGAACGAGGCTATGTTTTGATACTTGAAACCTCTGGATGACTGGAATGAATTCATTAAACGCTCCGGAACTGCATGAGGTTCATGTCCTCGTCTATCGTCAGTCATGTCGAATAGGATCATATGCTGGCACAGCTCCTCCAAATCTTGTTCTGTAGGCTTCCTCATGTTGGATTTTGTCGAAGACAGAAAGAAAAAGTCGGGACAAGGTGATAATCTTTCAGCAATCAAAGTATAATAAAAAAAAAAAAAAGAAGCCCTTTTATTATTTCGCCCAAAAGCTCAGACAATAAATGGGAACATCAAAAGTATTCTAGTCCCCGCTTTGTCTTGTTTTGTCAAATTGATCTGCCTCCTTACAAATAAAGGGGTAAAGCATTTTTTGCAATTGATTGTCTCTCGATACATGTTCTCTGTAATATAAACAGAAAGAAAAGTCAGAAACAGTTATGGATATGATATAGTGTACAACAGATCGGCATAGCTAATGATGAAAGGATAATCGCTCTCAAATTTTACATTCCTATTAGATGGAGACATGTCTATATTATTGATACGGGTGTCCCATTTTCAATAACATGTTACTATATTCCTCTACCAACTGCCAAATGTGGTACATTTGCATGATTTTTTTAGCGCTGGACTCTTCATCTTTTTGTAGCAGAAACGCAGGTGCTCTTTGTTCCTGGATCAGTATATGTCTCTGATTCCATACTCCAACTTACAGTGAATCAAGCTATAGAAATCACCTAGCATCAAGGAAAGACAGCAGCTTACTGGTAGATAGTCGTCCTAGAGTATTCAGAGTACCCTTGGTATGAAGCTTTTCTCGTAAATGTTCATACTTCCCGCCTAGGCAGAAGCAAAATGAAGGTAGAGCTAGGTCATTTCGATGGTAATGATGATCTCAATGGCGACGATGAATTAATAGGCGATGTGGTGTTGGTTGATAACGACGAGACATTCCGTGGCGAGTAAGATAATAATGAGTCTAGCTTTCAGGACGATTTGAAGCAAATAAATTACGTCCAAGACAAATTGAATGAATGCAAAAATGAGAACCTTTATTCATGGTCGATACTTTTTGTCGACAGAAGAGGTTTACATATACTTAATTTATCGCCCAAATCAAGCGGATCAAAACATACATAACTTGAATCATAACATTCATGATCATTCAAATGAATTCTACACGTTGCATAATATTGATGCATAATTGAATCGATGAACATATCAAGATAGCAGTTTTAATGTAATCGCTTCTTTATAATAAGTGCTTCTTATTAAAGAGACGTCAAGAGTTGTGCATTACTAATTGATGGTGTGCTCAGATCAATATTGATACGGATTGACTCAGCAAGTGCAGCGTCAAAAAAAAAAAAAGAAAAAAAGAAAAGGAGAATAGGCTCTCGGTGCTGTTACGAATCAACCAACAAACCGCTCAGCTACTCAAGCATAGGCAGCAAAGGTTATCTACATACACTACAATTTGTAAAAGTACAAAAAATATATGCGGCTAAAGTGGATCGAACACCTGACCTTTAGATCTTCAGTCTAACGCTCTCCCAGCTGAGCTATACCCGCAATTCCTTGTAAATTGAGACCAAAAACATTGCTATATCCTTGTATAAATATATATATCTCACGTGACGCTTGCTTCTTTATTTTCGGTGATAGCAGTAATTACTCTTATCAAAATTATGAATAGTTTACCCATGAATGCGAGAAAAAAAAACAGTTTATTATCTTCCCAACGCTATTCCATACATATCTCCACTTTTTCCATTATTCAAGCCTCCCATCCTGTATGCTCATCATGGTTCCTCGTTCAACGTGATGTATCATTTCTAAACCACCGGATCTCCAAATACGTAGAAACAATCAGTTCAAGCATACATCACGTCAGATCATAATCTAATATCCTGAACATGCCATGATTCGGATTGTAACTGAATCCTGTTTCATGTCAAAGTTTATGATCTGATGTGATGTATGCTTGAACTGATTGTTTCTACGCATTTTTTGGAGATCCGGTTTAGAAATGATACATCACAATAGTAAAATACAATAATAGAAATCAACTGTATTTTGTTTGTGTATAAAATGAACTGTCCACCCTGGAATTGAGTAAAAAAGAAGAATAGTATTTATATATTTGTAACTGGCTTGTAGAATTAGAGAGTAATAGGTGCTGTTATTGCGATATCTGGGAAATTTTATTGATGTTAGATTTAAAGAAGTAATCGATGCAAGAGCACTGACCATAAGGTTCGATTTGAGTAACCTTGATGGGCTTGGATGAGCCACCGACATAGCATAATTTAATGTAGCCTTGACAGTTGAAGATGTTGTGATGTTTGCTATTGAAGTGTTGAACCCTTCATCAGGGATTTTGTGCAACTATGGTATCAGGGCATAGCTGTCATATATGAATGTACTTGTTACTAATTTGATTTCATTTGGATAAGGACAACATATCTTATTACGACCATCATGGATGTGATTGAATACACTACTGTGATCAGGAGTGATTCATTCACACGATGTGCGAGATAAGAGTGCATCTTTACTTTAGTATGTTTAAGTGTTGATGTACATTTGAGCGCTCTATTCGTAGATTCAAATAGCATGAATATGAATGAGTGCTATTTGATGAATTTCGGTTTTCAATCAACAAAGTTGCGTTTGGGTGGCTATTTCATTATTACACTGTCAAGCTCACGGTAAAACACGGTGGTAGGAATATCATGCTTTGGAGCGCCATTACGTATGCTGGTGTTGGCTGGATGTGGAAGATTAATGGTAATATGAATAAGGCACACTGTACAAGGAGATCCTTCAAGACGAATTGGAACAAACTATTGCTTTCTCCATCGAGAAATCGGGCTTCCGCCGTGAACAAGTGATATTCTAGCAAGACAAATGATCCCAAGCACACGTCCAGTTTGGTCAAGGATTACTTTGAGAAACAATCATACCAGGTCATAGAGTGGCCCTCCCACAATCTCCAAACTAAAATAATCCTATTGAAAACTTGTGGACTTTGGCTAAAAGGCGTCTTCTCAATGAGTACAAAACCGCAACCAAAGGTATGAATGAACTTTGTAAGCAGGTAACAGAGATTTGGTTTGACCAAATGAAACCAAAGGAGTGCCGACAAGTTATAGAAACCATGCCTGGACATACTGAGGCTTTTATCAAAGTTAAAGGGAAATGGACAAAGTATTTATCCTTATAAAAAAATAAAACTTGGTTTTTTTCAAATATCTCACGTTATTGTCCCATTCTCTGATAACTTTACTCCATTAGAATTTATGTCCATGTAGTTATATGCTTTTACACACTATATGGTATGAAAGACAACAGCTTAAGCTTTTAAGTAACAGTAAATTCGTCACCATTGTATAACATCTCATCCGGCGGTAAGGCCTGAAAGTTAAAACTGTTAAATATTGGGACAGTATTGTGGGCCACAATATATGATGGACACCTATGATGAACACCTTCGACGATTACTCCATATAAAAAGAGAGGCTACCAAAAATAGTTGATATCATCAAGATAAATTATCTCAAGGTTCACAAGAATGCCCTGGAAGTCCAAGAGCGACAAGAGAAACGAATTGAGAAGGTTCTCTTAAACACACTAAGCGCAAACTGAGATGGAAGGTTTACAAGATGCTCAAAACATCACACAACAAAATGGGTAATATCACCTATTTACAATTGGCCTTCCTTTGATGGCTAATGATTGCTTCAATGAATACATACAACTGTTTCGTTATTTGCAATAAGTAGTACTATTTCTTTTATTAAGCGTCTGCGATGTATTTTCCAGCCTTTACAATCTTGGTAACGTTACAAATTTTAGCCCAAAGAACGACAGCAGCATCTGCACCTTGTTGTACACTGACATCAGACAACAAATGATCCTTCATTTCAAAGCGAACAGCAATAGGCTGAGGAGATGCTTGCTCCAGCGTAGTGAACTGAGCCTTAATGACCTGTTCATCGTTCCCGGAGATGTGTCCCAGATGCCATTTAATTCTGTGTTGAGAAAGAACAAGTTCGCCTGCTGGAATACTGAGCGCATTTTGTACATTCCCAGTGACTGAAGTGGCCAACATGACCTTATCCAGTGTTGCTGTTGAGGGTGCATTTGAATGGTATTTGACAAGCAACCGGCTCTTTTGAGCTTCGCACTTCCAAATGGGCTTCACAGTGATGGGTAAATGATCCAGCTTGGTTTGGTATTTGATACAAACAGCTACAGCGTTTTCTTCCGACGTACTGAAATTCTCGTGATAAAGTTGTGTGTTGATCTTGAAAATGTTGTCTTGTAAGTTGTAGCCATCCAATACATTGACATAGTCAGTCACTTCAATCGAGTCCAGTGATTGTTGATGGTTAATTTGGAAGCAAATGGGTGTAGCACTCACAGCAGGTCCTTTGTAATCAATACCAATCTCACCCCAGATGACTGATTTCTCTGCTTCCCCAGCTTTGGAAAGTACATGCACTGTCTCGGTAATGTATACATTAATCAATGGCAAATCTTCTACAGGTTGATGTGTTACTGCGGTTGCTTCCTCTTCCTCTGGTATCTCTGCAATCCTCTCTTGGCTCATTTCAAAGGGGTTTGCTGGTAATGATGATGTAGAATCCGTGGATGGTTGGAGCGATGTATCCGCTACTGGTGCAGGTCCAGAAGAACCGTCTACTTTTGAAACTATTTGATCTTGCTCAATGACTGAGTACAGTTGTGTGGCTCTCATTCTAGCGATACGATTAGCTTGTTGCACGCTTTGCCAAAATGAATGTCTCTACTTACTCTCGTCGTCCTCGTAATCTTCTTGCAGTAGGTGTAGCATTGGGAGTTTTCTACAAGATGATTTAGCAACGATAGAACACAGAAACAATGTTATATATACAAACTTCTCTTAACAGAGTAGATACTCGCGAAAGAGCCACAGCTGATTGTGAAGCATCCTCTTCAGTGACAGCTTCGTTCTTGATGTCAACTCGAATCCGTGGGTTACTAAAGACACTATGGGTTTCGAGTATTTTAGTAAGCCCATCTTGGGGTCGATTGGTATATTGAAAGACTTACCTTCCTCCGTCTGAAGCCATGTCATCTGTATCTACCAAAGATTCATTGGTGGTGTTGGCATCTCCGGGCCATGCTGTGCGGTCAGGAGGAGGAATAGAGTATCCTTCAGCATCTATTAAAATAAGAGGCTAATGCGTACATATTAGAATCCCATTGGTAATATCACAAAATCAAGTACATACTGGCTGTGAGGCTGAATCATTGGTGAAGCTCCCCTTTAAGCTAGGCGCATTGTTCATAGATGGCGGATTCAATGAGTTGGGCGAGTTGGGTGTCATCAAATCCACATTTTGATGAAGGTGTCCAATATTATTTGTGCTTGCTGACTTGGCCATATTAGCATCATGATGGTCTGAAGTACTGTGTGTATTGATTGAGTGGAGGCTGGATGATTCAACAAAGCTTCCAGCATTGCTGAAACTACGCTGACGACGGCCATTACTTTGCTGATCAGAGGGATTCAAACCTTGATCCATGTGTTGATTGAGGTTGGCATCTGACTTTGGCTTGCGTCTAATAGAGACAAGAGAAGAGAAAACTATGTCACAGCAAGTCAATACATTTGACATACTTGATCTACTTTTTTTACTCACATCTCTTCTTGTCCTTTTTGATAGATGGTGGAGCAGGTGGAGGATGGCGGGTTGCAGCATCTGAGCTTTTCAAACTCATATCTGAAACAGAGGGTTCAGGTACAATGTGATTCGTGTCGACTAATGGTTGTGGTGCTTGACTTTCCACTGATTCCGCTGTTGTTGTGTTTGGCACTTGATGCGGAGTGATCTTCATCAAACTACCACCGCCATGCGATGCACAGAATGCAGCAATTTCATCATCCACACGCAAGTTGGCAGCAGCTGTCATGGTATTTCCAGCCATTTCAATCATTTTCTCAGCATGTGTTTGCTGGATAGACTCGAATTTATAGATGGTGGTCTTTAAGTTTTCCCAGCCAAATTCATCCACTTTTTGGTGTTTCTATCAGAGATGTTATGTTAGCGCTCATTTTCATCACCACGACTCTTTCAATTTACTTGTAAGAATTCAGGTGCTTCCTTGATCCACTCTGCCAACTTTTGCTCTTGCAATTTGATATACTCTGCAGCCTTTGCTTCACCTTTTGAGTTCTTTTTTTGTTTTTGAATTTTGGCTTCAAGATCATCGTACTCTCGGGCAATTCTTTGCATATGATCGCCCATCTGTTTGACCTGTTAAACAAGACAGCTATCAAGATACAATATTAGCCTCACCTTGTGAATGTCAGCGTAATCACGATTGTTGGGTATAGCTGCTCTCAATGGCTGCTCGATCTGCTCAGTCAATACAGTAGAGTATTCGCCATGAATGGACGCTAGTTGTGCGAGTTCAATTTGAAGCATTTCCCACAATGGCAAAAAAGTGCTATGCAATACAGTGTGAATACGAGCATTAGTGTGTGCAATTCATTCTATTTACCCTAATGCCGATTTGTCTACAATATAATTCTTCTTTTGCAATTTCATGATACTCTTGGCATACATGTCTTCGATTTGAGCGCTACCATTTCTCATCAACACACACAATTCAGCAACTGAAAATGGCGTGTATGCTTACCGATCTTTAAAGTACTCTGCAAACTCATCATTCAACTTGAGAGCTGATAAAAGACGAGCATGTGGAATATCGACCCCGTTCTTTGGTTTTTCGTTCTATATCGACACGGGTTAACATTAACCATATACTAATCAGAAAAAGCAGCGTATGTCTTACAAGAAAAGATTGCATGTACGAGTTTTTCTCTTCTATATTTGCCATATTAGACCAAAAGAATATGAAAGAAGCTTGATTGGAAATTAGTATAAAGGAGAAATAAGGAACGGAAGGGGGAAAAAGAGATGGGTGGATGGAAGGAAAAAAAAAGAGAGAGAGAGAGAGAGAGAAATCAAGACCAAGGGGAGAAGAGACGACAATAAATGTGAAATCTCTCGCCTAATAAAGCCATTGACCAACCAATTTAATGCCTAATGTATACACACACCGAAATGTTTGTAGCCTAGTTGAATCTTGCATGTGCTCTATATACAACATAACTTGTTTGATGTTGCCAAGTCAGAAGCCTCATTGCTCCAAACAGAGGATAGGTTGTTCCTATCGCTTCTTGCTACAAGTAAAATAGATTGAAATGGAGCATGCAGTCGTAAAGATGCTAAACCAACATCTCACTAATAGTGTAGTGGTACAAGCAATAAGGGTAAAATAATTATCCATTTTATTCGTTCGTAAACATCTCACTATCGTTGTTGTCACTGTCCAACTCCTCCATGGACGGGTAAATAGGCACAGGTGGAAGACACTGAAGGGTGGCTCGGTAGCTTGGAGGCTCATCCACTGCTGTTTCATAATCAGGCAAGGCGGGCACGCTTCCTTCACGATATTCTTCTCGCGATGTGATAATGATGGGCACGTTCAAAGTGCATTCATATGAGCCTTCTTCCAAGATGCCCTTGTGAAACTGGAATGGATTGAAATGATGATGAATCGTCAATGAGTGACCCAAGTGATGTCGTGGCCCACTTGATAGGTTATTGTCTCTAGTAACGCCTTCTCTTTCCTCCTCATCGTTGTCGCCTTCATCCACAAATGTATAAGAACCGGCATTGTCTTCCGTCATATTACTGCTACTTGGCTCCAGTTTTCTACTGGAGACTCGCACCAAGTTTGATTGAAAAGGTTGCATGAATTCCATGTCCAACGACGACGAAGAAGGTGGCGATGTGGACAGAACAGACTCACCAGACATGGTTTCCACTGACAGTTCTGAAATAGACGGCGATCTGCTTAAAGGAGGCGTGCTGGTGGAAGCAATTGCGTTCGGCATGATATTCACCGGTGTCATAGAAGGTGGCTTTCCAGGCGAGCTTCGATGATCGTGTTGCTGTTTCATTGATAAGTGGGACAGGATGGAACGTGGTGCTGCTCCAAGACTGCTTGCAACACTTGCTATACTTGTTGTACTATCTGTTGATCTGTGTCGGTGAATGTTGGCCCTTGTTATCACCTCATTGTCGTCAATAATCATTCGAATCATCAGTATATGGTGGACCACAATCAAGCTCGATTTGTTGTCAGTGTGCACACGAGGATACAGTCGAAAGATGGCATTGTAGTTGTGCAAATCTGCGGGGTTGTACTCGGGATGTTGGGAGGGGAAGAAGGTGCTACAGCCTAGAGGAAAGCTGGATTCATTGTAGTGCATTGCTTGATTCGTCAGTGAGCTTTTGCCAGTCGTTCTGTATACCACACGTTCCTTTAAACCACAAGTAACAATGCGAATTGAATATCGATCTGGATCCTTCAACTCCACATTGAGTCCTAACTCTAGTAACCCTCCTTCACAGTAAACCATAGATGGGGCAGTAGCAGAGTACTTGACAATGTCAGGATGCTTCCTTCCTATCACAGTTTGTGTGTTGCGAGCCACAGGACTTGGCGTATTCATCAGACATCTTCTCAGTGTCACTGGCTTACTGATGTGCACATCCGTGCTAAATATGCCTCGAGTAACATAGGCATCTAATTCATATTCAATCGATCCGTGCTTCCCTTTGAATGAATGTGGCAGACTGGGTGGTATCTTGAAGGAAAATGGGAATTTGTATGTACCAGGCTCAAACGTTGTCAATGGGCTGTTACTGCCATAGCTGGCTGCTGCCTCTGCTGTCTCACCCAAATGTGCCATCTTCTTTCTGTAAATGCCTCGACTTTCGGTACCATCCGATGTAGGAACGCCCATCTTGTTTGTTGTCTTGAAATTCACTCGACATACACCTGTGAATACAGTTTCCAGGCGCTTGATCTTGACACAACGAGTGGTAGTCATCAAGAGCTCTCCATTCAGTGTGCAACCCTCAGATTCATCATGCGCAAATCCTCGCAAAATACCTGTAAAGTCGGGAGAGATTTCTATTGACAGCGATATTTCTTCACTCTTATGTAACGATTTGAACATTGTCTACAAGTTGATGAAAACAGAGAGAGAGAGAGAGAGAGACAATTGTCACACATTTGCCATTCTTCAAAAAGTATTTGTTTTACTTTTTTTTTTTTTTTTTTTTTTTTTTTTTTTTTTTTTTCTTTGCATGACATTTTTCCCAATTGAATTTTCCGTCATGTTCCTCTTTTTTCCCCCTTTCTATGGATTTTTGTGTGGTACCACCATAGATATGACCCATTAGATAGGACCCTTAACATGAAAAATCCCTCGTCATGTTAATAGAATTTACTATTTATGCAACGAATAGAAACAGAAAAGCTCATTGCCAATAAACTTTAAAATGCCCAGCCCTGCACATGCGTCAAATGTTCAAAGCATTCTTCCCTCAGATCCCGATTGCTTCCTTCAATGGCTTGATTTGGTAAATTGAAATCCTGTAGGTTTGAGAATGTCATGTTTAATTATCGCCAAGATGGATGACAAATGGCCGTTGGATCTGGCCAGAACACATAAATGTATAGATCACTGTGAGTTTGTTAATGAGGCCTATGGAAATGCAAAATTGAAGCAGACTAAAACGAATGCAATTGCGTATACCTATCTTCTAATCCATCAAATCACTCCCGCTTTGCCATGAAAAGTTTTCAGGTGTATGAAATTCAAGAATATGGGAAACTTTAAATTCTAATTACCTCTAATGTACATTTCCAATAATATCTAATGAAACTTCACTTGACCTACCATTGTCACTCCTTGAACGGCCTATAATCACGGATTTGACTCTTTTGCGTTGCTCCACATACGTATCCATGAAAACATTCCGTACAAGGGCAGACAATATATTGTCATTGCCTCTGATTACTCGAATCATTGCAAATAGCATCGAGAATTGGAAAGCATCTGAGCAGCGTTTTCTCGTGTTAGAAGCACTTTTAGACCACCAGAAGAGCATTAAACAATTGCTCTCGTCTAGTAGTTGCTTATTGACACCTTTGCTCAATTTTTTGGGGACCCAAAAAACATGACCAAAAATCGACCAAAAAGCATGAGGTACCCCTCATGGTTTTCATCGAAAATCAAACGATCTCGTTTTTGACCTTGAAAATGAAGACTTTTACTATGGTGTATATTAAATCAAAATGATTCTCTCAGTCTAAAGCAACCCCTGAAGCTTTGTCTGCGAGGCCATCATATGTAAAAACTCGACATTTTGGCCATAAACCGCATTTCATATTTTCAAGCATTTCTCAGTAAGTTTATTCAAAACACCATTAATGATTAGCACCAACGCATGCGCCTTGAAAAGTACTTGAAGGAAGCTTAAAGGAGCATGGGACAATTAGCACAGTTTTATAGTCGAGACTTGCAAAATAGATATTTTTTTTTTTTTTTTTTTTTTTTTTTTTTTAAATTGTGTTTATTGATTGAGCCGCGTACACTAAGAGTAATAGGTCAGAGTGAAGAGGCGGGTGCAATTGAGAAATGAAAAAAATATAAATATAAATGGAAACTAAACTAAACTAACAAAAGGAACTATCTAACTATCTAAATTACAAGAGGGAATGGATTTGATCTTCATCCACTGTCTGTCGGACAGTGGAGTGGATATGTACCAGAATTGCCTCAGGGACAAAGATAGTGCCGTCAAAAACAAAGCGCATATGGGCTAGCCATATTTGAGACAGGGTGATGAGTAGGATTCTGTATGGATGGATGCCTTTGACTTGGGAGTACCAGATATCTGAAAAGTCCAGGGACAGAAGAGCCTCTTTGATGTCAGTGATGGACGTGGTGGGCCATAGGAACTCAAAAATGACGCCTTGCCATACCTTTTCTTTGGATGGACAGTCAAAGAGCAGGTGGCTGGCAGTTTCATTGGGGGACAAGCAGACAGGACAATTGTGGGACTCGAAAAATGCAGGCATCATGTAGTGTAATCTGCTTCTAGAAGGGATACAGCCTGCGATGAATCGGTATATCACATTACGTTGAATGTAGGTAAGAGACAGGGACCAAAAGAATTTCCAATTAGCAGCAGAGACATTTTGCAAGACCAGCAAAATAGATAATTCAAGTCGAATTTGACTTGATTCTGTCCAATCCAAGAATAACCGAAAACTTGAATCTTGCGAGTATAATAAATGACAAATTAGTAAAGCAGTTCCTTGAATAAGCCAGATTGAGCACATTATTACCTTGGAGATTCAAGCGTCCGCTAATGCAGCACCGCTGCTGTCCCGTTTTTCGTTTTTGTTGCAGAAAGAGGTGGTCTTGGAGATAATGCCAGTGTTGGATTGACTGGGTTTTGGGTTGAATACTGGCAGTGGCTGCCTGAATAAGAGAGTGGAAAGCCCAGAGTCAGCGATAGCCAAAGCAGATGTCCTGTCTCTACCTTGAATGGCTCTGTAATTGAGAACGGACACACAGGCAGGATTTAAGGACAGGAATGCACCATGAATGGATCTCGTCTTGGTCTTACCATTCTTTGCTTTGATGGATTGTGTGGGATAAGAGATGGGACCAAAGCAGTACATGCACGTCTGGGATGTCTTGCGTTCGTTGGTAGTATGCACAGTGGCGACAGATGAATGTAAGCGAGGCTTCCATTTTCCTCCATACTTCAAATGACCCTTCAAACGAGAGCCGACACAAAGACCACGATCCCTAATGAACATTGCAAGTGACGTTTGGGGACGAACACCAGCACAAAAAGATCTTTCACGTGAAGCGAAACAAGAACGGAAACGCATGTCAATGTGTTCAATCTTGTTAGAGAGAGTATTCTGCTACTTTGAGTGATAGAACGCTCGCAATGCTTGGCCGTTGCTTCTGTGTGCATCAAGATTTGACATGACATCCTCTACCTCTTTGGCTCTGAACACACTGGATCTCGGCAATTGCTGCTCAATCTCTTGAACCTTCTTTCCTTCTTCTGTTGTTTTCTTGTCTTTCAAAGTGATCTTTTGCCTCATAAATTGGCCAGAACCAAAGTCGACACCTTCAGCACGCATCTTGTATGACTCTGGCAGAGGCTCAAATGTTGTTGTCCGATCACGATCATTGGCAGTAGCACCGGCGTCGCCATCATCACCATTGAGATCTCCATCGCATCTAACACTGCCATCACGAACTTCATCCTTATCACTAGCATCGTTCGTAATAAATTGGTCAACACCATTGCCATCGTTACCAGCAGTAGTACCAGTACTATCAGTCAAATTGCCTTCATCAGCACCGAGATGGGTGAGAGGAGAGAATCTATTACCACTACATGCTAAGAGCTGCGAGGACTTCATTGGGAGCATCAATGTATATACCACCAATTGCAAGTTCATAACATAGTCAGATACATCATGCAATGCAGTATTTAGCTTCTCCAAAAATGACTCGACGAGGTCGGAAGGCACGCCCTTTCGTAAAAGGCTCTTGAAAGACACGGTACAAGTGCGGTATTCTACATTGTCTGGGGGAGCTTCAGCCATGGATATATCAGAGGGATTATGCGAGATTGAAGACATTGCTGCATGTGAAGGGGCGCCAGACACAGAAGACATGTCGGATGCCATGTCCATGCCAGAGAGGTCGCGGCAAAGGAACGCTACAGAGTCAGCAGGAGCAATAACCGGTGTAGCTGGGATGGATGCACTTTCACCAGTGGATGTAGACGTAGAGGCCTGAGGCTGTAAAGATACTACAATAGCATCGAAATGATCCTTGACGTACTCTTGAAAGTACTGAAAGTTTTGCTTAGTATCATGGTGTTCAAGATAATTTTTTAACTCATCTTTGGCACATTGACAGATCTTTTCAGCAGTAGTAGTGACACCTAAGGGGAGCTTCTTCACCGAGAGTAATGTCTTCTTGAGTGCATCCAATTTACTAGGCTTGTCAATGATGGGCCTTGCTTTGTTTTCGATGATTTCCCTCATTGATTGAAAAAGCTATCCATCAATCGCTGCTGCGAGACACCAAATGACTTGGGCCTTTTGACAACAGGCTGATAACTTGATGTGGACATGGCACTTGTGGATGTTACAGCTTCATATCCTCTTTTTTTTCCCTTTAGCAACGACTCTTCTTTGGGGAGAACGACTGGTTTGAGTGCCAGTAAACGGATCTCTTTGCTCTCCTTTTGTTCGCACACTAGACATTTGAGATAGAAAAATAACTAGACAAGAAAAATGTGAGCATTTGTAATGGTACAGCGATTGACCAGAACAATACATACTGTAACAAGAGTAGTGCTTTATAGATTCGGTTATAAATAAGAGCTGCCAAGACACAAAAATATGACGAGAACTAAGAAATGGTTTTGGATAGTGTTGATGCTACGCAAACAGAAAGTGTAAAGGAACGAGAAAGAGTGGAGAGAAGAGAAGAGAAATACATACTGAGAATGGCTGCAGCTTTCATGAAGGAATACTTCAAGCGGTTTTACAAGTCAGGCATCAATATATCAGATCTAGAATAAGTTTGGGGTGCCTTAAATAATGTTGTCAATAACTGTTTGACAGATGAAGAGATATACCGCCACATATTAGACAGCAGTTATCTTTACATTATTCAAATGTTACTTATCATGTCCTGAAGAGAAGACATACAAGCTTGATCAATAAAAAGTTGTATAAAAAGTAAACAAAATGTTGTGCAATTCATTAAGTACAAATACATCCGCTAACATTACATTGAAATATTGGAAAAGCGTACACTTGCTTTACAACTGCTCTACAACTGACACCGAGCATCTGCCTGTGAATCAAGTATTTAATTGTGCCAGAGATCTGTAAGCTAAGCTGTGTGTACGTTTGATATTCAGTATATAATAGATTAGCCGATCAATCTCGCTACGCATACAGGACTTGTATAAGATCCACAGCAACTTTTTTGCGAGATTGTCATTGTAAAAACACCGCTGTTATAGGGAAAATTTCCAACAAATGCAAAAAAAAGGTATTCAAGCTGAGCGATTGACCTTTCAATTCCATGATTTCCATTTAATCAGCATCACAATCATCATTGTCATCAACAGATAGACATTTGGGCCAGCCAGCAGCAGTGCCGCCCGCTAAAATCATTTCAGGCTCAGTTTGTCTTTTCTGTTCAAGATTGGACAAATTTTATGTTTCTTCGACTTCCTAAATCTGTTTTGTAGTATTCGACTATATAAACTGTAATAATCGCCCTACGCATCCTAATACAATGTCCCTGGTGGTAGGGCGAAGTGGTAGAAACTCCCGTATGCCAACGGGAGGATCCCGGTTCAAATCCTGGTGAACGCAAGTTGTTTGATTTTTTGAAGTAGTACTGATGTCCTCGTTTGGTGTTTTGTACTCTATCCATTATCTATATTTTGACGATTTCCGCAAGACTGTTTTGGCTCTAGGTGTCGCACCTTATTAGTAGTAGATTTCTTTCCCAACTTAGTTCAAAATATCTTATTCCCCTTCATTGCAGACATTGGGTCCACCAACAGTCTTTTCTTTCCCTCAGTATGACATTTTAAGGACTTTAAATAAAACCTGGAGCTCGACTCCCCTACAAAAAAAAAAAAAAAAAAAAAACGCATCCTAATACATCCTTAAAGTGCTTTTCAAGGCGCTTCCAATGATGCAAATTGTAATAAGTGTTTTGACTGAACCTATTGAGCAATTTTAGAAAATAAGAAATAAGACTTTTGGCCAAAATGTCAAAATCCTGCGTATGAAAACCTCATAAAAGTGATTTCAGAAGTTGCTTTGGATCGAGAGAAACATTTTGATTCAAGATATACCATAGTAAAAGTCTTCATTATCAAGGTAAAAAAACGCAATCGTTTGATTTTCGATGAAAACCATGAGGGGTACCTCATGCTTTTTGGACGATTTTTGGCTATGTTTTTTTGGCCCAAAAAGTTGAGCAAAAGTGTCAGGAAGTTACTACTACTCAAGTACAATTGTTTGGCGTTATTCTGGTGCCTCAGAAAGGTCTGCATGTCAAGGTATGAAGGCTTGAAAGCTGTCAAAATTGGTTATGTTTTTGCTTTATAGCTTTTATTTACATAGTATGAAATACATCTCTGGTAGCTCTACTTTTCTGGAAGAACAGGTCTGCAGCCTGTGCAAGTTCTAGTTCGAGTAGAAGGAGCATTGATTTTGGTAAGACTATTTTATGCAAATTTTGATGCGTTATATTATTGGTAGGCTTAAAAATAAATAGAAATAAAAAGCTGAATTGGCTGCTTGAATGCTATCGTTTTGCACCTTCGCTTCGCTAAGGTAAAACTCCCTTATAGGTCAATGTTACCAAATGTTGAATTAGATGCGTTATGTTCTTGGTGGAGGGACCAAGTTTCCCCCCTCCCCAATGCTAGCTTCGCCAGTGGTTTTTTCGAGCCTTGTACAGTACTCAGTGCTTTGATTTTTTTTTTACGTCTCTGATCTCTGATTGGTCACTCCGACGTTTTTTATATAGTTTTCTGGTAAATACTAGAGATGCTCGACTCACAACTCTCCTTTGATACTATCATTTAAGCTTCACTTTATATCCTACAGTCTTTACCTCCTCTCCCTTATATCTAGTAACAATTTAAGGACTTTAAATAAAACAGAAGAGAGAAACTCTTCCTTACAAAAAAAAAATACTAGAGATGATGGTGGGTGGCAGGTGTCAGACGTTATGCTTGCAGGATTCAAGGCATGCAGAATAACGTAATCGGAGATTCAAGCAATTTTGGCTGATAGTCTCTCCAACCATGGACGATGAATGTCTTGCTGTCGGGTAAGGTGGAAAGCCACCATTGAATGGAAAATTTTCAAAAAGTGAAGATCTGAAAAGCAGCAGCCCCAGAGTCATAAAGCAGAAAACAAAGCAATTGAATTACAAGGACTGGACCTGATACGAAAAGATTATCAGTCGTCAGCATCATCATTGTCATCATTAAAGAGTCTCAAGGAAGAAGTAGACTCTAACTCCTCACCATCCTCATCTGGATCATCAGCCGTAGCTTCTTCAGTATCAGTAGCTTTAACATTCTCATCAGCGGTAGATACACCGTCAAAGAACAAATGTCTAAATGAATATAGTACATTCACCTCAACAAGGAATTGTGCGATAAAACGGCTGAACCAAACAAAGGTCACTCTGCAAACGACCTTAGGCGACTTATTTCTAGTATATAAGATAGATTGAGCAAGGCATTTTGTATGGGAGATGTATACATTTCAAGCATTCGTACTCATCGCCGTGTTATCATAATCAAGTAGAGTCGCTATTGGTGCATCATAGACGAGGAGCCTCAGACAGATTTACAATACTGTTATCAACATGGCTATTTAAGACCATGGTATACTTCTTTCTTCTCATTACCATTTCTAATTGACGTATGAGTAATTGCTTGGTGTGGTTTTCCCGAAAGCGGAGGGACATGTGCATTTGATGCATGTTTCTTTCGATATGTTAAGGGATATGAACCTTGAAATTACTAAAAACGGGCCTGAAATAACACTCAATGTTTGTTTACTTGTTGATCTACGGTGCGTATAGCTGTTGACAGATTTGTTTACTTTATGCTGTATTTGCAATAGACTGGGTGTGTTGCAAGTGGCTCTGTGCAAATTATCTGATTTCATAATAAATAAATCGCTACCAATTTACAATATGGATAATTTACCAAATCTATACTAGTTTGCTTAGTGGCGAGGGATGATCAGCAACTGCTTTCGCAAACTAGATGTATATGAGTTACTATAAAAGTGCAAAGCAAATCAACATGGAATTGAACCACAGATAATTTTTATTATACTCGGTAAAAGGCAAATATATAGAAAGATCTACTCGATTCATACAAATTTCATTAGACCACATATTGGTATCACATATAAACCGTGGCTAAATAAAACCAAATGAATAATAGTTTGAATTCAGATGCATATGCTGTATTCAAAGAGCGTGAGTTTGATGATGGATCAGCCGTGTGGTCATGCTGGGATTCATTCCATATTATTATGGATTGCCTATATCTATTATCCTATATTAGATGAAATGGTATATAAGGACACAAGATCAAATCAGCTTGCTCTGGTCTTCAGCACTGTTCTCATTTTATTTGAATGTTTGGACATTATAAATTCGTCAATCTTGCAACGGCAGCTACCACAATCGCAGCATTACTGGCAGTGTCGTCGGTGCATGCAGGCAGTTTCCTTGACAAGCCAAGTATTGTCACTTATTGGGGCCAGGTAAGTTAATTTTGTGCGTATTTTATGGATCGCATTACTAAATCTGCTCGCGTGTAAAAGAACTCCAAAGGCTCATCAGACAGTCAGAAAAGCCTTGCTTCTTATTGCGACGGCAATTCCGATGTGCTGATCATGTCATTCGTACTCAATTTTAGTGATGGAAGCCTTCCTACGCTTAATCTAGCGAATAGCTGCAATGGGCCAGCATTCTCAGGTACAAAGCTATTGCAATGCACAAGTGTAGCAGCAGGTAAATACATCCAGGTTGCCGGCAAAGAATGCAAATAGTGACCTTGATCACAGATATCAAAACTTGTCAAGATAAAGGAAAGACCATACTGATGTCACTTGGCGGTGCAAGTGGTGTATACGGTTTTGCGAATGATGCCGATGCAGAAGCCTTTGCTGACACTTTATGGAATATCTTTGGTGCTGGAGAAAGCGACACTCGGCCATTTGGCGATGCTGTTATCGATGGCTTTGATCTCGACATTGAAGGTGGTGGCTCCACTGGTTATGTTGTAAGTTGTGCAATAGGCAAATCTCCATCAACATCTCATGAACGAATTTGATAGGCAATGATCAAACGACTTCGAAAGCATTTTGCTACCGACCCGTCCAAGGATTACTACATTACAGGAGCTCCTCAGTGTCCATATCCTGATGCCATGCTCGGCACCGTCCTTGATGCTGTTGAATTTGATGCTGTCAATGTGCAATTTTACAATAACTATTGCTCCGCAACTAGCAGTAGCTTCAACTTTAATACTTGGAATGCATGGGCAAAGTCGTCTCCCAACTCGGATGTCAAGGTTTTTTTGGGTATCCCTGGCTCAAGTGCTGCTGCTGGTAGTGGTTATGTTGTTTTCGACTCTCTTGAACCTATTGTCAAAAGATTACAATCAACTTATTCCAACTTTGGTGGTGTCACTCTCTGGGACGCTTCTGCTTCTTATGGTAATACAGATGTATCGCCCAATTATCAAACACTGGTAGCTGACCTTGTCCATGGTTTGCCTAGTGATGGCAGCCAAGACGGTGAAGCTACTACTACAACTAAAAGCCATCACAAAACAACATCCAGAACTAAGCATCGCAAAACAGAATCTAAATCTAAGCACCAACATACAACAGCTACAACTGCCCGTGAGAGTTCAGTATCTACTAGACATAGTACTTCAAACACTGGTAGTGCTACCAAGACCAAACCATCCAAATCAGCATCTACAAGCTCCACACCGGCCAAAACAGTTAGCAAAACGAAATCATCTAAATCAACATCAAGTCGTTCTACATCTGCACATGGAAAGACTACCAAGGCCAAGACAACCAGGGTCAAGACTACCAAGACAAAAACCACTATGAACAAAACTCCCAAGAGTACAATTACCCAGAGTACAACTAGCAAGACCATAAGCAAAAAGCATACCTCTACCAAGAGCAAATCTACAACAATCAAGCCTAAACCAACCAAGACTCTCACCTCTACATCCGAATCTAGTACTGGCTCACCCGTATCCTGTGTATCACATGCATCTAAATGTTCTACTGAGGGTCAAATGGTCTGTTATGGCGACTCGTTTGCCACTTGCAATCACGGTAAATGGGAGGTTCGTAAATGCCCCTCCAGTCTGACTTGCTTCTCAACAACGGATGGCAAATCAATCTATTGTGGCCAAGGCACCAGCGGTACTACTTGTCCTGCTCTCAAGAATAAATTATTTGAAGGAGCAACATTACTTGCAACAAGTATAAAGCAAAAAATCTCCTTTGTTGGTCCCACTGCCAAGCCTTACAAAAATGGTAGAGTGATTGCACAATTCTCTGTTACTAAATTGAGTGCTTCTGGCTCTTTTGAATCTATGATCAATGCTCGCCGACTCGACCAGACAACATTTGGAAATACTATCACTGTTTCATTCAAGGTTGCCAATGGCATCAAGATCACAGGTGTTACAGATGGTACAGTCAGTCAAACAGATAACCAAGTCAAGATTCAGTACAAGAATCATAGCAGAAAAACCATGGTTGCCATTGTTGGTATCGAGGGCAAGGTTTCTACAGGCAATATCCTGATTGCACCCAACGTCAACTCGATGAGATTCTCCTCTTGAGGATTTGTTTTATCATCTCTACTCTAGAAAGGATATTGTCAGACTATAATAGTTATACCACTGTATTGATATCATTCATTTTATAAATAAATCAAGTTTGAAAAAAAAATACCATATAGCCACTATCTATGCCCATCAGAGTTATCACTTATAGACAACACAAGCTAATAAAGATACACTTTAATACAAAAAAAAAACTTATAGACAACGACTGCACTATGACTCAAAATTATGTCTTTTTTTTTTTTTGATTAGTAGAGTTTGTTTTATTGAGGTTATTGGTATTCTATCTCGAAGGGTTGATCTTGCAACCAAATGCCGAATAAAACTAGTTTGATGTTGATTAAAATAAGTTGTGTAGTGATAAATAAATAGATGTGATAGCAATAGTAAATTTGTAGTGTATGTATATGTTTATATCAAAATTAAGAAAGAAAAAAAACGGTGTGTAGATGTGTGTGAGTGAGAGGCTGGGGAACAAGTGTCTGTACAATTTAGAATGGAGGAGGGGGGCGGGGAGGAGCAGAAGCATGGCGACAATAGATGATGTATTTGTTGATGTTTCTTTTGTTGAACATGCAAAAAAAAAAGAGATCTTTACATGATTGAGGATGGCAAACCATTGATATTGTTTGCTCTTTGTTGCTGCTGTTGTTGCTGTTGCTGTTGAGCAGCTGCGATGGCCATTTGGACAGCAGTTCGATTTTGATTTGAAGAGTTATTGACAACGGCAGCCATATTAGCAGCAATCATACCATTAGCCATAGCTACTGCAGCCTGTTGTGGTGTCATTCGAGATCTACTTGCTTGTCTTTTCAATGGATGAGGAGATGAATTGGGCGAAGAGGCTCTGCTGCTTGGGTTGGCATTGCTTTCTAATACGGATGCACCAGTTGCAACTGACAGTCTTTGAGATGAAGCAGCAGCTGCAGCTGCGTTGGCAGCAGCTACAGCAGCAGCCTGACTAGCACGAGCCGCTTGGATGTTCATCATATTCATTGGGGTCAAGAATGGTATAGTAACAAGACTCCGAAGTTCCATTTCCGAGAGAAGCTGTGCTCTATGCCTCAGATAACTATACAAAAAAAAAAAGGTCCGGGTAAATCATCAGTTGAAAAAGGGCATTACTAAAGAGAAAGAGAATCTCCCCCCTCCCTTTTTTTTTTCTCTTTCACTTATTTTGCAAAACAAAATGTTACTTTACCTGTCTTGCATTTCGTCTATTTCGATGTCTGATTCCTGATCGCTAGAGTCAGAATCAAACTCAAAGCGGCTTGCATTGTTTCTTTCATAATCAGTAATTCCCATGCCAGGTTTGCTTTTGCCGGATACATTCTTGCTATTACTACTGTAGCCAGCACGATCGATAAAGATACGGCCACCACGCCCAATACGTTTTCTATAACGAACACCGTTTGCCATCGGTTGAAAGAACTGTGTAGATAATGGTGCTGGAAGGGGTTGGTAGGAGCACTATATCATCAAGCATGTTTAGCAAGTCAGGTAGATTTTCTATTCAAAAGCAACTTACATCTGTGAGATCTTCGTAAGGCGCATCTAACAGTTTCTTTTTAGCTAAATCAGCTTCAATGGCCAATTGCGCAGGAGATTTTTCAATGCGGCCATCATCTCTTTTGAGCCTATACAGAGGAATTTTGATGGTAGCACTAACAGAAAGAGAAACGTAAGTAAAACATGTAAAGATAGCATCAAACAGCAACTTACCCAGAGCCAACGGATGCCTTGCGTTTTCTCTTGGATGGCAGCAGCAAATCTTCGTCCTCCTTGATACCGAGGGTCTTTTGGTATTCTCGTAGTTTGCATTTCTTGTCAAATACAGTGTGCTCCAAGACCATGCCTTCTTTTCTGATCTTCTCTCTTCTCAAGACCATCTCAAGTAGGTTTCTGGCCATTTCCATCTCTGAGCGCAGCTTGCGAAGTCTTTCCAAAGATTGCTGGTCTGTACGTCTTGTCTTGCGAACAGGCTTCGTCTCACGACGACGGAAACAGACATATGGGTCCATCTCGTTCTTGAGTAGTTCTTCGTACTTTAGCTCTGGTATGATAGCATGCCCATGGCGATCTTGCTTACGCTTTCTCCAGTGACCAAAAATAGGTTCCAGCAATAGAGCTGCTCTTGTATGCAGAAAGGATGTCTCGGGGACCAGTTCCATAAAGTTCTTGAAATCAGGAATGTGTTCAGGATCCTATGCGATAGAATGAGTAAGTACATATGCTGCCAGCAAATCCAAGCAATGACCAAGTTAAGGAGATTGCAACAAGACCAATGAACAAAGAACTCACCAGATGGATGTGTGGCAATTTCTCTTTTGTAATGGATTCAAATTGATGCATTATCTTTTCAAAATCATCTTCTGATAATGTTGTATGGTCTGTATTATATTTATTTAAAAATGATTCATCCAATTCATCCATAACATAGGGACAGCCACTGGTATCTTCAACTGTTGATGAGAATCGAATCAATGTGGAAGGTTCTTTGTACTTCTTTTTGTATAATGCTTCATATTCTTTGCGGTCGATTTCTTTTGATGCATCAGGAATTGGGATGTAGCTTTCAATTTTTGCACCTGTTGTCACGGCTGCTTGATGCGCCGAAATGGCAGCTTGTAAATCATGCTAAAGTTGAGTTAGTGGTGTGTTCATATGATTGAGGAAGAATAGGGTCTGGTGAGGTGAGGGGGGAGGGAGGAGACACACATGTTAATTTAATAACTGCGCGCTCTTCATTGGGTGAAAATTAATTATGTACACAAGGAGAAAACCAAACATACCTCCTCTTCTTCTTCTTTCTCAACGCCAGTCTCTATCTGAGGGACAGATCTTTGCAGGTTAGCAGGGTCAATGAGGTCTGGAAGCTGAGACTCCTTAAATATAGGAAGTGGGTGTTTGGGCGAAAGTTTCTTGACTCGGAAGCGAGAGACCATTTGAACAGGCATTTAGCAATATAATTCCAGACGAGAAAAAAAAAAAAATTTCCCTCACCCTAAAAAAAAAAAAAAAAAAAAAAAAAAGCTTGAGAGAGGAAAAATTTGGAAAAAAAAGCAAGATGAAGAAAAGTTGAAAAAAAAAATGCGTTAAAGTTGGCGCAAAAAAAGGAAAAGTGGAGGAATAAGATATACAAAAGGTAAGAGAGCTATCACAGTAGATGTTATCCCTTTTTTCTTGTAATAAAAAAGCTTTTATGTTGTTGTTTTTCCCTTTTTTTTTATATCCTTTTCTTTATAAATGGAGGGTGTTGGTGGTCTTTTTTTTTTTCTTTTTTCAATTTTTCTAGTTGAATAATCACAAAACAGCGCTTCTGATTGGTTGACTTTTTGCAATTTGGGTGACATCACTCGTGTTTGTAGCTACTACACATCAGCCTATTTAGATTGTGTGGATCACTCATGCGCTAAATCGCCGAGAGGTATAGATAAAACCGACTAGAATGGTCAAAAACCTACTGAAATTCGGTCTAGATAGTAAACCATGATTAAGGCAGACATCGTTTCTCCTTGTTTTGTTGCTAGATTGAGTTTGATCCAGCATCTGTTCACTTCCGTCCAGACAATTGGGTGGGCAGATATAATTACGCTGGATCCAGCTCAAAAATTCACTTATTTATGCATTAGACAAGCTTGGTGTCTGCCATAAAAAAAAGCCATGAAGAACCTTGAGAATGGGCAGTGCAATTGGTAGACAATGAAAGTTGATGGATCAACGCATGTACACATAAGCAATATTGCATTTTATTTTGTATCAATTAATATAAAATATTTTAGTCATCCCCTGCTTCATCCTCGCCTTCAGAGGATCCTTGTGCTGAAGAATCGTATTCTTCAGGTACATCACTATCACTGTCAGGTGCGAAATCTTCATCAGCTACAAAATACATATGATGTTAGAATGGCCTATAGAGTGCATCCACATCGGTTGTAATACTCACGACTTTCATCCTCATCATCAGCACCTGCACCAGGAAAGTTGGATCCACCAGCGTCTCCTGTTCTACGTCTCTTTCTAGAATCATAGTCATCGTCTTCCTCGTCATCATCGTCGTCATCCAATCCAGCAAGGTCTGTGTAGGTCATCATGGCATCCTCATTTCCTTCAGACTTGATCTTGATCTTCTTTTGTTTTAAATACTCCTCAATGTTGGCATACTCTTCTCTGTTGATGCTAGAGAATTGAATATCATTTCCACTCTTCATATTGAACTTCATATCGAATGTACGAGAGCTGCCACCTGACTGACCCACTCGAGAGAAAGTAACCACACCAATCTCGTTCAATGGAATAAAGGTTGGAGGTTTAGGAATGAAGAGTAAACTCTTTTCCAATGGGTAAAGGAAACCTTCATTTGCTTTCATTGAACACTTCAAGGCATTGGCACCATGATGACTTCTATAAGAGCCAGGCACTGTCACCTTTCTTCCCGTTAACGCTCTGAATACGTTGCTGACAACCTCGTAAGTGGGAGCGTCATAATGCTTCTGAAGCTTGTTTTCGTATTTTTCATCCAGTGCCTCGTCCTCCAAATTCAAGTCTACATCAATTTCCTCTTCACGCACAAATTGGAATACTAGGAAAGGATACTTTGTTTGGCCTTGTCGGAGAGGAGGATCCAAACCAATCTACACAGGTGCAATCAGTATGTGATGCAAGCTGATGATGACAGTGCTTTGACACTTACAACAAATAGAACGTGCACCTCGTCAGGCTTTAACAGCAAGAAGAGCTTGATAATGTTGGAATAAAGAATCTTGTAATCGTATGTTTTGCCGCGAAGACGGAGGAAATCTTGGTACATGTCGATGTTGTAGCGACCACGAGGAGTCAAGCACAAAGCCTCTTGGAATTGTACAATGTTCTCTGTTGTCATTTGGCTGAGCTCCAGCTTGGATTTCACAGTTTCATAGAACACCATGTCTGCATTGACCTCCTCGTCCTCGTCCTCTTCCACATTGGCATCATCATTGGTGTTCTCCTTTGCAACAGTGCCAGGAACATAAAAAGTGATATCCATCAATTCATCTACATCTTTGGGATTGATGCCCTCGGGTGCTGGCTGGCCGGGGTCGACAAAATTGATGGCTACTTCGTTTTTACCAGGTTTGTTGGTAGCAATGGCCTGTGCAAGAGGTAGTTCGAACATGGTTTTATTGGTGACACTAAAGTTCAGATTGGATCCTGTTGTATATCATATCAACATCAAGCTTCCCATGAACGTATGATCCAGTTCCAGCTTACCTTGAAATTCTGTCTTGCCCCAATTCCAGCCCTTGACACTCACTTCCTTGACTTCAATTGGGAGTTTATAGAAGGCTTTTACTGCGTCTTTTAATTCATCCAAGTCCTAATCAAGCATGTGTCAGCCAACTGATGGCATTGCAATCTTCTGTAGGCAGCTTACATCAGGTTTAAATCCATCAAACTTCAGAACCGTGTTGTCCTTTTGCAATACTCGAAGTTCAAAGCCTCTCGCAGCTCGGGTCCAACTCATCTTCTTGAGATCATCTGTGGCTACAATGACAGTTCGATCACGGCCACCTTTCCAACCAAGGCCGTTCTGCGACAAACGGAAACGACCTAGATCAGGCTGGAGTCCACAGTAAATAGAGTTGAAATCCACGTTTTTCTTATCAGACATGTTGTGATGATGATGATGGTTTTTCTAATAAAAAGGTTCAAAAGAAAGAGGAAGCGATTAAAAAAATGTTTTTGGATCGTTTTCTGTCTTGACGCGTTTTTCTCTGGTTCCGACTCAGCGAGATGTCCACGCACATTTAGAGCCTTCTTTTTGTGTCAATGTCAATGGCAGTGTAATTTAACGCATGAATTTGATGAGATAGACTCGACTACAGCAATGCCTGTTCAGTGTCGGTTCTGGTACTATCATAAGATTTATCTGCTACTTGATGCAAGGCAAAGATTCACGAAATGTCATTTGGACAGTTGTAGAACATTTGACTCAAAATCCTTTCACAGACAGAAATCATGCAATCTTGATAGCATTAGCCCATGGGAAGCATAACATAAAGACTGATGTGCTTGGCGCATTGATTGGATATGACTCGACATATCTTCTCTATACTGAAAAGATCCCTCGTTGAAAGCGCCTTGTGCTCGGAGGAAATTGCATTTGATAAGCCAAAATTTGTTGTTTGGAATTCATGAGACATCCACAACAACAGGGAGTAGCTACACTGCTAGGAACAATACATTTTGTAGCTATCAGTCTTTGTATAGGAAACTACAGCAATACTATACATTATTCATCATGTTGATAAATCAAGTAGAATGATAACCACGACGTCATATGGGTTTTGGGTGCTCCTGCTGCTCCTGCTGCTGCTGTATGTGGCCAAGTTGAAATACTAAGAAAAAGAAACTCAACAGACAATATTTCTTTTTCATTCTTTTTTTCTTGAAACTTTCCTCAAGTCTGTGCTGCATAACATGAACTTCTCGCCGTACTCACCTTCGCCAGATGAAGATAGAACTTCCCGTTCGCCAAAAAAGCACCAAAAGCATCAACAGCAATCTAGCCAAGCAGCAGCTTATAGCTCATATCAAGCTGGTTCCGACTCATACGCAGAGCAAGGATTGTTGGGTAGTGGAAATGGTGCTGGAAGCAGCAGCAGTAATTCAGCATTCAATGGTCAACAGGCTATTCGTGTAAACAAGTATGAAACTTCCTTACCTATTCGTGTTGATGTGGAGGCATCTTTGGCTTATGTGCTGGGACCGGTAACAGGTAAGGATGTCTGATGAAACGTTGCATTGCTCTGCTGGGTGTGCGGATGATGGATACACTAATAAACGGCAAAACTCAGGATTATTATTGCTGATTCTCGAGAGACAGAACGATTATGTCAGATTTCATGCATGGCAGGTAAAGTAGCTTAGGGGTGCAAAAAAAAAAGCAATGAAATGGGCTATTGACGTTTCTGGTCATGTATAATAGTCTTCTCTCACATTTTCAGCATTGATGCTTGCACAGTTCATCTTGCTGTTTATTTCGTCCTTTTTATCGTGGGTTTTATTCTTTTTCAACATCTTTTTGCTGATTTGGCTAGTGTAAGCGTATATGTCATGATTGAACATGCTTGGATGGCTAATTTTGAGCACTTGTCAGGTACCGAGCATATCTAGATGGAGCATCGCTAGAAAGATACGAAGTGCCCTATTTTGGTATAATTGCATCAGAATACGTTGATACGGAATGAACAATATACCTGAATTTCTAATTCATTAATACTACGCTATATATATATATCAAGTAAAAAGGATTTATTCTTTTGAAAATCAAGGAAAGGAGTCAATGGTGTTTTTTTTTTTTTTTTTTTTGCTTAAATTCATAAAAACATACTATTGGTAAAGAATTGAGGGTGCTAACTGGTATAGGAAGTGGACTCTCTTGTGATGGAAGAGCTTTCATCGTTAGAGGATATAGTTGAGCTAGCAGGTGAGGTGAGGCTGCCTCGGGGAGCTCTGCTTTGCATCATTCGGCGCGTTGCTTGTGCTTGAGAAATGTTGTTAGATCAGATAATAAATTTGCCATTTTTAAATATACACATACCATGCTTGGCTGCTGCTATTTTATCTAGATTGGCAATCACTTTCTCTAACTTTGCAACCCATTCGTCCCTTTCTGCATCAGACCCCACGTAGAGTATATGAACGGTAGGAGCAGCAATGAACGTTGTATTCAGATTATCAACGCCAGAGAAACTGGATACAATCTCGATGCAATGTGCAATGCCACCGGCTTCATCTTTTGTCAAGGAACGGACCCGAGCTCTTTCCAAAACCAAATGGCCCTTGTACTGGAGTCGTGTTACTTTTCCTTCAACTTTGGGTTTTACGAAAACTAGCAAATCACTGAACAGCATGTAGTGCCTCTCTTCACCCATTGATCTTGTATTCAGCACAACGCGCGATAGCTGACCTTGCATGACAAGTCTTCTTTCGGCTCTCACACTGAATGGAGCACCCGTCAATGCTTGATGTATCATTAAAACTTGATCTACATTATCAGCATCCAAAAGTCTAATGCAGCTAGTTAGATTGTGTCGATTTGATGTGGCATAATTGCAGTAGGGCTTACTTTTCTTGCACACTCTTTCGAAATTGCTGAATCCACAGTTTAGATTTATGCAAGCCAACGTAGTCTGGATGCATGGAATGAGTTAATTCTGCCAACTTTGTGATTATGTTGACATAACGATCGATACAGCCAACAGGCAATTGTATTAATGAAAGCAAACTAGAGCCTTTTAGTGATTTTTCCTTATGCGCCGTCTAAATGCAAAGTGTTACTATATGATCTCAATGTCACTCGAATGCTTCTGTACACTACTTACATCAATGAATTTCTTGAATGGCTGGTATCTCGCTAATCTCTCATATGTCGTCAATGCCACAGCGTAGTTGTTGAGATAGGTACGATAACATTCTAAATTTGGAAACTGTAGAATGAATATACGGAATGTTAGATGTAGTTACTTTGTGTATTCAATGTTTGATGTGTTACCCAAGCTTGGAAGACATCGGATAGGATTTGTGTGGGACCCCAAATGCGCAATCTTTTATCAAATTTACAGTAAGACTTGGATTTCTCTTATTTTTCAATTTAATTGTTCATTTTGTAATGAATAATTTCAAATAGTACAACAATCTTTACCTTTCTTGAAGGCTCTTCAAGGTCAATCGATGCATGTGTACCAGTTCCTCAAAGTTGCCAAATAGCCATCTGAATTCTCGCTCTGTGCACACCATCTTCTTCATACCAAGAAAATTGAATGATGTATGAGTGGCATCTTTCCGCAATGGCTGCAAAAATATGCGCATCACCAATTCAAGTGATTCTGTGTAAGCTTCTTCAGATTTGAACAGACTATCGATTAGAACTTCTCTGCTCCGATGCATGTTCTCGTGGTCTATTTATATAGTAAGATATTGTGTATTACTGTAGACCAGGTTATGAAGGCATTACCAATAAGTCCATCATCGACGTCTTCAAAGTTAAGGGTATCGACAACGCCAAAATCTTCCATGGAATTACTCAAAAAATCGATAGCCGATGAATTTGATGTTGAGGTATGACTTTGATGCTCGTCAATGGATGAAAATGTGGATGTGGTTGTTAATCCGCCCGTATATCGACTTATACTGGAAGCAATGCTACTTCTTGGGCTTGCTGTTAGGATAGATGAGGATGATATGGTGGGTGCACTAGTGTTACTACCATTACTCTTTCGGTGTGAACGAGGCGGTAGTGCTGTCAAGTTGTTGTTGTTGCTCATCTTTTTCGCTAAAATTAAATCATCATCATTGGGAAAGTACATTAACAAGCAAAAGAAGAAAGGAAGAGGGGGAAAAAAAAGGAGAGAAAAGAAGAGAAAGAGGAAATGAAAAAATTACAAAGAGCTATTATGAGCAGTATAAAAGATTTACATCCCCCACAAGCCAGGTTAATATATATAAAAGTTGTATTGTATAAGTTGTGTGCTATGATACGTCTCTTTATTTGATCAACTCAATCTAATCCTTTTCAGTTTAAACGCTGATATTGAATAAAACAGCTTGTGAGTTGGTACTCAAAGCTTATTCTCTCGGTAAGAGGGACCACAAAAAAAGGTAAATTTAATAGCTTGCACAAATTAGCAATGTGTCATGATGCTGCTGTGTTACGAAGATGGAAACAGTGTGGTTTCAGTTTTTGTGTTGTTAATATGCACAAGCAGTGTGCAGCTGTACCTCGTTAAGTTGATCTGGGCGTACTGTAATATTCGAATTCCATTCTATGTTGTGTGTAGCACAGCGTTGTTGCTTTTGAAGTTTTCACTTTTATCATCTTTCTGTGGTAAAATGAAATGTTCTACTTGGTGTTCAACGCATCCGACGTTAAATTTGTCCAACTTGCTTACTAAAAAAAGAGGCCCTTCATGCAGGCACAGTTAGTATAGAGAAGAATTAAGCAACGTATATTGATTAACGAAATCACAGGTCCATGCAATGTCAAAACATGACACAAGAGTAATAAGTTTCAACTTATAAACTTTACGTAATAGCTTATCGCCAAATTTATCATTTGAGCTCGCTGTATTCACTCAACTTTGCGCGCACATAAATGTGTAATATGTATATATTTTTTTTTATCAAGAGTAGAGCTTTGGGTGCTTCACGCTTTGATGACTAAAACTGTTGCACAACTTGGCGGGTTCACAAAGCAGATATAAATAAAATGCACGCTTTGACTTTGTACAGTGATGCACCATTCCAAAATTCACAAGTATTCGCTCTGCTTCTTTACAGCTATTAGCATCACTAACTTCACTAGCAATACAGCATACATAAAACACGTTCCATTTTAGAAAGCTGCATTATGTAGGATGGATTGTGGTGCTTGGATCAATCTACCGTAACGGTCTGAAGATCTGTTTACTTTCTTTTCAAAATAGTAAATCTCGCTAACCGGAAACAGGTCGCATGAGGGGGGGGGTTTCCTTGTTGTACGAATGGTAGAAGGTTTCATTGATTTCCTGTTACAAGAAAATAACGTGAGTATTTACATGTTCTATAATGACAAATAATGGGCAATACAAGAAACGATATTGAAAGGAGGAATGCAATACGAAGGAAGCGAGTGCACATTTAAAAATGTTATCTGGACATGACGTTTTGTAACTATGAATTCATGCAGAAAGCGATCAAATTAATCTTGTAATAAAGACTTACACTACAATCGAAAGTGTATTGGTCATTGTCTTACGCAAAAAAGTAAGAGCACATTCTTAAAATTCAAAACAAAGCAGTAGGGTTGAGAGAGGATTCAGTTGATGTCAGGGTCCTGCCTGAACATGCTCTCTTTAAAGATACTTTCTAATATTTGAAGAAGCCTGGCAATGTTAGAAACGTTGAGCACTAGTTGGTTAAAGTTGATAATTTACACATTTACTACATATATCACTACAAAATTATCGATGGAAAGGTTGTCGGTGGATGCAGAATTAATATTATACTCTGATTTTTTCAAGAGTAATCCTCTTCTTGTAGGTTTACAAAAAGGGAAAACAAAAATGTACACTTTGGCTTTACTATACGGAGATAATATGCAGCGCGATTCACTGATACATACATCGTATTTACGCTAGCCGTCTATTTTATCATCTAGTAACTGCACTGTCAATTGCCAGCTGATTATGATATCACAATGATTTAATTTACATAAGCAAAAGAGCTGTGGAAGTAAAATTTTTGGTATAATGAAATCATGAACAGCGTTATAGTCGTGCATAGGTCAATTTTTCTTGGGTTGTACGCTCTAATTGTTTGCATCGATTTGTTTGCTAACTATAGATTTGTCAATAATGGTCCAATATTGTGTAATTGAAAGTGGTTAAGTGCTTGGATCTCTTATTGCTTTCGACTCGTGATCTGTTGCATTATTTGATATAAGGAACTTGATTATGTAAAGCAGTTCTCCCATCCAATACCTTTTTAGCCCAGTTTACATGTGAGGTCTTTTTGTTTGGTAGTATGTGCCCTTGTACTGGAGATAATCGAGCAGTGAACTTATCGTACGTATCATGATAACACAAAACGCCGGCGAAATACGAGAGACAATCATAACATGAATAGAATTTTGATAGTGCAATCTATGAGCTAAAAAAAACGGAAAGCATTCTTATAATGAAAGAATCAAGCTTTTACCACCAACTTTGTGCACTGAAAAGTGTCAATTAATGTCTCGATTTATTTTATAAGTATCGATCGTTGATTAGACCTGCATTTGGGGCTAGAATTGCTTCGAAAGTGCCTAGCAACAAAGCCAACTACTATAAAGGTCAGTAACCGAGCTGTTTTAGACTCAGTACTTTTGCGTGTGAAAAATCAAACAGTTGTAATTCCTTAAACTGCAGCTATTTCAAGCAAACTTTTGCATCAACTGGTGCCGTATAATGCCTCAATTTAAAATATAACTTTTGGTTTACTCTTTATAACGAGAATATCAAGAAATTAATTAAAAAAAGTAAGTGGACCCAGTTAGACCCCTTTTAGTCGGGCATTTAAACAATACGTAAGCTTGGGCTTGAAATAGCATTTTGGAGCCCCAAACATCCGACATTTTACTCATTATCTCTAGATCTAGCAAGTAAATTATACAAATTCGTTTAATGAATATTGTACTCCTCAGTCAGAAGCACAAGATGGTATACTTTATTGGATAATATATTGCTTCTATCTCTAGTCAAACGTTGAAAACTAGAATTTTTCCCTGAGGGTTGAGGTAAAAAAAAACGTGGACAAACAGAAAATTAGCGTATCTCGCTCAAAAATGTATATTTTTTGAACTTGCAACAACCAAAGATTGCAGTTTTTACTTTCGTTTGGAACTGGGTATAGTATATATCTCTTGCAAATCGATGTAAGAACTAATAACACAATTGTATCTTGTCTTCGTGACCTCTACATTAAACAAAACTGCCTGCACGCATCATATACGATGGAATTTCTCGTATCGCATATGAAATTGTGCATCTCATTCTCATGAAATATTTTAACCCAGATGAGTCGTTACAAGAGTATTGGGCTGACAGAATACAACGCCCATTTGCCAATGATTGTTTTTGCCATTGGTAGTAAGGAGATGCTTAATGTATTAAATGAAGCTAAATAGTAAGCACTTTTATATAGTTAATTATTTACAGGTAAAGATTAGGTCCGCCTATTTGGAACCAAGTTTGCCCAAATGGGCTGACCATATAACACAGATTTGTGAATGACTGTGAGTTTGATGTAACAAATTTGTGAGCGTTATAGAATTCAGGACCATAATAAATATTTTTTGAAAAGAACAGGCCAGTTTCTTACAACAAACATTTATTCATCTTTCAAAACATACCGCACTCCTTCCGAAAAATAGAAACTTATGCCTCCAGCAAGTATTAGTCTCTGCGTAAACGTTATTGTTTCTGTCAGCAAGCGCTTCATCAAGGACCAAGATGGAAAACTTATTCTCTTGAGTAAATACGACTGGAGTACACCCGGTTTGGAAATCAAAGGAAAGACAGTTAGGCGTTTAATGATGGGCAGCCATGTCATGTACGATGCCATATTGGATGAATTACCTGCCATTGTCTTGACTATGAAGGCAGATTGTCTAAAGTATGTAGGACCTCTTGCTACTGACAATCCTATAGTACCGAAGAGCCTACTATTGTTCCTGAGAATATTAACGACGAGCTCGACGATTGTTTAGACGATGCTATATAACCAGAAGAAGAGGAAATTGATTTGATTCCCAGAGAGGGTTGGTTTAATGGAGAAGTGCTTGTCAATAGTAGACTCTCCTCTGAAGGTACAGGCAATCATGCTCCAAGTTAAACATGGAGGGGCAACGCCATGCTTCACCATTGGAGTATTCCTTGTTCTTCTTGCCGCAAGACCAACTCCATTATATCATTAATAGTACTAATGCTCGTGCAAGAACCATCGATGCGACTTGGAGAGACATCAGCTTCAATGAGTATATGATGTGGCTTGCTCTTCTCACTGTGATGACAGTCGTTTATCACTCTGATCGAAAGGCTTACCGGAAGCAAGGCTCCAGCCATTTTACAATAAGCGTTGACTTCAAGCAGTACATGTCATTCAAAAGATTTGAAGAAACCATGCGTATGCATACGTCGTTCGAGGCCCTGTCGATTAAAAGCAAGCAAGCTGATCCGCTTTATCAGATTCGATTGACAATCAAAACATTCAATGAGCATATGGCAAGATGTGTTGTACCTGGCAAGTACTTGGTCATAGATGAGTCAATGAATCAATGATTGGGTGAAAGAATGCCAAACCTGAAGAAGGTACCTCAAAAGCCCCATCCCATCGGCCAAGAGTTTAAGACACTCGCGGACCATCACTCTTATTGCATCCTGCAGACGGATACTGTCAGTGATCCAATGCCGAAGGAGTTTGATAACGACCCAGGTATGAAAAAGCTTACAATTACTAGTAAGCGGTTGGTAAAGCCATGGTTTGAAAGTGGCAGAACTGTTATTATTGCAGATTCTTGGTTTGGATCTCCAGACATAATTTCAATGTTGACCAACCTTGGACTGTATGGAATCATGCAGGTCGCAAGAAGAAGGTACTGGCCTCGTGGAAAGCCCACAACAGATATAGCCGAGCAAGTGGAACCCTCTTATGGTAGCCCTTACACCAAGAAGAAGACTACAGATGGTGGCAGCATGTTTGTATGCGCCTACCGAGAAAAGAAGGTGAAGGCGTTTGTGTCTTCTTGTGGGACAACGAGGATCAAAGGTCCTACAGGGACTCTGATGGCCATACTGTTACTATCCAGCGGCTAGAAGTTGTTAGTGAGTACGAAACTCATAAGGGTAAGTATATGTCTCATGTATTGGTAATTTTAATAGGCAATAATACTGTCAAGCTCTTCCGACTGCATATGACATAAACCGCTGTGTGCAGAACGACGAGTTGAAGCCAGAGAAAACAGAAGCTACAATGTTCTAGTCATATAAATCGCTTCTGTTGTACCGCAAGAAATAAAATTAACAAGATAAAATAGAAATAAATGAAGACTTCATCAAGAAATAAGCCAAGTACAGAGCTGAAGATCTATTATTAGAGGATGTATCAATTTATAACTATATCATTATGAATCAAATAGGGTCTTTGCCAATGATATAAAAAAAGGGCATATCACATGCTTCTTTCAAGAATATACTGGGATGAAATATGCTGAAGTACTACCAAAAATTGGCTAATAGCGGCGCCGAAGACCATCCAGAAGAGGCATAACTAATACACTTGTGTCAATGAGTCGAAACAATGGGAGCAATCGCGTTCGGTTAGGATGTAGGACCTTACCGCAAGTCAGGTAACAGTGGCACCAGAGTCGAGAAATCGTGCAGCTACAGCCCCGACGCACCAATGTGTGAGGGTTGCCGTAAACAACATTTGTATGATATTTCGAACCTCGAAGCACAACTAAATAATTCTTTATAGCTGCTGAAATGCTTCTATATCTTTTTTTAATAAAGTTGCTTAAAATGGCATACAAGTTATTGTTAGTGAAAGAGACGGCCTATTTGGGCCGATTGGTTTTTGCTCGAAACCACCTTCAGTAAAATGACGACCATAGGGTCTGTTTTTGACTTTTTTTCAAAATAAAAAAATAAAACGTGCTATATGCAGGAAGGTTTAGAGCTTATTTAGTTAAATTTAATTCTTCTGAGAACAATATTTAAAGATGCAGCAATTTTCAATAAATCGGCCCGTTTGGGCCAATTGGGATAATCTCTACTTGTTAATAAAAATGATGCGTATGATATATGATTTATGAGAAACATCATATTCATAAATCAAGGCTTGATTTCGTATTCAATGATTATGTTATATACCTAAAGAATCTGGGCAAAATAACATGAGAAGGATCAAATAGTGTAAATTATGAAAATTTATTTAGATAAATAATAATATTTTATTATGCTACTAGTATATATTTTTGTCTTTCATATATTTACGAATAATATCTTTTGCATAAGAGTTATTCTCTTTTACCGAGTTTTTTCTTTCATCATCAGTACAGCTAAGCCATTTTACATATGATATTAGTGTATAATATAAACTTTATCTTTATTTCTCGTCGGTTTGATTGCATTGTCTTTTTATTAAGTGTTATTAACTATACTACGTCCTTCTTTATAGTCTATAGCATTTTCTTATCTTTTTCAATATGTTTTATAGTCAAATTTAAAGTTCTGGGCCGTAATTCCCTCACAATTCATGGTATCTTTTGTTTACTTTTAGTCCATCTCTAAAAAAAACAAATTAGTTTTGACCTATTACTCCAATATACCGTAACATATGATAACGATGAACTTCTATTCTATTCTTTTTAAGTTCTTCATATTTTTTTGATAAAAATACCATACGAAATTGATGAATATAGATCTTTTTATGAAACAATTACCAAATTGCCTTATTACTATTTTATATTTTGAATTTTGATGCTAATGCTGAAGACTGGCTCTCTATTTCATATATAAATGAGCCTGTTAAGCACAAAGAATAAAAGGATTATTATTTGTAGCTTATAAAAAATGGTCGATATTATAAAAACAAGAAAAGACTTATTTGAATAAGATCAGACACCAAAACTAAAAATTTATTGATGAAGACAAGAGTTATTCTATTTATACTAAGTTCTGAATGCCAAAGTAGCAATTTATCTTGTACAACGCTTATCACATCTGGTGAACCTCAGTATTTAGATAGCTAAGATGCACTTCACTTATCATAGCTTGTCCATGTTGTTGCACAACACAGACATATCTACCCATCAAGAATACCTTAATCTTTATAGACAGTTGTAGCCCTTCTGGCACAACAGAGCCGAACTTATTACTTTACGGTAGCTAAATTCACCAACAATTGAGTTTTTATCAACTTTTTTTCTTGTAAGTGTGTTGTTTATTCCAACTAAGATCATAGCCATATTCATTAGCATTTTTTTTCTATTTTTCAATGAAAGAGTTATACCCACCATCCACAGCAATACAATTATGAATATCCATATATGGACATAACTCCATGTTTAAAATATTTTACCACTGTCATCCAGAGCACATTTCTTACAATTTGTATATAATATACTCTTATTAAAGTCTATTGCCAAGGGAAAAGAAAATTCCAACCTTCTAACATTATTATTAAGATTGATACATCTATTATTATACTGAAACTAGCAATATAGAATGTTCAATAGTTTGATCGGTTTGATCGATTAAAGCCCCGGGTGGGTTGTTCAGAGATAATATGGATGAATGACTCATAAAACAGACTATATATTATAAAATAAAATGAACTCACGTCAGTAAACGTCGTCCATTTAATTTTTGCTACAATCATCATTATCGCACTTACAGTCACTGCAACACACATATGACAAGAGATCAAATCAAGTGTGAACCAAAATCAATAAAGTATAAATAAAGAATAGGATGGATGACTTATCTCAAGTTTTCTTATTACGAGATATATATATTATTTTCTACTTATTGGGAGATGAATTGTCTAGAGTGGCATTGATATGTATTGTTTATTGAAGATGCGTACTCCTTTATCGGTGAGTGAGGATATGAATCTATCAACTTGACCACGATTACCTTCTCATGCCTATCAATATCGCTTCATGCAACTTCAGTAGCCGGCATGTCCCATGGCTAAACTACAACTACTAAGAAAGAAGCTATCAATCATGTCAACACATTAGTACCACATCAATTTTATAGTTATAAACTCCAAAAATATATTTTTTTGTATTAAAGTGTATCTTTATTGGCTTTAAAGTTTATAATCTATACAGAATTTACAGGCAAGGACAAGGTGCCAGCTTGAACACTTGCCAGAGAAAGAGAAGAAAGGAGTGTACCATGGTCTTGACGGACCATATTGATAGCAGCAGAAGCTATCCAAGGCTCCTCCTCGTTTATGGCGCATCGCCAATGATACTTCCAAAGTGTACTGTAAGCAGCACCAAGAGCAATCAGAACATCCTCATCGATCACCAACAAATCTGAACCACTACAAAAGGTAGTCAGCGCCAACCAAATAGAAGAAGCAGAGGGGAGTAGCTCTTGAAGTGACAACAAAGAGACTACATCCTGCCAGAAAAATGACTTGACATGGCAACCCACCACGAAATGGTAAAGGTCCTCTGTAGAGAAACCGCAAAGAGCACAAGCAGGAGACAGAACTTTGGTAGGCATAATCTTATGGCACCACGAGCGGTGCGGGACACGGTCATGTAGCAATCGCCACCAAGGTGTGAAAGCCTTTGCAGGCAATTCCAGGGACCAGAAAAGACGCCACGAAGCAGGAGACAGCAACAAATGAGCAGGCAACTTCAAGGGAGGACCCATACGAGAGGTAATGGTACCCTTTGCAGGGTGCCAATACCTTCGCAAAGCACCAAGAGAGAGACGAGCAACCGGAGCAGCAGAACGAGACGAGTTGGAGACAGTCCAATGAGTACAATCTGGCATCCAAGAGGTAGCACCATCAGAACGGGGCATAGTAAAATAGTCTGCTTGAGACAAGACTATCTTACTATCCATGACAGGCGGGAATACCAGCGAGACAGGACCACGATCACGGTTCAAAGCAAGAAAAACAGGGCGCAAAACACGAGATGACCAAGCAAGATGAGAGGTGGCACCATCGACTATACCTAGATCAGGTTGCCAGAAAGAGACATCCGACACCAAGAAACGAGGATCAAGAGATGATGGATCACGAGGAGGACGAACAGAAGGCACAGTACTGAGTACAGAACACAAGGGAAGATCAAGAAACCACCTAGCAGACCAACCAGAGGAAGGAACTAGCTTTGGCAATCTCAACAGAAGCTTTCCGAGATGCTTTAGAACAGGCACAGAAGACACACGAGACTGGTAAAGACCAGGAAAACAAAACCACTGCAAGATGGACTTATGGCCAGTGTAGACTTGAAAGGCATACACCAACCAAGAGGAGACAAAATCATTGGGAGAGGGTGGACGCAACAAACGTTGCAAATAGACAAGATGCAAAGCTAAGCTTTGATCTGCTATATCCACGAGACCAACACCACCAAATTTGCGAGGAAGACACAAAGTAGACCAGGCAACACCAGGGCGAAAAGACACCAGATACTCACGAACCACCGTAGTGAGAGACTTCAACCACGACGCAGTAGTAGCACCACCAGGAACAACACGCAATAAATGATATACCTTTGACAACATTAACGAGTTAGCCACTAGTCCTGCTCCCCTAATGGAGAGATTCCTTTGTTTCAACAAGTTACTGTGTCGCTGGACCTTCACCAAGACACCATCAAGATAGTCTTGAAGTTGACTTTCAGTATGATGCAAGGGATAACCCAAGTAACGTACTGCACCACGAGAGTGAGCGTCATGCCACTGGAGACCAGTAGAATCAGCCAAAGCAACCCAAGCAGAGTGGGACACACCAGACAACGACACCAACACTGTCTTGCTGATATTGACTTTCGCATTAGATGCTCGGCCATACAGATCAAGAACAGACAACAACACACACCACTCTTCTGGCGAAGACAAAAACACCTCAAGATCATCCGCATAGCTCAGAATCTTGACAGGAGGAGGAGCAACAGAGCCACTAACAAAGTCCAAAGTCCAATTCCGGGCACCAGTACCATGATCCACACGAACTTCAACCGGTGAAGGCTTCCATTTACGTGGGATATCAACAGGAGACAGAGTAACACCAGAGAGACCAGGACAAGCAAGAAGAGAACGAAGCAAAGGCTCAAATGCCAGATTGAATAGCAATGGAGAGAGAGGATCACCTTGACGAAGACCTCGCAACTGAGGTACAGGAGCACCAAGCCAACCATTGATAGACATTGAAATCTTGGTTCCAAAGAACAAAGAAGACAGACAAGACACCAACTCACCAGGAAAACCAAACCGGAGCAACACACGACAAAGATATTCAGGATGAACCCGATCATACGCCTTCTCTTGATCCAACAAGACAGCCACTTGAGGTAAATCAGGAGCAACAACACGCAAGTGAGACAGCAACAACTGATTTAACCAGCCATTGTCAGAGATCAGACGATGAGGGAGAAAACCAGTTTGATAAGGGTTGATTAACTTTGGCAACACTTTGTTCATACGATTAGCAATGAGCTTTGTAAATAACTTGGCATCACTGTTAATTAAGGACAAAGGTCTCCAGTTAACCAACAACTGAGGGTCACCCTTCTTGAACAAAAGCACCATACGAGTTTGCTGCCACGAAGGAGGAAACACACCAGAAAAAGCTGCACCCAACACATCCACAAGCAAGTCAAGAAAATCAGTAGAAACACCAGCAAGATATTGATACAATTCAAAAGGCAAACCGTCAAGACCAGGACTTTTAGACTTGGGAGCATGAGTGAGCAAAGACAACAAAACATCGCGTGTTGGAAGTTCCATTAGCATATCACCATCCAAAGATGATAGGCGTACATCAGTTGGAACATTCCCCAGGAGAGTATCGATAGCTTCAGCATCGACAGCATCAGGGGTATATAGCCGTTGGTAAAAACCTTGTGCCTCCCTGTTGATAGCTGCTGCTTCCACCAAGATATCCCCAGTAGTAGAGCACTTTAAGGATTGAATTGTCTGTTGAGACTCTCGCACCTTGATCGAACGATAGAAATACTTGTTGCTACGTTCTCCCTGTTCTAACCAACGAGTGGCAGAGCGAGGCATATTCTGACTAGTCTCTTTCTGTATCTGATTCTCAATCAAAACTTCCAGTTGCCTGACCTGCTCAGCATCACCTGAAGCAGTAGACACTCTGTCAGTTGGATCAATAGCATTCCTAGTCTCAATACCCGATACAGACGTCGACAGAGCCCTAATACGTTCCAGTTGAAGCGTAAAAACTTTGTTCTTGAATCGTGCTTTCATGCTTCTAGTGTACTTTTGTGCACAGCACTTTAGTAACAACTTGAAGGATTCCCATCTAGCCACCGTGCTTTCAGAGTCACCACTACTACCTTGACTAGTATTGACACCCTTAGACCCACCACCAACAGCACCAGAGAAAAACAATGACACCGTGGCATTCAACAACGCAACAAATTCCTTATCATCAAGCAGAGTTGGATTGAACCGCCAACTACCAGGACCAATACTAGCTGTCGCAGGCAACATTTCAACAGTCAAAAGAGAGTGATCCGTCCACCTACTAGGCATATATAGTAACTGACTATTAGTCAAACGAGGAGCAAGAGAAGAGTGACCAAAGATGTAATCAATACAAGTATTGCTCTTTGGAAACGTGGCTAAACCATCCGGATGACAATTGACAAAGTGAGTACGCAACCAGTGAACAAAAGGAGCGACATCGGCTTGACGAGAAGTAGACAAAGAGTGCAAGTGAATGTTGAAATCACCCATAACCATCCAAGGTGTGTTGAACACATCAGACCAAACAGAAAGAGAGAGAAAATCAGAGATAAATGAAGGACGGTCAAAAGACTGCGCGGGACCATAAATATTGGCCACTTTGCACAAAACATTGCTTGAGGCATCTACGACAGATGCAACAAGACAACGTTCATCCAACAATACCTCCGTATCCACCAGGGAAAACCGAGAATTAAGACATATAATAGCACAGTGTTTAGACACAACGAGAGAACAATTAGGAAAAGCAAAAGAAAAGGAACGGACTTGAGATTCAGTAAGAGTAGATTGAGAGCGGAAATGAGATACCTCTTGCAAGCAAAGGATATCCAGATGGAGAGAGGAGGAGCGAAGATAAGATGAAAACTCTTTGAAATTTGTAGGATTAGACTGCATGAACAAGCTACGCGTGTTCAAGGAGCCAATCTTGATGCCTAATTTTGTACTCATTGAGCCCTACGGGCGTCTTGCTTAGTCTTGAGAAGCGCACGGCCATTAGTCTTGCTATTCTTGACAACACCAGAAACACCACCAGAAACACCACCGGAAGCAACACCAGAAGCAACACCAGACTTGTTACCCTTAGCACCAGTACCAGAAGAAACACCACCAGAGTTACCCAGCTTGTTATCACCTTTTACACCAGCACCAGTAGTACCTTTCAGGTTTGCATTGAACTCCATTCTTTTGCGCTGAGCAAGATCCTTCAACTTGGTCAAATTCAACATCTCCTCAGGCGAGTCAATGTTCATATTCACAGCCACCTCAGCAGACGCATACTTGGAGTAGGCAGAACCACGCACGGTATCCAGCTTCTTGGGAGCTCCAGCAAGCACAATCTTGTCGTCCTCCATGTCCTCATCATCATTCATACTTACCTGGTGGTTATCTTCACTCAGAAGATCCAAATCCTCGTTACCAGTGGACTCATCATTTTCAGATTCGTCAACACTTTCACCCTGAAGAGATTCATCCTCGACTACACGATAATCGAGTTCTTCTTCTTCTACCTTCTCCACCTCCTTACCTACGCCTAATTTTTCCTTCTCAATATATTCCATCAATTCCACAGTGTTCTTACGAGCCAGAGTGACATCCTCAGAATCCTCAGAATGATGGTGAACTTTGTGCTTCTTGGTGAAATTTGCAGACTGAACCTCCTTTTCAGGGCAAAAACGCAACATGTGCCCTTGCTTATTGCACCTAAAGCAACGACGTCTAGCCAATTCAGGACATTTGGCGCGAACATGACCGCTGTGTTGACAGAAATGACAAACAGGTGGAGCACCTTGATAAGTCGCTGGCACAAAACAGTCAAATTCGCTCAGATAGAGCATTCTATCTAGGGGCTTGGCCTCCTGCCACTCATCCCCTACCTGAAATCCAACAGAAGTATCCAAAATCACCGAAAGTTTACCCTCAAAGTAACCACGGTGAGTAAACTTCTTCACTTGCAGTACCTTACCAAAGTACGACAAGGACTCCATAAGATCCGACAAAAAAGTGGTCTTGTCCACCATACGCATAAGTGTAAACCGTACATGCTTGACATCCCCAAATTCAGCACTTTCCTTGGAGGTAGACGCTTTGTACACTACACCTTGTACAGTCACCCCTTCACGCATAGCCACTTGTGCATGCTCCACCTGAGCAAACCTGGCTTCAATCAGCAGAGAACCATCAGCACGAGAATCATACAAACTAAGAGGTCGAAATTCCACGTCAGGTGAGATTTGATCTTGAATCACTTTGTAAGCGGCAACACGATCAGGAAACAAAGTTTTCTGAAACGTGAACAGAACAGAACCAGAAGAAAGGGATTGCTGAATAATCGCCATAGCCTTGCTTGCCAAAATTTGACCCTTCAGGTCATCATCTTCATAGAGAACAATACCCACCAGTGGTACATCAGTTGGATTGTCCAATCGTCGCTTGTTGGGTTGGAGAAATCGACCCACCTTTTGACGTGAAGCTCTTTGAGCCCAAGTCAATTCAGATTGGGAAGACATGGAGTGTAACAGACGTAGAGTGTAACTTGTAATCTAGAGTGTAACTAAGTCGCGTTGTTGAAAAAGTAGTGAAAAAGATGAATTCGACGAAAAATTGTTGAATCGATCTGAAATCAAGATATGTTGTAGAGCTGAAATGGATGTATCTAAATATACTTGGATGCAAGATGGATGTATCCTAGTTGTCGAGATATCGTTGTTCAAAGATGGCGTAATCGAAAACTTTTAAAAAGTTTTTTTTTTTTGTATTAAAGTGTATCTTTATTTGCTTTAAATTTATAATCTATACAGAGTTTACAGGCAAGGCCAAGGTGCCAGCTTGAACACTTGCCAAAGAAAGAGAAGAAAAGAGTATACCATGGTCTTGACGGACCATGTTGATAGCAGCAGAAGCTATCCAAGGCTCCTCGTCTATGACGCATCGCCAATGATACTTCCAAAGTGTACTGTAAGCAGCACCAAGAGCAATCAGAACATCCTCATCGATCACCAACAAATCTGAACCACTACAAAAGGTAGTCAGCGCCAACCAAATAGAAGAAGCAGAGGGGAGTAGCTCTTGAAGTGACAACAAAGAGACTACATCCTGCCAGAAAAATGACTTGACATGGCAACCCACCACGAAATGGTAAAGGTCCTCTGTAGCAAAACCACAAAGAGCACAAGCAGGAGACAGAACTTTTGTAGGCATAATCTTATGACACCACGAGCGGTGCGGGACACGGTCATGTAGCAATCGCCACCAAGGTGTGAAAGCCTTTGCAGGCATTTCCAGGGACCAGAAAAGACGCCACAAAGCAGGAGACAGCAACAAATGGGCAGGCAACTTCAAGGGAGGACCCATACGAGAGGTAATGGTACCCTTTGCAGGGTGCCAATACCTTCGCAAAGCACCAAGAGAGAGACGAGCAACCGGAGCAGCAGAACGAGACGAGTTGGAGACAGTCCAATGAGTACAATCTGGCATCCAAGAGGTAGCACCATCAGAACGGGGCATAGTAAAATAGTCTGCTTGAGACAAGACTATCTTACTATCCATGACAGGCGCGAATACCAGCGAGACAGGACCACGATCACGGTTCAAAGCAAGAAAAACAGGGCGCAAAACACGAGATGACCAAGCAAGATGAGAGGTGGCACCATCGACTATACCTAGATCAGGTTGCCAGAAAGAGACATCCGACACCAAGAAACGAGGATCAAGAGATGATGGATCACGAGGAGGACGAACAGAAGGCACAGTACTGAGTACAGAACACAAGGGAAGATCAAGAAACCACCTAGCAGACCAACCAGAGGAAGGAACTAACTTTGGCAATCTCAACAGAAGCTTTCCGAGATGTTTTAGAACAGGCACAGAAGACACACGAGACTGGTAAAGACCAGGAAAACAAAACCACGGCAAGATGGACTTATGACCAGTGTAAACTTGAAAGGCATACACCAACCAAGAGGAGACAAAATCATTAGGAGAGGGTGGACGCAACAAACGTTGCAAATAGACAAGATGCAAAGCTAAGCTTTGATCTGCTATATCCACGAGACCAACACCACCAAACTTGCGGGGGAGACACAAAGTAGACCAAGCAACACCAGGGCGAAAGGACACCAGATACTCACGGACCACCGTAGTGAGAGACTTCAACCACGACGCAGTAGTAGCACCACCAGGAACAACACGCAACAAATGATATACCTTTGACAACAGTAACGAGTTAGCCACTAGTCCTGCTCCCCTAATGGAGAGATTCCTTTGTTTCAACAAGTTACTGTGTCGCTGGACCTTCACCAAGACACCATCAAGATAGTCTTGAAGTTGACTTTCAGTATGATACAAGGGATAACCCAAGTAACGTACTGCACCACGAGAGTGAGCGTCATGCCACTGGAGACCAGTAGAATCAGCCAAAGCAACCCAAGCAGAGTGTGACACACCAGACAACGACACCAACACTGTCTTGCTGATATTGACTTTCGCATTAGATGCTCGGCCATACAGATCAAGAACAGACAACAACACACACCACTCTTCTGGCGAAGACAAAAACACCTCAAGATCATCCGCATAGCTTAGAATCTTGACAGGAGGAGGAGCAACAGAGCCACTGACAAAGTCCAAAGTCCAATTCCGGGAACCAGTACCATGATCCACACGAACTTCAACCGGTGAAGGCTTCCATTTACGTGGGATATTAACAGGGGACAGAGTAACACCAGAAAGACCAGGACAAGCAAGGAGAGAACGAAGCAAAGGCTCAAATGCCAGATTGAATAGCAATGGAGACAGAGGATCACCTTGACGAAGACCTCGCAACTGAGGTACAGGAGCACCAAGCCAACCATTGATAGACATTGAAATCTTGGTTCCAAAGAACAAAGAAGACAGACAAGACACCAACTCACCAGGAAAACCAAACCGGAGCAACACACGACAAAGATATTCAGGATGAACCCGATCATACGCCTTCTCTTGATCCAACAAGACAGCCACTTGAGGTAAATCAGGAGCAACAACACGCAAGTGAGACAGCAACAACTGATTTAACCAGCCATTGTCAGAGATCAGACGATGAGGGAGAAAACCAGTTTGATAAGGGTTGATTAACTTTGGCAACACTTTGTTCATACGATTAGCAATGAGCTTTGTAAATAACTTGGCATCACTGTTAATTAAGGACAAAGGTCTCCAGTTAACCAACAACTGAGGGTCACCCTTCTTGAACAATAAGACCATACGAGTTTGTTGCCACGAAGGAGGAAACACACCAGAAAAAGCTGCACCCAACACATCCACAAGCAAGTCAAGAAAATCAGTTGAAACACCAGCAAGATATTGATACAATTCAAAAGGCAAACCGTCAAGACCAGGACTTTTAGACTTGGGAGCATGAGTGAGCAAAGACAACAAAACATCGCGAGTTGGAAGTTCCATTAGCATATCACCATCCAAGGATGATAGACGTACATCAGTTGGAACATTCCCCAGGAGAGTATCGATAGCTTCAGCATCGACAGCATCAGGGGTATATAGCCTTTGGTAAAAACCTTGTGCCTCCCTGTTGATAGCTGCTGCTTCCACCAAGATATCCCCAGTAGTAGAGCACTTTAAGGATTGAATTGTCTGTTGAGACTCTCGCACCTTGATCGAACGATAGAAATACTTGTTGCTACGTTCTCCCTGTTCTAACCAACGAGTGGCAGAGCGAAGCATATTCTGACTAGTCTCTTTCTGTATCTGATTCTCAATCAAAACTTCTAGTTGCCTGACCTGCTGCTCAGCATCACCTGTAGCAGTAGACACTCTGTCAGTTTGATCAATAGCATTCCTAGTCTCAACACCTGATACAGACGTTGACAGAGCCCTAATACGTTCCAGTTGAAGCGTAAAAACTTTGTTCTTGAATCGTGCTTTCATGCTTCTAGTGTACTTTTGTGCACAGCACTTTAGTAACAACTTGAAGGATTCCCATCTAGCCACCGTGCTTTCAGAGTCACCACTACTACCTTGACTAGTATTGACACCCTTAGACCCACCACCAACAGCACCAGAGAAGAACAATGACACCGTGGCATTCAACAACGCAACAAATTCCTTGTCATCAAGCAGAGTTGGATTGAACCGCCAACTACCAGGACCAATACTAGCTGTCGCAGGTAACATTTCAACAGTCAAAAGAGAGTGATCCGTCCACCTACTAGGCATATATAGTAACTGACTATTAGTCAAACGAGGAGCAAGAGAAGAGTGACCAAAGATGTAATCAATACAAGTATTGCTCTTTGGAAACGTGGCTAGACCATCCGGATGACAATTGACAAAGTGAGTACGCAACCAGTGAACAAAAGGAGCGACATCGGCTTGACGAGAAGTAGACAAAGAGTGCAAGTGAATGTTGAAATCACCCATAACCATCCAAGGTGTGTTGAACACATCAGACCAAACAGAAAGAGAGAGAAAATCAGAGATAAATGAAGGACGGTCAAAAGACTGCGCGGGACCATAAATATTGGCCACTTTGCACAAAACATTGCTTGAGGCATCTACGACAGATGCAACAAGACAACGTTCATCCAACAATACCTCCGTATCCACCAAAGAATAACGAGAATTAAGACATATAATAGCACAGTGCTTGGACACAACGAGAGAACAATTAGGAAAAGCAAAAGAAAAGGAACGGACTTGAGATTCAGTGAGAGTAGATTGAGAGCGGAAATGAGATACCTCTTGCAAGCAAAGGATATCCAGATGGAGAGAGGAGGAGCGAAGATAAGATGAAAACTCTTTGAAATTTGTAGGATTAGACTGCATGAACAAGCTACGCGTGTTCAAGGAGCCAATCTTGATGCCTAATTTTGTACTCATTGAGCCCTACGGGCGTCTTGCTTAGTCTTGAGAGGCGCACGGCCATTAGTCTTGTTATTCTTGACAACACCAGAAACACCACCAGAAACACCACCGGAAGCAACACCAGAAGCAACACCAGACTTGTTACCCTTAGCACCAGTACCAGAAGAAACACCACCAGAGTTACCCAGCTTGCTACCACTGTTTACACCAGCACCAGTAGTACCTTTCAGGTTTGCATTGAACTCCATTCTTTTGCGCTGAGCAAGATCCTTCAACTTGGTCAAATTCAACATCTCCTCAGGCGAGTCAATGTTCATATTCACAGCCACCTCAGCAGACGCATACTTGGAGTAGGCAGAACCACGCACGGTATCCAGCTTCTTGGGAGCTCCAGCAAGCACAATCTTGTCGTCCTCCATGTCCTCATCCTCATCCTCATTCATACTTACCTGGTGGTTATCTTCACTCAGAAGATCCAAATCCTCGTTACCAGTGGACTCATCATTTTCAGATTCGTCAACACTTTCACCCTGAAGAGATTCATCCTCGACTACACGATAATCGAGTTCTTCTTCTTCTACCTTCTCCACCTCCTTACCTACGCCTAATTTTTCCTTCTCAATATATTCCATCAATTCCACAGTGTTCTTACGAGCCAGAGTGACATCCTCAGAATTCTCAGAATGATGGTGAACTTTGTGCTTCTTGGTGAAATTTGCAGACTGAACCTCCTTTTCAGGACAAAAACGCAACATGTGCCCTTGCTTATTGCACCTAAAGCAACAACGTCTAGCCAATTCAGGACATTTGGCGCGAACATGACCGCTGTGTTGACAGAAATGACAAACAGGTGGAGCACCTTGATAAGTCGCTGGCACAAAACAGTCAAATTCGCTCAGATAGAGCATTCTATCTAGGGGTTTGGCCTCCTGCCACTCATCCCCTACCTGAAATCCAACAGAAGTATCCAAAATCACCGAAAGTTTACCCTCAAAGTAACCATGGTGAGTAAACTTCTTCACTTGCAGTACCTTACCAAAGTACGACAAGGACTCCATAAGATCCGACAAAAAAGTGGTCTTGTCCACCATACGCATAAGTGTAAACCGCACATGCTTGACATCCCCAAATTCAGCACTTTCCTTGGAGGTAGACGCTTTGTACACTACACCTTGTACTGTCACCCCTTCACGCATAGCCACTTGTGCATGCTCCACCTGAGCAAACCTGGCTTCAATCAGCAGAGAACCATCAGCACGAGAATCATACAAACTAAGAGGTCGAAATTCCACGTCAGGTGAAATTTGATCTTGAATCACTTTGTAAGCGGCAACACGATCAGGAAACAAAGTTTTCTGAAACGTGAACAGAACAGAACCAGAAGAAAGGGATTGCTGAATAATCGCCATAGCCTTGCTTGCCAAAATTTGACCCTTCAGGTCATCATCTTCATAGAGAACAGTACCCACCAGTGGTACATCAGTTGGATTGTCCAATCGTCGCTTGTTGGGCTGGAGAAATCGACCCACCTTTTGACGTGAAGCTCTTTGAGCCCAAGTCAATTCAGATTGGGAAGACATGGAGTGTAACAGACGTAGAGTGTAACTTGTAATCTAGAGTGTAACTAAGTCGCGTTGTTGAAAAAGTAGTGAAAAAGATGAATTCGACGAAAAATTGTTGAATCAATCTGAAATCAAGATATGTTGTAGAGCTGAAATGGATGTATCAAAATATACTTGGATGCAAGATGGATGTATCCTAGTTGTCGAGATATCGTTGTTCAAAGATGGCGTTATCAAAAAACTTATAGAAAGTGATTTTTTTTTTTTTGTATTAAAGTGTATCTTTATTTGCTTTAAATTTATAATCTATACAGAGTTTTACAGGCAAGGCCAAGGTGCCAGCTTGAACACTTGCCAAAGAAAGAGAAGAAAAGAGTATAACCATGGTCTTGACGGACCATGTTGATAGCAGCAGAAGCTATCCAAGGCTCCTCGTCTATGACGCATCGCCAATGATACTTCCAAAGTGTACTGTAAGCAGCACCAAGAGCAATCAGAACATCCTCATCGATCACCAACAAATCTGAACCACTACAAAAGGTAGTCAGCGCCAACCAAATAGAAGAAGCAGAGGGGAGTAGCTCTTGAAGTGACAACAAAGAGACTACATCCTGCCAGAAAATGACTTGACATGGCAACCCACCACGAAATGGTAAAGGTCCTCTGTAGCAAAACCACAAAGAGCACAAGCAGGAGACAGAACTTTTGTAGGCATAAATCTTATGACACCACGAGCGGGTGCGGGACACGGTCATGTAGCAATCGCCACCAAGGTGGTGAAAGCCTTTGCAGGCATTTCCAGGGACCAGAAAAGACGCCACAAAGCAGGAGACAGCAACAAATGGGCAGGCAACTTCAAGGGAGGACCCATACGAGAGGTAATGGTACCCTTTGCAGGGTGCCAATACCTTCGCAAAGCACCAAGAGAGAGACGAGCAACCGGAGCAGCAGAACGAGACGAGTTGGAGACAGTCCAATGTGTACAATCTGGCATCCAAGAGGTAGCACCATCAGAACGGGCATAGCAAAATAGTCTGCTTGAGACAAGACTATCTTACTATCCATGACAGGCGGGAATACCAGAGAGACAGGACCACGATCACGGTTCAAGGCAAGAAAAACAGGGCGCAAAACACGAGATGACCAAGCAAGATGAGAGGTGACACCATCAACTATACCTAGATCAGGTTGCCAGAAAGAGACATCCGACACCAAGAAACGAGGATCAAGAGATGATGGATCACGAGGAGGACGAACAGAAGGCACAGTACTGAGTACAGAACACAAGGGAAGATCAAGAAACCACCTAGCAGACCAACCAGAGGAAGGAACTAACTTTGGCAATCTCAACAGAAGCTTTCCAAGATGTGTTAGAGCAGGCACAGAAGACACACGAGACTGGTAAAGACCAGGAAAACAAAACCACGGCAAGATGGACTTATGACCAGTGTAAACTTGAAAAGCATACACCAACCAAGAGGAGACAAAATCACTGGGAGAGGGTGGACGCAACAAACGTTGCAAATAGACAAGATGCAAAGCTAAGCTTTGATCTGCTATATCCACGAGACCAACACCACCAAACTTGCGGGGGAGACACAAAGTAGACCAAGCAACACCAGGGCGAAAGGACACCAGATACTCACGGACCACCGTAGTGAGAGACTTCAACCACGACGCAGTAGTAGCACCACCAGGAACAACACGCAACAAATGATATACCTTTGACAACAGTAACGAGTTAGCCACTAGTCCTGCTCCCCTAATGGAGAGATTCCTTTGTTTCAACAAGTTACTGTGTCGCTGGACCTTCACCAAGACACCATCAAGATAGTCTTGAAGTTGACTTTCAGTATGATACAAGGGATAACCCAAGTAACGTACTGCACCACGAGAGTGAGCGTCATGCCACTGGAGACCAGTAGAATCAGCCAAAGCAACCCAAGCAGAGTGGGACACACCAGACAACGACACCAACACTGTCTTGCTGATATTGACTTTCGCATTAGATGCTCGGCCATACAGATCAAGAACAGACAACAACAGACCACTCTTCTGGCGAAGACAAAAACACCTCAAGATCATCCGCATAGCTCAGAATCTTGACAGGAGGAGGAGCAACAGAGCCACTAACAAAGTCCAAAGTCCAATTCCGGCACCAGTACCATGATCCACACGAACTTCAACCGGTGAAGGCTTCCAT